TTTACAACATGGGGTCTATGGGGAATCTCCCCGACCTTTCAAGGAAAATTAAATTTTCAAAGTTGATTAACTCTTTTCAAAACCACATTTTTAGATGTAATTTTACATGTAGATTCCAAGTATAACATCAGTTTGATTGAATTTTGAATTTCTAATGACGAAAATCAATATTATTTCTACTCGCATCTAGGATATTCAATTCAATTTTTTATATATATCTTGTATCTACAGGGTGGTCCAAAAAATGGGACACTCGTATTTCAAAAATAAATATTGATTTTCTTGATGAAAACATGTCATATTATATACCATTGGATAGGGAATTCACTTATCTTTAATTTGATATATCATTAGTTCAAATTAATTATAGTGTCTGTTAACCAGCGTCCATAATATAAATGACATCATTTTCATTTCAAAACGGGTTTTCCAAAACTTGCAAAATCCAAGTTTTTCATTTACATAAACAGATATTCAATATGTCCACCATTTTGATCAATTGTTGCCCTCAATTTTGGCTTAAATTGGACAATAGCATCATTGATATGCTGTTGAGACGATGAATTTCACTTCTCAACAATTCTATCCTTAATAAGGGACTGAGTAGATGTAAGGGGTTCATGATAAACCAATTCTGTTAGTTCTCCCAATATGTGGTCGTCACAGACGTTGATATCTGATGATCCAATTATGTTGATTTTGAACCATCCTGATATGAGCTCATTTTCTAATCATTACATTTTCCAACAAGATGGGGCTCTAAGCAATAGATCCCACAAGAGTGTCAAATGTTTAAAAGAAAATTCATCCTCCCTTAATCACTGCCTCCCCAGATCACCCGATCACACAACGTCTACGACTACCACGTATGGGGAGAACTAACAGAATTATTGTACCATAAATCCTTTACATCTATTTTTTTCCTGAAGGACAGAATAATTGAGAAGTGAATTCATTGTCTCAACAGCATATCAATGATGCTATTGACCAGTTTAGGCCAAAATTAAGGGCTACAATTGATCAAAATGGTGGACATATTGAATATCTGTTTATGTAAATAAAGTTGACTATAAAACTTGGTTTTTGCAAGTTTTGGAAAACCCGTTTTGAAATGAAAATGACGTCATTTATATTATGGACGCTGGTTGACAGACATTATAATAAATTTGAACTAATGATATATCAAATTAAAGATAAGTGAATTCCCTATCCAATGGTATATAATATGACATGTTTTCATCAAGAAAATCAGTGTCCCATTTTTTGGACCACCCTGTATATGCACACTATGATAACGAGCCACTAAACACCAAGTGAGCATATGTTCTAGTGCAACAGAAATTAATCTAAATTCTCGAAATCGTTGTTCCCTCTTCAAAAGAGAAGACGCGAAAATCTTTCCTTATAAGGGCAAAATATTTCCCATGATGAAGTTCGCGGAGGAACAAATTTATACTTCCTTATTTTCCCTCATAGGTTTAACATGGGGATTTTCACACCTATTTTTCAAACGATATATTCGTTCATATTCCCGTACGAGAGTACAGAAAAAATTATTAGAAACGATTGATCTCTCATTAATCTTAATATAACAGCTATTTTTTTCATTGTATTAATTCATAGCGTGGTGAAAACGATGATTGAAAAGTGAGAAAATATTCCGGAAGAGAAGGTCACGTGATCAGTAGACTAGTCGCCATATTGGAAAAAAACAATTCCATTCGACTTTCAATACTTTCATGCCAATCTTACCGCACTACAAACTGCGACATCGATGCAACAACTGAATAAAAGTATTCATCTTCAAATTACATTATAGAGTTACGTTGAAAACCCACAAACAACTGAGCAGTAGACCAAAGAAGACGCGTCGCTATTATCTAGGTCAATCTGTTCAGTGGTCCGAAAGCAAATCTATAGTACTCGTTTCCGAATTTTGTTGTTCATTGTACAATCTTTTATTGATTAAACTCGGTATACTGACTAATAAAGCAATGACAAAGAAGAATACTTACGATGGTTTAATTAAGGAATAAATAATGATAGGCCATTCAATATGGTGAAATTCAGCACTCGTTTGACAGAATGTTAGTACAAATGCACTCACCTTCGGTTCGTGCTTTGTACAACATTCTGTCCAACTCGTGCTGAATTTCACCATATTGAATGGCCTATTATTATTTATTCCAATTCAAACATAAAAATTAGTAAAAGCCGTGTCTGTGGAACGGGCATGAAGGAAGAATACGTCAAGCTATCCCCGGACAGAGCCCCAGATGTGCAGCTGAGATGTGACGTCACTCAAAACAATGCAAATTGCAGATTCAATAGAGCATGGTCGTGCATCTATGGAGAATTAGAGAACGTTCTATATTGGCTATGCTGCATTCTGATTGGTTGAGAAATTCGAATAGAGCACGGTCATGTTTGAATTGTTTTATTTAGCGTGCGGGTGTAAAAACAAAATTGAGTAATTAGTTTGATTTAGAACTTTTGTGTCACGCAAATAGCTACGCGAAATACATAGTGGGAAAATATTGACCAATCAAATTTTGTCCTTTTTGAGTGCTTTTTCAGTGCATATTTGCGAACGCTCTGATTCAAAGAGCGAACCGCGAAAAGGAGAATTGTAATAGGTCCTAATCAAATAGATTATGAGGTTTCAATGAAAAAAAATAACATGACATTTAAACTCCAATTATTAGCATGTTTTTTTCATTTATAATGATATTTTTAACTTATGTCTTGAGACCTTAAAAGCATTTTCTTACCAAATGTGTTCCTTTCCATTTTATTCAAAATATAAGCCACTAAAACAATTATTAGATAAATACTGATATGTGCATGCTTATTTGCTCATCATGTGTCATGTCTGTAGCCTAAGTCACTCTACTATACCTAACACCTAGAAATGCATAAGATACTGTGTTTGTCTAGTTGTATTGTTTAGTATATTTTTGAAAATACCTATTTCACGGTGTATAACCCAAACGCTCCTACATGCACGACGGAGCGTTTCATTTACGCGGAAACGCTCCGGAGCGAAATAAAATGGCGGCTAATGAAGATTCCACTATGACCGTAAATATTGTTTCTCTCGTTTCTCTTACATATCATATGTTATGGTGAAATATTATGTACCATTTGATGAACAATACCGTGGGCAAAGATATTATTTATTCAACTTCTGGTGGTAAACTGTTATTTGCTTGATCAAAGCTCCGTAGTGTAGATCGAACGAATCTGAAGATGACGATTTGACCACAAGTTACGAATTAAACTAGTATTTCTATGAAAACGTTAATCTTTCTGTTAAAGTAGTAGATCACAAACTCGTATATTCTCATTTCCTAAAATCCCAGTCCAAATCCATTACTTGTTCTTGAGAAGTCGCTTGTTTTCCTCGAAACACTCCGTCGATTTAGAACACAATTTTAGAAACGCTCTTACCATTTTGTTTTGATATCATTTTCAGATTATTAGAGAAGAGTTCCGAATTGAATCTATCTCTCAAAAACGTGTTGTACTTGTCAGGCAAATTGAAAATCTGAACCTGGTGGTGCTAAACGTGCAACTAGCTGATCTAAGCCTACATTAGATGATGTCATGCCTACATGTGTGCTAAATCATAAAACTATAGAAAAAACGAAACTTTATATGTGAATTAATCTTTCTTCTTTTGATGCCAAGGGGTATGATAGATCTTTTCTTTCTCTTCCTGAAAAGGAAAGGCAAGCTATATATTTCCTAAACTGATCTAGACTACCGGAGCGTTTCCAGTTCACTGTGTTAACCAGATCGGAGCGTTTCTTGAATATGAGAATGTCATCATTTTTTAGACTGGATTTTCGGTCATCAAAATCACTATTACGAGAATGTATGGTGTGTTGAAGCATTGGAATTTGACTAAAATATATGTTGGTGCTCTAATCTTGGCTCAACTAATCACATGTATCGATAAAAAGGGGTTTTGACCGGTAGAATGACAAATACGTTTTTGAATTTTGATAACTTTACTGCTTCGTACAGCTCTTCCTAATTGCTTCAAACATCAACAGCCAGCCTAGTACAACATGAATATCACACCCATCGAATGGTATACTCGAAATATGTAACTCATACCTCTTATTCCCATTATTGGGGAAATCGTCAGATGGCTCATCATTCCCGCCAGCCAGTTTTCCTACTCCGGAGCGTTTCTTCATTTAATTTCAGTAATGAAACACTCCGTCGTGCATGTAGGAGCGTTTGGGTTATACACCGTGTATTTAACATCTAACAATCATCCGATAAACCATTAATCAGTTAATAAGGAACAGACAAATAAAACAAAAAACAAATACATAATCATTACTAATAAGCCAAATGGGTTGCTCATGAACACCAAATGCAAGGTATAGAGGAGGAAAAGCTGAATTTTGATTTTATTGATTCACCACACTGTTAATTCTTTTCCTCGAAATGACATCTATTTAGATAAAATTAAATAAACATACATACATACATATAATGATTTTTGGGGAACTTAGGGAATACGTCAAACGTTCAATAACACAAAAAGCTAATAGATATAATATCAGTTAAGTCCCAGACACTCCCTCACCTGTTAACTATATATTGTATATGGAAAATGTTGACACACACAAATAAAAAACGAGTATGGGTTATCTAATTGATAAGCATCTTTTATGACATGTGACCTGGTTAAGACCAATCACATAACTGCAGGCTTGACAGTGGTATAATTTAAAAATACACATACATGTACATTCAGGATGTAAAACAACCACTTCACCAGCTATATGTTCACATTTGACAGTTTTATTATGTCACCACCAGAAGTTGGACCAGAGGTGGTGACAAATTGTTATTTTCTCCAGTTTTTACGAATGCCTGGTATTGATCAGTTGGTGTTCAGTGTTTTTCAGTATTCAGTATCTGTAACAAATCTCAGATTGTGACATTTTGCATGTTAATGCCTTGTTTATATCTACTTCCAGCGTACTGCCACAGAAAGATTCTGTAGTGAAGTGAAGAGATTGTCTCACAAGGAAAGACGAAATGACTTTGTATCTGAGGCATACCTATTAACAATTGGCAAGTTCCTCAACATGTTTGCTGTACTGGATGAGTTAAAGAATATGAAGTCAAGTGTCAAGAATGATTACTCAGCTTATAGAAGGTACTTGGACTTGCTATTGTTTCAAATATAAAAACACAGTTCAATAGTTATAGTTATAGTTAATCACTATAGCGTCATAACTGCTTCATTATTCGTTTGGAATAAATTCCCTTATACGAATATTAATGTAACATTTACAAATAAAATTCCCAAATTACAAATACAAATATGATGTATCAAATAAACAAACAAATACTAAAATCGTGTGCAATTTATGTTTGTAAGGACTAGAAATATTTGTAACTAACAATTTATTATTCGCCAACTACAGCTTACAATTCGTAAATTTCCCCCAAATTGCCTGTTATTTATCGAAGAGATGTATTTTTACCTATTATAATCTTGCATATTACCCATGAATTGTTGCAGAAAGCAAAGAAATATTCGTCCGTTAGCGAATGATAAAATGAAACTTTACGAATATAAATGTGAGTTTACGAATACAAATGTGAATTAACGAATACAAACTGCAAGTCTCGAGACAAAGATCACGTGACATGACATGTGTGGGGGAGGGGGCGATGACTTTGACCATGGGTTGACCATGTCTCGTTGAGAATGATCACGTAATCTTAATAAACCAATGAAAAACGAATACAAAAGTGCAATTTACGAATACAAATGACAATATTTACGAACAATAAATGTGCACTTTTACGAAAACATATTTCCTTGTTACGAAAATAAATTCGACAATTAAAAAATAAAAATGCCAAGACTAGTACTTATCCATTGATAAATTCGACATTCAGTTCTTAGATATCAAATTAATATATTTGCAGAAATAATATTAAGAACTTTTGAATGTAGTTCAGTTTAAAACACATACATATACGTTTTAACGAAACAAAATAGATTAACGAACAGAAAAGGCAAACAATGAATGAAAATACTCAAGTTATGAACATAAATGTGCATTGAACAAGTACAGAAGTTCAATTTACGAATACAAATAGTAAAATACGAATAAAGAAGCAGAAAACACTCCATAAATCACTGCTAGGTCATTCTGACCTGTAGCCGGTATTAACATTAAATTTAAATTCAAGAGATAATGCTGTAAGATATTACAGTAAAACCTGTTCAAGTCGAACACCTTTTGTGCCTCTAAAAAGTGTTCTATTTAGGGTGTTCCACTTCCAGACAGAGGTTCATTTAACATTAAGTCAGTTGGTCTTTTGACTTTGAAAAGTGTTCAACTTATAGAGGTGTTCCACTTCAAGAAATGTTCCACTTTAAGGTTTCACTGTATTTTTAAATGCACTTTATTAAAAATTAGTTTAGGTTTGCTAATTGGTTCATTGCTTTGCTAATTCTTGATATTTGATATTTTTCCAGGGCAGCACAATTTCTGCGAGTCATGTCTGATCCCAACACTCTGGCCGAATCTCAGAATTTATCCATGTTCCTGGCCACACAGAATAAAATCAAAGATTCTCTTAAGGAAACTTTACAAACTATCAATGGTAAGTCATGTTTGTATTGTGAACCCACATTCAATTTACTTTCATAATCAAACTTACAATCTCAATTAAACATTGTAATAAACTTACTGTATGAGCCCTGTCATAACAAACTTAATACTGAGAGCTTTGCTAAGATGTCATCAGGGCTTGAACTAAGGGCTGTGATGTCATCAAGGCTTGAGCTAAGGGCTGTGATGTCATCAAGGCTTGAGCTAAGACCTGTTATGTCATTAGGATTTGAGCTAAGGGGCAGTTCACTGGTCATTGCCAGGTTACTTTTATATGGACCAGTTAATTTTTATGTCACCACTAGAAGTTATATTTTTATAGTGTCCAACTTTTTTGTGGACAGGGTTGGTGTTCGGCGTATGGTCAGCATCTGTAACAAATAGCAGGTGGTGACATTTTGCATGTTAATGCCTTGTTTCATTCTGTATAGAAATAAACATTGCAACCAGTCCATAATGAAATTTTGACTAGCTGCTCTCGGAGCATCATCTAGAGCCCCAAATGCCATGCATATGTCCTATTAATTTGATCATTCCAGGAGACTTTTTGTGATGTCATCAATCTATGTGTAATTTTATTTTAGGGTATGAGGAGCTATTGTGTGATGTCATCAATATTTGTGTGAAGTTCTATGAGGAGAGGATGTATCTAGGTGCCAGTGAGAGACAGATGCTCGTCAAGGTAACATTTATATATTATATTATGTAAGAGAGGGGGGTAATTGGACATGTTATTATTAAGCTGTGTACTAAACTTTATCCCGCCCTAAGTGCTTTATATGATTGTATAATAGCAATGTATAACTGCAATATAAAAACAACAATAATCGTATACAACTCTTGAGAATGATATACAACTCCTGGGCAGCGTATACAACTCTTCAACTTGATATACAACTGCAGAATTTAGATTAACCCCATAAATATTAGGGTGGGATAATAAGATCATATAATGGTTGATTCTGTTTATTGCTATATTCTCTTGAGTAATTTTATATATTCACTCGTTCCCTTCAGTCACTCGTGAATATATCATATACTCACTTCAGTATAAACATATATGGAATCAACCATTATATAACCTCATAGCATAGTATAATCAAGAAATTATATTTGTTCGTTAATGATAACTAATGATATGTTAATTGGTGTTTTTCAGGTGATGGGATTTGGTCTTTTCCTGATAGATGGCGGTGATGTCAATATAAATAAACTTGATGCAAAGAAGAGAATCAATCTCGGCAAGATTGACAAAATATTTAAGGTAAATTACTCTTACTAATTATATACTTTGTCAAATGTTGTACTCTGTACTACCTCATTGAAGATTTAAGAAAATCAGTGACTACTTTAGAATTCGCCAGTTTTTTAATGAAATATGGCTTAAGTAATCTTTCATTGGGAGTTGCTTTTGTCATACTTTCTGCTTCAAAAAGTCCTGTTCAGAAAGGTTTCCAGTTTTATGATACAAATTTTCTCGATAAACTTCTGAAATAATCAGCGCTAGGGCTGATTTTCTTGTCAATCATTTATCACTCAGCAACCAGTCAATATTTTATATAAGTCTGTCTTATTTCAGCAACTAGAGGTTGTTCCCTTATATGGTGATATGCAGATCGCACCATTCTACTTCATCCAGCGTATGCCTCACTACGACTCCTCCAAGTGGCCAATGTGCACTTCCAGCTCGATAAGCTCCCAGTCGAACCTTCTGTCTAACTTGGAGCACATACGAGATGCACACACACGATATACCAGTGAACTAGCCAGGCACAGTAATGAGGTAGGGACAATTACATTTTTAGATTGTTCTCTCCATATGCGCCTGGTTCATAAATGAGATAGGCATAGGACATATATGCATTGGTAGCAAGGGGTGCAGAGGGCGATGGATATAAAGTGTCTGATAGGGCAAATATTGGGTGATGTTAAGGGGACTAGTGTTTGGTGTTAAATAGGCTTATGAAAGGTGGATACTGGATAGGAGGCTTATGATCGGTTGATGAATGACTAGAGGGTGGTGAATAAAAAAGAGAGTAAAATAAAGAGAGAGTGAAATAAAAAGAGAGTACCATTATATAATGTCTTAAGCTGTGAAAGGACAGGATTTTAGATTTTGCAAAGCTTTTCAGTGTAACGTCATATTATGATTAACTTCATTTATAAAAACGAAGAGTCTGTTTGATATGATAACATATGATAAACTAAACATCTTGTGTTAATTCATGTCCAAAGTTTATGTTTTCTTCAACATGATTCAACAACTCAACATAACATTTCATTTAGTTATACGTATATTTAGTTACATATATTTCAAATACCTTTGTCACTTTCATCCATTCTGTATGCATAGTTGGCTTATATTTGTCAATGAATCTAAAAAGCACATACTGTTTACATTTCTGTGGCATTGTCTGAATTATTACTTTTAAAGATTGATTATTTCACAAACATGTCTCAAGTAAGAACTGTTTGGTAAGACTGTTTTTTGAAATAGGCATTTCATGGCATAATGAAAGCAAATGAATATTGTAAAATTATGACAGAACTTTAAATACTGTACATGCAATGACTATTTTCTCATCTGCAAAACTTTGCAATAAAGATATTTATATTTGATCAGCTACTTCTGAGTCTACATTGAATGAATCCATATCAAAGTGACCTTGTTTATATTATAGATTTACATACTTTCAGATGGCTAAGGCAGCATAAAAATATAACTTTAACAGATTTACATGGCGCTGTTCACAGTTTACCTTCTTCTAAGGCCACTGTATCGTGGCCTTCCAGTACAGATATATTCCTGCATGAACAACTGGTCATGTCGTAATCATAAAATTTGAAATCATGTGTCCGCCACGGTCAGCTTTTTTCAAATAAAGTTCACAGTATTCCAGATGAAATCCCCTCTAGCCAAGTATTGGCTAGAGACTTGAGTAATTGAAATAAAATATTTACTTGAAATTGTAAATTAGATGCAAAATTGACATCCATTTTGCTATCCACACTCATATAGAAATATGAATATTATGATTCTATTATTTGCAAAGTATCACTAGATTTATAAGTGACTGATTATTCTGATATCAATTGATTTATACAATAGTTATCTATAGACTGTGTACAACTCACCTTCCCTGTGTATGTACATGCATAAGCCCACATTATGATAGCTCCCTAATCTAGGTATGCTGACTGATAAGCATGCTTATATTCAATATGCTTGTATTAGACAAATGTCCAGAAATACTCCACCGGCACAATTTGTTCAATTTTTATCAAGACAATTTCCTTTTCGATGGAAAATTGAATTAAATGCCCTCCCAACTAATATTTATAAGATGAAAATATGGGCTTAAGGCCACGGTGCATGTTCGGAATTTTTCTGCATTCTTAATTGAGTCACATGTTATTTTTTAAACAGGAATCACTCCTTCCCCACATTCTCTACATCCTCTAGTTTTGCAGAAAGAGTGTACTTATGTGCCGAGAAAAGACTGGTGAGAAGATTTGTTTTGTAAAATGTATACAAAACGAGAAAATTCAGAAAATATTTTCACTGAAATTTCTTGTTTTTTATACATTTTATCAACACATTTTATCTGTACATTTTTTTCTAGGTACATTAGTGCACTAGTTGTGCAAAAGTCAGGAGTGATTCAAATTTGACCCTGTTGAGGGTTGCAGCAAAATTCGGAACATGCACTGGATCTGATACAATGTGGGTCTTATGTCACATGTTTTACATTTTACATAAGAATATTCATATGAGTTTCTAGAGTTTTAATATTTTATGATTTTCCAAAATTTGATTTGAAATGGTAAGGAAATGTACCATATAAGGAAAGTTCCGAATTCTCAGTGTGATGTTCCATAAATACTGGGTTATGACTTTGCGAATGGAGATGTCTCATTTAGATTTTAGCAAGAGAAGAGGGAAAGATAAATTGAATATAATTGCTATTGATCAGCATTCTTACCTGTAAGGTGTACACTTATCCATAGTTTATATCATCCAGATTTTATGTCTAGACTTTATATGTACTATGTAGAGTTTAAATTCAGAGTTTATATCTCAGTTTTTGTTTGTCTGAACAATACTAAATCATTAATTAACTGATTGCAACCTCAGAGATCCCTGTTTTACACCTGTATTTTGTCTAATGCATATAAGATTTAAATTGATGGCTGTAAGCTGATTGGTAGCAAACATTGTTGTTGCATGGGGAATCTATTATCAATAATCCATTTTGACACCAAGTTTAGGTCCAGTCTATATTACTTAGTGCTGGTACTTATAGACCTTCACCCTGCCCGTGTTAGGAAAATCTATTATCAATAATCCATTTTGACTCCAAGTTTAGGTCCAGTCTATATTACTTAGTGCTGGTACTTGTAGACCTTCACCCTGTCCGTGTTAGGGAAATCTATTATCAATAATCCATTTTGACTCCAAGTTTAGGTCCAGTCTATATTACTTAGTGCTGGTACTTATAGACCTTCACCCTGCCCGTGTTAGGAAAATCTATTATCAATAATCCATTTTGACTCCAAGTTTAGGTCCAGTCTATATTACTTAGTGCTGGTACTTGTAGACCTTCACCCTGTCCGTGTTAGGGAAATCTATTATCAATAATCCATTTTGACACCAAGTTTAGGTCCAGTCTTTATTACCTAGTGCTGGTACTTGTAGACCTTCACCCTGCCCGTGTTCTCGGAGAGGACCAAGTGTCCATCATCTGTGATCTTAACTGCCATTGGTCCTTGCAATCCATCCTCTTCAGTTAGTAACACACGCTGGAATTTCCCATCAGGAGAGATCAGGTGAACACGGTTGTTTCCAAAGTCAGATATGATCACATTATCAAATAGGTCGGTACATATGCCATAAGGGTCATCAAATTGCCCTTGACCTTTGCCTGGACGACCGTATGACCAGACAACCTCGCCTTTTGAGTTGAAGCTTTGGACACAGTTTAGTGGGAAATGTGAGACCAGGAGGTGCGAGTCCTGATGGAGGTGAATGTAGTGAGCGAAATCATCCAATGGGGCGATGTTTTTACGATCTGTGACTGAAATTGTGCGTACAGGCTCTCCTTCAGCTGTATAGATTGTTGCTGTGGCTTTTTTCGTATCTGCCACAACAAACTGGTTGCTGTGGTAGCGGCATAGCGATGGACTTGTGCAGCTGTTTTCGATGTCAAACATATCGCAGTTCTGACCATCTGGGCTGTAGATGAGTACCTTGCAGTTTTGTTTGTTGAGCTCTCCCTTACAGCTAACAACGATGTTACGATTATCTAATATACAGATACTGTATGGCCGTAATTTTGTCTCCTTGGCATAACGGAAACTCGTTATTAACTGTCCCTCCATATCAAAGATCTTAAGTTTCCTATTATCGCTATCAGTGACAATGATTTCCCCATCAGGGGTCACAGCCAGTCCTTCTGGATTAGGTTCATGTTTGTCATTTTCTGTTTTGAGCTCAAACATCAACACTAACTCTACTGCTTTATCTGGCTTTTTCCCAACGATCTTGTCCTCTTTTATAACCCCAAATAATTGATCCATTGAGGTTGGAGACTTCCCGGGTTGGAAGGAAAATTTTTTACGGTCGGGTATTGCTTGGGGTAGGCACAGTGAGGCTATGCGATCTAGTATGGGCTTACTGAGGGACATGATGTCAACATCTTGACCATGTTTGAGAATGTTTTCTGTGAAACTGTGGGCTGTATTCATTGCATTGATATTACCATGCATCCTGTCTCTTTCTTCCATGATGTATTTCTTCTCATCTTGATAAAGCTTAGCTTCCCGCTCTATCGTTTTATCACGTAATTTGTGTACTAGTTCACATAGTTCGTCATCACGCTGTTGAATGGCACGTACTAGCTCTGTGTGGCTTAGCTTTAACTTTGAGCTGTAGTCGTTATAGTCTTCTAGCATCTTTGTTTCAAGGTCCATGTGCGATTTGAGCTTATCCATTAAAGTGCTCACCTTAGATACGTGGCGCTCTGTTGCATCCTTCAGTGGAGCACAGTCGTGACCATCATGGGCATTCACCTTGCAGTCACGACATATTGGCTGCCGACATTTTAAACAATAGAGCATGATTACTTCATTTTTATGGATGTCACATGTAACTTGTTCTATGGCACGAATCTCTCGACTGTACCGCCCACTCCTAAGATCAGCCAATGAGAGTGTGTGGTGATGCATTGTAATTGACGTAAGTTTATGATTCTCTGAGCATGCACCGCATAAGAATTCCCGGCACTCTAAGCATTTCAATATGGCTGATGCTGTTTTTCCTCGTTTCACGCAAAAGTCACAACGTCTTGGCCCATTGGCTAAATCATCACCTCCATTGAGGCTATTAATGAATGTATTAGTCTTGAAACCGGCGATTCCCTCCTTTGGGATAACTGCCTGGCAGTTGCATATTGGGCATGGTACGGCGCCATCCTGTGCTTGCTGGGCCGCGTAATCCTCCAGGCACGGTTTACAAAATGAATGTAAACATGGAAGAACTTTCGGTCTTCTGTAAGTCTCTTGGCAAATGTGGCAGAATAGGAAGCGCTGATCGATGGATTCTCGTGCATCTGGAACCTCTCCATTGATTTGTGGTGCTGGCTTTGGAGGTTTAGGGCCCAGAGTGTGGTGGGGAGGAGGTAAAGGAGGTGGAAGAGCCGGGGAGGGTGATTGCATCTCCTGACAGACAGTACGGAACATCTTTACTCATCTATTCTGAAATTAAAGCAATTATTTCAATTAAGATCTTTCAATAACGTATCTATAAAAATTCATGAGTTACATGTAGATGTGCATGTTATAATGTTATAAAACCCCTTTTTGAATACCTAGCATTGACAACTAAATGCACATATATGATGCATTCACTGCTTTATTTGTATAAAATTCAGTTCATATGAACATTGTATAAAATTTCCCACATTCTCTTTATTTGAAGTAATGCTGACTTTTTATAAGCAATAAATCTACCTAGTAAAAAAGGTTTACTTTTATACAGCATTGCTTCGCTAAATATAAACTGCGTACCTGTGAAGGTATGTCATACATCCTCTATAATATTGTCTAGCAATAAAAGATAGCTAGCATGACCTTACCTGTAATCATTTACAGGTAAACAACCCTTGCAAAATTCACCTCATAATTTTATCATAAATGTTATGACTAAATTGTGATGTTTACAACTTTTAAGGGTATTTGAGTATGAGTATGTCATTATACCAAATAGGTTAGTTTTTTTCTAGTTTTTATTGGTAATTTGAATATAATTTATGGCTTTTTCAAGTTGATAATGTTAATATATTCCCGCTTGTTTTCATATGCTCCTCCCCTTGCTAAAGTGTTTAATAATCAATTGAACAATTAATCAATATCCTAGATGCGAGTAGAAATAATCTTGATTTACAGCATTAAAAATTCAGTCAAGCTGATGTCATATTTGGAATCTACATGTAAAATTACATCTAGAAAAGTGGTTTTGAAAAGAGTTTATCAACTTTGAAAATTTAATTTTCTTTGAAAATGTGACTTCTAGGTCGGGGGAGATTCCCCATAGACCCCATGTTGTAAAACCACAAAAAGTGAAATATCTTTTCTTGTGTTGGGCAGATAATATTTTCTTTTACTGGACACATTTTAATTTGTATAACTATCACATACATAAGGGTAATATGAAAAGTGAACCACTAAAACTGATGAATATTCAAGTTTAAGGGAATTTTGTAATACCCTGCCATGTTATTTCCCCCGAATCAGCCACCTGGTGGCGAAACTGGTAACTACCTACTCGCATCTGAGTAATTAGCACATGGCTTTTATTTTTTACTCAATATTAGATAAAATATGGCTTCGTTTCAAAGTCTACACTTAAGACAAGCTAGGTCACCTCATAATCTAATCAAGGACCAACATTTAGGGGATGTACCCTGAGCAAGAAGATACTTGTACTTGAAGGGGGTTGAATAGGGGTTTAGTTCATCTGTAAAAGTACTTAATAATTTGTTTAGGGACTTTTAAGTATGCCAGGACTCAATCATCATGATAACCCATGACATCTCATTTCTTCTCAGCCCTGAGATGTTACAGGTGAAACAGAAAGATGCGATGAGTATCAGAATGGGGCTCTAATTTTATCCTTCAAAATGCTATTGATAAATGTTAGCATTGCCCTATCAATAAGTATTGGATGTTGTTGCTATTTATGTTTTATACTCCCTAGCTTTAATATGTTATTCTGATTAGCATATTTGAACTATACTCGCAATCATTTCTCATTTTCATTGATGCATGCTTATTGCTTAATATTACACATCTGAGTAAAGCTTCAATCATGTTTTCATCATATAATTTAGGTGATTATGAGAGATTTTATTTGTAAGGATAAAATATTATTAAGGTGGGCAATATAGGTCAACTTCAGGACATATTTTTCATGCAGTAAGCAATTTGACATATTTAAGGCTATATAAGCTGTTCTACTTGGTCTACCTTATATATTAAGCCTCCAGTTTACATGTATATAATATCAGGTAGACTGTAAATCTAGTAAATCTAGTAAATCTAGTAAAACTAGTAAATCTAGTAAATCTAGTAAAATCTTGTAAAAACTTGATTATTCAATGTCTAAGATATAAGTGCAAATGTCGAAAAAGCACTGAAAATGCCTTTGTATGAATGAAATGAACATGTAGAAAAAATTCTACCTTTTATTTCATTATATTTAGTTACAAAACAACTATATGTTAGTACTGGATAACAAAATGGTTATCAAATGGTACACCCATTTTATCATCATACACAACCCACCCAAGAAGCATGCTCTATTAACAAATTAAGCCACACATTTAAGGACCATTTAAGGACTGGGGGGACAATGCGTACCATCTAAATGACACAGGCTTGTTTTTCCCTCACAAAATGTTATAATGCTTAGCCTATCAGATAATTTAGTTATTGCTTATTTTTTTGGCGATGCTGTTCAATTGACAATATTTGTAGAAGTTCCAATGTTAGAGGAATGGATAAATGGCAATTTCAAAATTGATTTTTGCCAACCCCCCAAAATAATAAAAACAATCAAATGCTGTAGTAAGGGGAAGAGTGAGACAACTTACTGATTGATCTATTTGCTTTACCTATACATAAAGTATAGTATGACATTTCTATAATGCTTTCCATTTACGTTTTGATGATGATATGTTCCTTGTATTCCTTGTAATTAATAGTTTAAAGCCATATCATATCAGCCCCTTAAACATTCTTTTTTATTATAATATTTCACAATTTTGTTAAAAAATTTGTTTATTGATTATTTGATGAAAGGAATGACTCTGAATTTTAATGCAGAGAAGGTATTTTTCTAATGCTGTAAAAGGAATCATAATCACCAGTACTCTTCATAGAGACTGCCATTGATATCAAATGAATGGTCCCTTAAAAGTTTACAAGATTTTACAAGATTTTACAAGATTTTACTAGATTTACTAGATTTACTTGATTTACGAGATTCACTAGATTTACTAGATTTACAGTCTACCTATAATATCATCTCTTTATTAAGCTGGAAGTGTTAAGTATACATTATGTAATAGTGCTCTATTTGAAGCTTCAGCATTTGAATTTCTAAACTTCATTATCTCATTATCTAAATTTCTCATTTCTAAACTTCATTATCTGTGCATACTATCTACACAGGTCATATATGTGCTCCAATGTTTTTTATGGGATCTTATTTACATAAATAAATAAAAAGTCCAACATGTCATAGCAGCCTAAACTTTCAGAGTAAAATAAAATTTGTGTTCCATTCCTTGTTTTATTTTTTGTATGTGGCCCAAAGTGGAATATAATATTATTAATACTTGTTTTCGAGCATGAATATACGTATGATATACTCTTTAGTATGTATCAATATGTCATTTCCTTCATTGTTATACATGCTATATTGCTTTAGGATATGTTGTATTTCATGTACATACTGAAATACTAAATTGCTCATGTTAACCAGGAAGCCATACCAATAATATGTTAATCTCAACATTTTGTTTACAAATATTATAACTCATATTTTTCATGTACATACCGAATAGTTATTTTAAATGTAAAACAAGGAAGCTATAAATCATATGCGATATCAAACATTTTGTATTTAAATATTATATGTAGGTGCTTACATTTTAGATTAATTTCAATATATCCATATTTTCTAATATATGAAGGCTGAGATTTTATCTCATATACTATCGTCTGGCCTAATAGAAGGAAGATTTAGTGAACTCTCCTCTCATATTGATTTGCATATAAAGTTGACCTCTTAAGTCTAAACTCAGCGTGCATCAGCAACTGATCCAATAACATGCAACATGTCTATATTTGTATCTAAATTCAGTATACCCGCTTACTTACTTATTCAGTGATATATCCATATTTTGTCTACATATTGACGAATGAAGTTTTTGACTTCCTCTATACAGTGTTCTTTCCTCCCGTTATTTTGCTAAACTCACTCTGCTCAGTTTAGACTTTGACCTGACTCTCCTTACTACGTTTTTACCTTAAAGTGGGCGTGCTTTATGATATACAACATTGTCGCTGCATTACAATTTATCTTTTAACTGAAGTATGTGTAAAAGCTTGAATAAGCATGCGAGCTTTAAGTGCATATGTTGTATTTAAATACATGTTAATGTGGAATGCCCTACATGGTTTATACACTGCGTACAAATTGGCAATCTTTGTTTGTTTTTCGTATCATGCTGAGAGCTTTAACAAACATGCTTCCAAATAAGGTCAATTTGTTTTCAGCGGGGAATTCAAATATTGGATTTTTGTGACTTGATTGTAACTGAATTGTTATTGAAAATGTGAATATTATCTTGGTGTATAGAAAGGAAATGAAATAAAAGAATGCCAAAATAAATTGTCAAAAATTTGAAATTGTTTTTTTTTATCATTGATAAATAGCACGAAATTCAGGTAGTAATTGTTTTGCCCATTTTTGTGTTATCAAAAATCTAATTTAACTTTCCAAACAAGAAACATAAATAATGTAGTAAACAAATAAAATAAGTATTTAAAAAATTCAATACAAAGTATATGTAACACCTGTGTCCCCTGCCACCCAAAAATAACCAAAATATATTGTTTTAAACTGATAAATTATTTATTAAAAAGAAATCGTTTCATCCGCCTGAACAAATGCTTTCATGTTGGCTCCAACCATATACAAAATAAATTATTTTTCACCTCATATTTATTTTCCATGTTATATATTTCTAGGCGATTACGACACAGAAGGAAAGCCACAGTAGAAGTGACACAGAGAATAAAGAAATGTGTCACCTTGCATTGACTGGAATGCAGCTATTATCACAATGGACGTCACAGATCATGGAACTGGTATGTCACCCTGCATTTTATAGATTTTCTTTTTCTGATGTTCGATACTTGGATAAATTTATTAAAAGATAATGATAATAGTTTAAATTAATTGTTTATGTCAAATTTGGAAATGTCTACCATTTAAATATATTAACTATAAAGATAAATAATAAATTTAAAATTACTGAGATGTTCAATATATGGTTGCCATGTTGTTGTGTTGCTATGGCAATAAGATATTCATATTTGTAGCCATGTTTTGGCTATAATCACACTAATTGTTATATTGCTATAACAACACATTTATTTAAAGTATTCATGGAAGTTGCTAAATCCCACTGATCCTAGAGATAACCCCCATTGTCCCAAAGAGGCGGAAAGTTATGAGCGGGTGAGTCATGGCAATCCAGGAGCCACCACATAAAACTTTCTCACCTCATCAAAAAATTATAATTTTATTTCTTTCAGAAATGATTTTAAACCGATTAATAGATGAAAATTAGAAATAAATTAGGATTTTTGGTGGGTGAGGAAAGTTATCTGCATGAGGAGATGTTGTCGTTGATTAACCCTTGCATGATTTTTTAATATTTCTTTCGTTTTTAGTTTTAGATTAACCCTAGTTTAGGCTCCATTAATTATCAGTGTTTGGATTTTTGAAATCTTGTTTTGGTGGAAAAATGCAGTGTAGGGGTTTGATAGAAACTGCAATACTGGTATATTCAACAAACAACATTTTTCAGTAGAAAATGTATTTGAGGATTGCTAGACTAATTAATCAAAGTGTTGGGGTGTGCCACAAAGAACATCAGGCGCTTTATTCATATTTTACACAAAGAAAGGGTTAAGTTGAATTAGTTCATTAAGATAGCATCCATTATAAAGGCCTCATTAATATGCACATATATTATGCAAATGTGACCACCCATCATTCATGCAAGGAATCAGTCAATGGCAACATTTCTAACCAATCAGGATTGCTACTTATACATTTCAAAAATCATCACATGTGTACACTCTTTATATATACACACATGTACCAGTATATTACTCAGAGTTGATTGATGTGTATAAGTTGCAATTCGTTAATCATCAATGGTTTTCATTGGGTTTAATCGAAATATGCTATTTTTTCAATAAATGTTGTTTTAGTATTCGTGGAAATTACTCCACCCTGTAGATTCCCGTGGTTCTGATAAAGCCATAGCGGAGGCGGAAGAATATGAGAGAGTGAGTCAGCTGTAAATAGTCCCCATAGCTTTTATATCCATATACCCTCTCACCGCTGCTTAGTCGATGTCTCTATATACATGTTGTGAATTAAACAATAAGATAATCCCCTGTTTTCCCAAATGTCTCAACTCCTATATTGTAAAGGTGTTTTTTAAAAAGTTGTTTATGCTTTGAATAATTATTTATTACAAACCATGGATTTCGGACTCATCATTTGGGTTTGAATGTGTCCAATGTTTCATTACAAATCCCCAATTTTGCTTTCAATACCTATGTATGTGCAGTTTGTCTTTCCTCTGAATGCTTAACTTCAATTCAATTCATTTTATTTCAAATGTTTCAGGTACAGTATTTCACATTGACATGAATAGACAAGCCGTGGGGTGTATAAGTTCCATGTTTAACATACAATATATCATTTATTTAATTAACAGTCAGGTTATATGGAAACAAAAAATGATAACGCTTAAAATGCATCATAATAAAATACAAGTAATGAGAAGAAAGCATTTTCCAAAGTAGATCTAAGAATGACTCAGCAAATCAAACTTTAACTTTCGATTCAATGATTTGTTATTTTGTTTATTTCAAATAACTAATTGCTTAGCGAAAGGGATTGTATAATGAAAATGTTTTAACACTTGTTCATTCAGAAATGAAAAGGGTGGTGCTTTAATCAGCTTTGATTATAAACATAAAATAACATTATTTTGTCATGTGACATCATGTGAGAAAAGTTTATATAGTAGACTCTTACTATACAAATGTAAATGTATATAGTAGACCCTAACCATTCAATTTTATATGGTAGACTCTTGCAATACAGGTTTATACTGTAGACTCTTACTATATTGTACTAAGTATAAATGGTAGACTCTTGCTACACGTTTATGTAGTAGACTTGCTTTACAAGTTCAAACAAGACTTGAGAGATTGTAGACTATTGCTTTTCAAGTTTATTATGTCACCACCGTCACCACAAGAAGTGGTGACATAATGTTATAGTCTCCAACATTTTGTGGACCATGTTTGGTGGTTTGTGTTCAGTGTTGGTAACAAATGGCAGGTGGTGGCATTTTGCATGTTAATGCCTTGTTATATTTTGCATTGTGTAATTTCTTGCAACATTTTACCAGCTTTGTTGCAGTTTATTAAACAAATCTAAATTCAAATACAGTAGAGTGACTTTTTCTTTTCAGTGTACAAACGTACTTATTGGCATTCATTTCTAAAAAATTGGTGTCAAAAGAGGCCAATGATGGTTGTCAAGCCTAGGCCATCCACATCATTGTAAACTGCACTATACATTTAAAACACTAACTTTATGAAAAAATCATTCATTATGTGGTCTAGTAAAGTTTACTAAGGAATACTCAAGTCTATTTATGCTTCTCCATTATTTACCATTTACATGTACAGTATAATAATATCAATTCTAATATCTTATATAATGCCGTTCATCTTTCCAGAGCACCAGATATAACTACAGCAGCCAGGAAAAATTTGCGATTATTGAAATCATGGCGATGATCAAAGGGCTCCATCTTTTAATGCAGCGAATGGAGTCAGTGTTTATGGATGCAATACGACGCAACATCTACGCGGAAATACAGGAATTCATTCAGCAAACTATCAGAGATTCCCTTCGCAAAGCTGTGAAAAATAAGAAGGAAGTGGTCAGAACGTGAGTGAATTATGGGATAAATCTTTTGAATTCTGGCGTAAATTGATAAAAAGGCATCAACACTGATAGAGCTAATATTATGGTGATTTTTTATTTGACAACCTACTGTACTGTACATGTATTTTTAGGCAAATTTCTTGTATTGTTTAGAGCATGTAAAAGACTGAGTGTATTATATTTTTATAACTGTATTTCTAGAATTATAATGTCTGTGAGAGAGACTTGTGCTGATTGGCTGAGAGGAGTCGAACCCCATGATGATCCAGCCTTAAAAGGCAAAAAAGATCCCGAAGAAGGCTACCATATCAAAGTTCCCCGTCGTAATGTTGGACCTTCAAGTACACAGGTATTTTTCAACAATGATTTTTTGAATACCATTTTACATCCAACATACAGTTCTTCAGTGAAAATTGTTTTTTAACTGGTACATCTAGCATACAGTTGTTGGAGTTTCAATACCAACTAAAAAATCAGGGTTGTCATGGTTTAGGAAGAAAATGAAATGACAGAGTTTGACTCAGAAAGTAATAAGTAAACAAAGAAATCCCAAAAATAGTTCAAAATGTGTAAGGCCTCTGAATACTGAATATCTGATTTTCTGATTACGTTGCGATTTCCCATCGTTTTACAGTCAGTTGAACACAGAAATGATAGTAATAGGATCATGTTACTTGGAGCATTCTTATTTTATATTGTACAGCTGTATTCAGACTGTTTTCTCATTTACTTTATTTACTTAACAGTTGTACATGGTACGCACCATGCTTGAGTCTCTAGTCACAGACAAAGGAGGAAAGAAAACACTACGCAAGGATGTTGACACTCAGTTCATCAGTGCCACTCTGGATTTCCATCAAAAGTCATTCTTCTGGAATTATCTTCTCAACTTTAACGGTACGTGGATATATATCGGATAACACATGATTAAAAATCAAAAGAAGAATAAGAGTGCAATTGACTGAAACTGACTAAACTTACAAGTGCATAGTTGGCACTTAAAGATGTAGTAAATGAGAGTTTTTTTTTATCATTAACCTCTTGACTAACCAGAGTGATAGGATTTCTCGTCATTTAAGAAACTACCATAAAACCTGGACAAGATAATATGTCAAAAATGTTTTCACTAAATTGTTCTAATTTGAAAACTTTTCATCCAATTTAGCAAAAAATGTTTTAATTTTTAATGTTCAGAAATGATCTCTGTCGACTAATTTCACTAAATTGACCAACTGTTGTATGCAGTGAACTGTCAAAAACTGAAAAAAAAAAATTCTCTGGTTTCAAACTGAGTTTAGAGCCTGGGATTCAAGAGATTAATGAGAAATTAACTTTAACGATAAAAGCATAGAATAACCATGTGGAAGATATTAGGCAGTCACGACATTCCTTGTTTCATACTTTTCTCCTCAAAATTATTCAAGAATTGAGGAAACAATACAAAGATAAACATGAGCATTTTCTTGAATATTTTAAGGCTCCCTTCAGATGTGCTGTGATCTGTCTCAACTTTGGTTCAGAGAGTTCTTCCTGGAGATGACCATGGGCAAAAGAATACAGGTAAATATTGCTCCCCCCTCCTTGTTCTAGATTATAAAAATTTAGTTTCCTTTCTTGGCGTAGTAGTTTATTCATAAATTATAATTATTCCACCAAATGTAGTTCTTGAGGGATATGTAAATAATGGTCAGCCTGTTCATCTATATGAATTTCCATTTTTCATATGGTATCATGTCCTGTCATGTCATGTCATGTCATGGATGTAGAGGCAAATGGAGACAATAGAACGATACTACTGCCTGTTATTTCTATCATGAAATTTTCAAAATTATGAATGATTCAATAAAATGTTTTGTTCAGTTGGATTTGTTGCTCTCAGGAATTGCTGTTTCTTCGAGTTCATATTTTAGAGAAGTGCAAATTCTATAATGTTAATTTTTCTCTTTTCTATTAACAATTTTTCTATATTTTATAGTTCCCTATAGAGATGTCCATGCCTTGGATTCTGACAGACCATGTCTTGGAAACAAAGGAGCCAAGCATGATGGAATACATCCTATACCCTCTAGATCTGTATAATGACAGTGCTTACTACGCTCTCACAAAATTCAAGAAACAGTTCTTATATGATGAAGTGGAAGCTGAGGTAACTATCTATATACAGTTCAATGTATTGAGGAACATTCCTGTAAGGAGAACATGACCTTGAGTGGAACACTTTTAAGAGTCCTAAAACTGAACATGTTAAATGAGACAGGTCGGACATTTTGCATTTCAATGCCGTGTTCTATCTGTTTTAAGAAATGGTCTGGGAAACATGATATGGCAATGTTGAAGTTATTCAAGATGATACATGTATATTTTCATCTCAACTATTTGATAACAAATAATCTGAAACAAACCAAAGATTTTTTGTTTTCAAATTATTTTCCTCTTTTCATATTTTAGGTGAATCTTTGTTTTGACCAGTTTGTGTACAAATTAAGTGACCAGATCTACGCCTATTACAAACATCTGGCAGGAAGGTATGTATATCTGTTTAGCCTTAATGTCAGAGCATAGTACATTATGAAACTATTGAAACAGGTAGTACATGTATATGTAAGAACAGGTTGGTATTTTAAAACGTTTTTAAAGGCAAATTGGAGCAAAATTTAAATCAAAAAGGAAATAATAACTTGGAATTAATCAGGGATTTCTGGGTTCAATTCTCACCAGATGGAGTGACTTTTTCACATCAGCCCTAAGTATAGGATTTGATTCTTGATTCTATGTTTCAGATCAACCAATACCATCTATACTAGATTTGCCAAAAAGGAAAATCTAAAACATAGATTGATATGAATCCATTGCATCATCAAATTACGATTTGTTGAAATGGTTTTGGCTAAATGTCAATGGGAACCATTTCTCAATGTTCAAACTACTTTGCATTACTTGTCTGTTTTAATCGAGCGAACTGTTACCATTTAACTCAAAATATCTCTGCATGTGTACTGAGTATTTACTGTTATATTCCAGTATGATGTTAGATAAGAGGTTCAGGGCAGAGTGTAAGGCCACTGGCACAACTATCCCTTGGCCTACAGCTAATAGATACAAGACATTGTTGAATCAAAGACATATCTCTGCATGTGTACTGAGTATTTACTGTTATATTCCAGTATGATGTTAGATAAGAGGTTCAGGGCAGAGTGTAAAGCCACTGGTACAACTATCCCTTGGCCTACAGCTAATAGATACAAGACATTGTTGAATCAAAGACATATCTCTGCATGTGTACTGAGTATTTACAATATTCCAGTATGATGTTAGATAAGAGGTTCAGGGCAGAGTGTAAGGCCACTGGCACAACTATCCCTTGGCCTACAGCTAATCGGTACAAGACATTGCTGAAGCAAAGACATTTCTCTGCATGTGTACTGAGTATTTACTGTTATATTCCAGTATGATGTTAGATAAGAGGTTCAGAGCAGAGTGTAAGGCAACTGGCACAACTATCCCTTGGCCTACAGCTAATAGATACAAGACATTGTTGAAGCAAAGACATATCTCTGCATGTGTACTGAGTATTTACAATATTCCAGTATGATTATAGATAAGAGGTTCAGAGCAGAGTGTAAGGCCACTGGCACAACTATCCCTTGGCCTACAGCTAATAGATACAAGACATTACTGAAGCAAAGACATATCTCTGCATGTGTACTGAGTATTTACTGTTATATTCCAGTATGATGTTAGATAAGAGGTTCAGAGCAGAGTGTAAGGCCACTGGCACAACTATCCCTTGGCCTACAGCTAATAGATACAAGACATTGTTGAAGCAAAGACATATCTCTGCATGTGTTCTGACTATTAACTGTTATATTCCAGTATGATGTTAGATAAGAGGTTCAGAGCAGAGTGTAAGGCCACTGGCACAACTATCCCTTGGCCTACAGCTAATAGATACAAGACATTACTGAAGCAAAGACATATCTCTGCATGTGTACTAAGTATTTACTGTTATATTCCAGTATGATGTTAGATAAGAGGTTCAGGGCAGAGTGTAAGGCCACTGGCACAACTATCCCTTGGCCTACAGCTAATAGATACAAGACATTGTTGAAGCAAAGACATATCTCTGCATGTGTTCTGACTATTAACTGTTATATTCCAGTATGATGTTAGATAAGAGGTTCAGAGCAGAGTGTAAGGCCACTGGCACAACTATCCCTTGGCCTACAGCTAATAGATACAAGACATTACTGAAGCAAAGACATATCTCTGCATGTGTACTAAGTATTTACTGTTATATTCCAGTATGATGTTAGATAAGAGGTTCAGGGCAGAGTGTAAGGTCACTGGCACAACTATCCCTTGGCCTACAGCTAATAGATACAAGACATTGCTGAAGCAAAGACATATCTCTGCATTTGTACTGACTATTTACTGTTATATTCCAGTATGATGTTAGATAAGAGGTTCAGAGCAGAGTGTAAGGCCACTGGCACAACTATCCCTTGGCCTACAGCTAATAGATACAAGACATTACTGAAGCAAAGACATATCTCTGCATGTGTACTAAGTATTTACTGTTATATTCCAGTATGATGTTAGATAAGAGGTTCAGGGCAGAGTGTAAGGCAACTGGCACAACTATCCCTTGGCCTACAGCTAATAGATACAAGACATTGCTGAAGCAAAGACATATCTCTGCATGTGTACTGAGTATTTACTGTTATATTCCAGTATGATGTTAGATAAGAGGTTCAGAGCAGAGTGTAAGGCAACTGGCACAACTATCCCCTGGCCTACAGCTAATAGATACAAGACATTGCTGAAGCAAAGACATATCTCTGCATGTGTACTGACTATTTACTGTTATATTCCAGTATGATGTTAGATAAGAGGTTCAGGGCAGAGTGTAAGGCAACTGGCACAACTATCCCTTGGCCTACAGCTAATAGATACAAGACATTGCTGAAGCAAAGACATATCTCTGCATGTGTACTGAGTATTTACTGTTATATTCCAGTATGATGTTAGATAAGAGGTTCAGGGCAGAGTGTAAAGCCACTGGTACAACTATCCCTTGGCCTACAGCTAATAGATACAAGACATTGTTGAATCAAAGACATATCTCTGCATGTGTACTGACTATTTACTGTTATATTCCAGTATGATGTTAGATAAGAGGTTCAGAGCAGAGTGTAAGGCAACTGGCACAACTATCCCTTGGCCTACAGCTAATAGAAACAAGACATTGCTGAATCAAAGACATATCTCTGCATGTGTACTGAGTATTTACTGTTATATTCCAGTATGATGTTAGATAAGAGGTTCAGGGCAGAGTGTAAGGCCACTGGCACAACTATCCCTTGGCCTACAGCTAATAGATACAAGACATTGTTGAAGCAAAGACATATCTCTGCATGTGTACTGAGTATTTACTGTTATATTCCAGTATGATGTTAGATAAGAGGTTCAGGGCAGAGTGTAAGGCCACTGGCACAACTATCCCTTGGCCTACAGCTAATAGATACAAGACATTGCTGAAGCAAAGCCATATCTCTGCATGTGTACTGACTATTTACTGTTATATTCCAGTATGATGTTAGATAAGAGGTTCAGGGCAGAGTGTAAGGCCACTGGCACAACTATCCCTTGGCCTACAGCTAATAGATACAAGACATTGTTGAAGCAAAGACATATCTCTCCATTTGTACTGACTATTTACTGTTATATTCCAGTATGATGTTAGATAAGAGGTTCAGGGCAGAGTGTAAAGCCACTGGCACAACTATCCCTTGGCCTACAGCTAATAGATACAAGACATTGCTGAAGCAAAGACATATCTCTGCATGTGTACTGACTATTTACTGTTATATTCCAGTATGATGTTAGACAAGAGGTTCAGAGCAGAGTGTAAAGCAACTGGCACAACTATCCCTTGGCCTACAGCTAATAGATACAAGACATTGCTGAAGCAGAGACATGTACAGGTGAATATAGATACCATATATCCATAGCAGTTCATTTGGTGCTTTTCTTCCTCCCTCTCTGCAAATTCTTAATTCAGATATTTCCAGGGATACATCCCTCACTAAGAAATGACAGCATTTAGTTAGAGTTTCAATTACACTCACTAAAGTTATTTTATGACACAGATTTTTTAATTAAATAGGATATTTTAATTTTAAAAGGCTCATATCCTGGGAGATTAACCATGCACATTTGCTTTGACATTTTCTAGTGTAAAACATCTTTACTTGAGTAAGGGAAGTTGATTCATGGCTGTCCACAATGTTGATTCTACTAAAAATCAACATTGCTTCAACATTTAGAAATGTTTTCTGTGTACACTATCCACTGAAATCCAAGACTGCAAGAGTTGCATTTAACTATCAATTAAGCATATATGATTAGTTCTTATAACTGTGTTTCCAGATTCTTGGTAGATCCATAGACCTGAACAGGCTGCTCTCCCAAAGAGTCAGTGCAGCGTTGCAGAAGTCACTGGAGCATGCTATTGTCAAATTTGAGGGGGGTGACCTCACAGGAATAGTGGTGAGATGTTGCCTTTATTTTCAGTCTAAATATATTCCCAGTTTTCCAGATATACGTATTGTGTAAACCAAGGAATTCAAATGTACATGTATGTGATAATATATTTACTAGGAGCTCATTATATTTAAAATCACATTATCACCTTTCCCAGGATTTTGAGATCCCTCAAGCTAGTATGACTCTATGTGATTAGAATAGTATGGGATAAAACCCATATCCAATCCTTCACAAATAACATACATTTAATCCAATGTATCTCCAGGAGCTAGATGGTCTTATAGAGTGCAATAAACTAACCCACAGGCTATTATCCGAATACCTACCACTTCCTGACTTTGATGCCATGTTCCGCGAAGCCAACCACAATGTCAGCGCCCCCTATGGTAGGATCACTCTCCACGTCTTCTGGGAACTCAACTATGACTTCCTGCCCAACTATTGCTACAATGCGGCCACTAACAGGTATATTGACAGGGTTCTATGGTCAGCGAAGTTTTGTGGAATTTTATGAAATTTGAAACAATCAACAACATTTTTAAAGAAGGATTAAACAGTTTTTAATAAATATTAGTTTCTACCTTTTTATTTATCTTTGATAATCTCTTAACAGAGACAAACGTTCAAATCTGACAAACAAGGAATTTATTTATGATAATAAGCTGATTAAAGACCATAAACAAATTGCTAATCTTTTTAATGATTATTTTACCGAAGTAGGACCTAATCTTGCAAATAATATAAAAAATGCTAATTTTTCCCCAAAATATTACTTAAGCAAATTGACAGATTCATTCAATCAAAGTATATTTTTAAGACACGTAACAGATAAAGAAGTCAAAAAAATTATTGATAATTTAAAAGATTCAGCAGCAGGGTATGAAGAAATTAAACCAATAACAGTTAAGAATTCAAATGACATATTCACTCCTCCTTTGCTCCATTTGACCAATTTATCTCTCTCGACTGGTGTCTTTCCAGATCAATTGAAAATAGCCAAAATTATTCCAATCTTCAAAAAGAATGATCAAAGATACTTTAGTAATTATAGACCAATATCACTTTTATCAGTTTTTTCTAAAATATTTGAGAAAATTATGTATAATAGAGTTGTTGAGTTCGTTGAAAAATTCAAAATAATCTGTATCAATCAATTTGGATTTCGAAGCAATCGATCTACTTGCTTAGCTATTTTAACTTTCCTAGAAAACCTAAGGAAAGCTATGGAGAATAAACATTACAGTTTAGGGATCTTTTTGGATTTAAGTAAAGCCTTTGATACGGTTAACCATGATATTCTACTTACTAAATTGAATTTTTACGGCTTCCAGGGTAAATCCTTGGATTGGTTCAAAAGTTATCTTAGTAACAGAAAGCAAACTACTTTTTTTGAACATGAATACTCGGATATGAAAACAATACAATGTGGTGTCCCTCAGGGATCCATTTTAGGCCCCGTACTTTTCATCCTTTACATAAATGACCTAATCTCTACTAGCAATTTATTCAAATATGTAATTTTTGCTGATGATACAAATATTCTTTGCTCTGACAAAAATATTTGTTCCTTAATTGATATAGTGAATAATGAATTAAAAACTGTAGATGATTGGTTCTGTGCAAATAAACTCTCATTGAACATTGATAAAACCAACTTTATGGTCTTTACAACTTCACAAAATAGGGTACCAGATAATATTTCAATCAAAATTAGAGACTCTTACATTATTCGTGTTTTTTCAACAAATTTTCTTGGCGTTATAATTGACCAAAATTTAAATTGGAAAGAACATATTCGAAAAATTGCACTAAAAATTTCAAAAACCATAGGTACTCTATTTCGAATAAAACACAAACTCAGTATCAAATCATTATTGAATATCTATTACTCACTTATTTATTCACACTTACAATATTGCATCCCAGCTTGGGGTGGGACAGGAAAAACACATATTGATATCTTATTAAAGCTGCAGAAAAGATTTGCCCGCTTAGTTACTAATAGTGAATATAATAAAGCACCATCATCACCTTTATTTCAACAACTAAATATACTGAAAATAAATGATATTTATAAACTCAATGTTCTTATCTTTACTTACAAATGCATCAAACGTCCATACAATTTTCCGAATGACTTATTTTGCAATTATTTTCAAGCAAATCAGCAGGTACACGACCACAATACAAGACAGACTGACAATCTTCATATTTCCAAATTTAGAACCAACTATGGCAAACGAAGTATTAAAACTCAAGGGGGAATAATCTGGAATTCAACTCCAGATGTTATCAAAAATTCAAAAACCATTTTTATTTTTAAGCGAGCCTTCAAAAGACATGTAATTAGTCTCTATGATTAGTACCCTGTACAAATTTTTAACAGATGCACCTTTTTCCATTTAGCTATTCTACATCATTAAAATGTTTTATTACATCTTTTATAATGTACATCATTTTTATTTTTATTTGTTTCCCAGTTTGGCTTACACAATTTATACTTTGAGACACTTTGTAACATCAATAATAAATGTAACTAACAATATGCCATTTTTAAATATTTTAGCTTGTGATAAGACATACACCCACTAGGGTGTCATTATCACTTATATGTATATATGTTTATATGATTTTAATAAATAAAAAAAAATAAAATAAAAAAATCTTGAAACATGTACCAAATACTCTGACATGTCTATTGATCGAGAGTTTATTTGGACGTCTGCTAAGTTATACTTGCATGCCATCTATTGTTGAGAGCAGATTTGTAAGACACGGTACAGGTATGATGCTAGTGGAACCACAACAGAGGAACAAAGTACCCAGCGTACCTGTGTACCATTCCTGGGGAAGTAGGGTAAGGCATCATTGGAGATGATGTCACTAGGCATCATGGGAGTATAATGTCCTTTGAATATTAAGCCTTATATGTATGTGAAATATGGGAAACAATGGTTCTAACGTTATACTAATCAATTGTAATCTATTGTATGGAAAATATGCAAATTATATAACTATGAAGAAAAAAAGTATGACATTAGATACCATTATATGTCCATATATGGTCTTGCATTCAGTTCTTGCCTCTATTGAAAGATGGCAGTAGTATGCTTTGCCTGATAAGTTCTCCTTCCTATTATGACTATACCATTGTTTGTGATGTCACCACCCGATGTATGTGCCTTGTAAGCTCCCCAACCCACTGTCTGTGATCGTATGTGAAGTCTGCCTTGGTGTCTTGATGTGAAGACTGTCGCATTGTTTATGTTCACTTGTATGTGAAGTCTCTGTTACCATTTTGTGCTAAATATTGGCTTGGATAATTAGAGGCAGCCACAAGCTTCCAAATAACTAATTCTGTTTCAAAAATCCAGTTAGGTGTCAAATTAACAGCATGGTATTTGATCTAGTGTTAAATTCATAGAATCATTCTTCACCATCAGGCTTTGCTGTAAAATACCCCTGAACTGAAGATGCTTAGAATGCCATGATGATACTTCCATATGATGATACTTCCATATGATGGTACTTCCATACAATCGTACTTCCATACGATGGTACTTCCATATGATGGTACTTTCATATGATGGTATTTTCATATGATGGTACTTCCATACGATGGTACTTCCATATGATGGTACTTCCATATGGTGATTTCTGCCATACTTTACCCATCATAGTTATTTGGAACATTGCATTTTCTATTGTCTGTTTGCCAAGCAATAACCATCCCATCAAAACCCCAAGTGTAATCCCCTATGTGTACCTTCCATATATCTAAGTCCCATAATGTAGCTCATATATCCCCTGTGATACTTTTCCCCCATTAAGCCAAGCCCATAAATTCCTTTACATGAGTCCCATGCTCATACATGATACAAATGTACTCTGGCATACACTGTCCCTTTTGTGTAAGTCCCATGCACACAATTTCTGCTATAATATGTCCCTTATATATGTATCTGACTTGTAGATTTGTAAAGACAGCCATGTCCTTCAGTCAGCCCTTACACCGAGAGAAAACACCCGGAGCCCCGGCACAACATAACTGGGGAACAAAGGTAGTTTCTAAATACCCAGACCCATCCAAGCATGAATGTTATATACATATATGTTGTAACTCCCTACATCGATGGATTATAAGAATAAAGGGTGTTAATTTTCTCATCCTAATAACCCTAAAAAAAATTAATAATTCATAATGATATGCACCTTACACAATCAATTAACTCGGACACAAACCTTCTTTTTTGCAATCTTCAACGAAAATTACAAAATTACACATTTTAATCGCCTTTTAAAAGTGAAAGGGTGCAAATAGTTTGGAAGTTGTCATAAAGTGAGGATTTTTTCAAGCATTAGTGTTATCAGGTAAGAGAGTTTATGCATATCTCCCTCTGGATAAACCCCATATCCAAAACCTTCCGGCACATAACCCTTGTTTACGCCCAAGTCTATTAATTGTGTAAGTTTCATGTCGTATTGAATTAAAATATTTTAGCGTTATTTGGAATGAGAATTACAGCTACTGGCCCTTTAAATGTCAAGGTCATATTCATGATTTATGATATATTAGGGTATTTCATCAGTCAAAAATTACAATGTTTGGTTATTTTTTGATAGACAATAGTTAATTCTCATTTTCCTTAAAATGTGAAAAATGATTCATTTAAGCTCTTCAGCAAACACACATGATTTCTACATTTCTACTAGTTGATGATATTTTAGTTAAAGTGCTTCATGCTTAAAGTGCAGTATAGTTTTCCCATTGCTTTCTAGTTATTGTGAATTCTCAGAAATTGTTCCAGCTCATTGTGCTTTTAGGTCACTGTGACTCACAATACATAATATTAAAAACATGCCATTTTGTGATTATCAGTCATTTTATATCTGCATGCATGAATCTAATTTCCTTTGGAACACAATTGTTAATATCAAAATAGATGTTTTTATAGGAATTCTATAATTATTGTTTTTCCTTTAATTTTATGTTGTGAAATCAATTTTATTCAATTAAATCTTTGGATTAAAGATCATAAACTAATCAATTTTGCAATTTTTAGCTTTTGATGTTTTTTGAAATATCAATAAAATAGTCATATATCATTTTAAAGCAATGTTATATTTTAGATGCTGAATATCTGCTATGAGAAATTGATATACCAACAATATACAAGCTTTGTTGGTGCCCCTCATTTCCGCTCCATTACGCGGTTAGTTGGTTACCAAGGTATTGCCGTGGTTATTGAGGAGCTCTTGAAGATCATCAAGAATTTGGTAAGCAACTTTTCACTCCGTAGAACATGGCACAAATATGGCTAACTCTTGAGCTATGTAATATTAACTGTATATATTGGATTTGGAATAAGAGATGTTTGTGCGAAAGATGCAGTTGAATATTTCTGTTTTTCAAATTATTAAAATGTAAGACAAATAATGTAATCACTTGTTTTAAACATTTTAGAATATTGTTCGAATCTCTATGTTGCTTCAATTACAACCTACTGGTCACTCATGATTATGAAAAATGAATGAAAGATAAAATGTATATGAATTCACTTAACCTCTTGAATCCCAGGCTCTAAAATCGGTTGAAACCAGAGAATTTTTCATTTTTGCCACCTTTCGACATTTCTACAAACCTATACAACTTTAGATGCTCAATTTAGTAAAATTCGACGGCAGATATCTTTTCTACACATTTTAAAACAATTTTTGAGTAAATTGGACAAAGATTGTTCAAATAAGAGTAATTTTAGTGGACGTATTTTCTCGTCGCTCTGGGTTTCAAGTTCATATCTGAGGTGACGAGAAATCGCGTCACTCCAGATAGTCAAGAGGTTGAAATGTCTCCACTCTGACCTAGATATTATCTAGTGAGTCTTTATCCCAAAGTTATAAAATGGTTGCTTACTGGACCGCCTCGAATAATAATGATAACATTTTCTATATTTTAGCACCACAGAACGAGGAGAGAAAACAGCATTCTGATTAATAATAATATTTCTTTAATAAATTCTAGTGCTACGGTGCTATACAGCAATACATGGTAACTCTACAGAATGTAATGCCCAAGGTCTGTAAGCTGCTGCGCTATGACTATGGTTCCCCAGGTAACAGGACACACAGACAGACATGAGACACACAGACATACTAACCTTGAAGCTTTCGATATTGATGTTTATATCTCACCGTGGTCTAAGTCCAAAATATTTTGATCAAGCAAATGTTAAATTTTTATTCAAGGGATGTGGTAAATCTGTTAGTAACAAGACTTAGAGGTTAACTTTCAATTAAGAGAGGTAAATTAAAAAGAGGGGGTAAATTCAAATCAATATTGAGTGATCCCCACTATCAAAAGACCATAGTGAAATATATCTATCAATGGGTCGATCAATATTTAATTCTCTGCTGGATTTGAAGAATTGATCTTACTCCCCAAATTCCCATTTTACTTACTAAAGCTTTTTTCACTGCTTTATTTGGCTGATAGATACCTGATTTACAAAGTATACACCTAGTATATGCTTGTGTGTGTATAACAAATGTGGGTTAATATGACAGGTTCTACATGTAATACCCTCCCCTTTTTGTTTCAATCAATGCCAATTAGCCAATTAGATCTTGACTTGTGTCCTTGACTCTATTGGATTGTTTTCTATTTCGACATTTTTTAGGAGACATATTTGAAGTACTTTCTCATCGACCTTTAAAGCCTATTTAAGTCTCTGTTTATTACTTTTGTTTATTCGTTTTTAAGTCCTGTTCAGCTCTATTGCCTCTAAACTTTAGAGTCAATAGTCCTAAGGTCAATGATCTTCAACATCAATGTCAATAGTCATCAACATCAAGGTCAATAGTCTTTAAAATTCATGAATACAGTACACCAGGGGTGGATTAAGGATGTATATCATCCCTTAAAATTGCAGATTTTCTTTTGATTTGAAAAATGTCCATCTCATCATTGTACCAAATCCAATTTTTGTCCTCATCCCTATATGTTGATTGGTTTTGAACATCCAGTTCAATGGGTGTGTCTTGGCTAACTCAAAAACCTGGAACTTCCCCTGGTGACAAATGGTATTAGGATTATATTTTTCAGTATGTTAGTTCAGCTATAAATTATAAGGGCGCTTTGTTTCATTTTTTATGTCTCTGCTGTGAATTGAAAATTGAGAAAATTAGGATGTTTGGTTATTCCTTGAACTTTCTTCAATATAGAATAGACCAGAATAAAATTTGCAGTCTTGTAGTAGTTTCTGGACAAACTAACTGATATGAAATATGAGATTAAGATATCTTGCCAATCTACAGAATAATTTGATTATAATGTAGACTCTATATTTTAGATATTACTTTCAGCTTTTGCTAATTTTTGCAGCTGTTATGGCTACCCCTGTATTACTAGATGTGACGGTGTCAGCTGTATAGTTTATGTGTCATACAGATGTGTTTTGCAGCTGTGTTATTATGTGATACGGCAGTATTATTTGTCATGTAGCAGTAATATAATGTGACATAGTTGTATTTTTATGTCATATTGTGTGATAAGCTGTATTAGTGACACCACTAATTATTATTGTATGACACCACTTTATTATTGTGTGACACCACTGTATTATTGTGTGACACCACTTTATTATCGCATGACCCACTGGTAAAGTAGTGGTGTATTACAATGTTTTGTTCATGGAATCCTATTTCATGTAATAACAAATCATGCTTGAGTTCTGTGATTAAGTTATTTTAACATTTCAAAAGTGTTAATGTGCCTTCAAAAATATAAATGTGCATATTGCATCAAAAATAGTTTTTTTTAAAATACTGAGGATACTAAGTCTTGCAAAATATAAATGTACATTGTCAATCAAAAATATTTTCATGAAAATTGATTCATTTATACAATCTCACCCTGTATATTGTATTACCAAGGATAAGTAAAGCCTTTATATGAACATAGAATCTTAAAGCATGCTTTGTTATTTCATGTGTAACCTGTGTCCTCATTTCATTATCATACATTAATCCCTCCCCCTCCCTCTAATAGGAATATGCTCTGGTCATGCTAGAAATAATAGATATGAGAGGAAAATGCAAGGAATTTAACTGCATGAAGAATGCGTACAAGGTTGCTCAATAAGTTCGGAAACACTTAACATTAGTAATACCCTGTGAGTAACGATAATAACTATATGAGTTTGTAAGACTAATTATGTCACCACCACAAGTGGTTATAGTCTCCAACTTTTTATAGCACCCTTCAGGGGCTATATTGTATTCATTTTGTTTGTGGATGGTTTTCGGCAGTTGGTGTTCGATGGTTAGTGTTCGGAGTTTGTCATTCTGAGTTTTGCATCTGTAACAAATGGTATGTGATGTTTTTTTCTGAATGTTTGACATTATTCTACGTGCCATGTGAGAAATTATGAAAAAAACTAAAACTGGTGATTTAAGATCAAAGAATTTCTTAAAACTTATTGATCAACCTGACATATTCTGTACAGAAATGCACCCGCAGAAAATGAAACACTAAAAAATTAGAGTTGTATAAGCCTGACCAGACTGTAATTTTCTAACTGCTATACCCCATTGATACTAATCTTAGCTTCAACAGTTGCTGTGTACACCACTGAGCTTTATTTACAGTTGCCATGCAACACTGCTTTTCTTTACATACAGTTGCTAGGTAACAATGCTTTGTTTACAGTTGCTTGGTAACTCCCACCAATACTGTCTGACCCTCATGAAAGTTATGCCAAAACTTTGCCGTCTTCTGCGCTTTGATTATGGTTCACCAGGTATAACATTTTAGTTGCTATGGTAACACATCACATGTCATTGTGATTGTTGCCATGACATTTTGTGTATCATTTCTTTTGTATAGATTTTAGAAGTTGGGGGTTTTAACAAAACTATAACTTTTATATTAGTGCTTTATCTGGTATGTATTTGGGTCAAAACATCTCTCTATCTAATTTTAGTATATTTGATTGAAAACTATCTTGAAAATAATTTGACTCTGTAAAATAGAAATATTGTGTAAGATATCCCATATTCATAATAAATATATTTAATAAATTGAATTGAATTGAATAATGATCAACATTCAAACATTCAATATAACTCATTTTAGCATTGCGCTAGGAGATAAACATGACAAATTGCCAATTCAATATTTCAAGTTTAAGAAGTACTGTAATAAAGTCTTCATGGGACACCATATTGTCATGTCATATAAGTCATCAAAATAAATACAGTAAAACCTGTGTCAGTGGAACACCATTAATTGGTTTCACTGAAAGTGTTCCACTTAAATATACCACTTAAAGAGCAGTTCACACATAAGTCATTTGGTCAAAGGACTCTAAAAGGTGTTCCACTGACAAAGGAGTTCTCCTTTTAAAGGTGTTCCACTTGCCAGGTTTCACTGTATGCTCATTCCATGGCCAAGTCAATTAACTGATATCATGTACTTTGTAGGTATCCTAGGCTACTTCCAGGCACAATTGAATGATCTTATACAATACCCTGATCTTAGAACTGAGGTGTTCCAAGGCTTCAAGGAGATTGGCAATGCTGTTCTCTTCTGTATGTTATTGGAGCAATCATTGGTGAGTTTAATGATCAATTTCCAAATATGGTATTATGTCTCCATGGTGATGACATATTGATATAGTCTCCAATCATCTGTCCTCTTCTGTATGTTACTGGAGCAATCATTGGTGAGTTTAATGATCACTTTCAAAATATTGTTTTATGTCTCCATGGTGATGACATATTGATATAGCCTCCAACCTTTTGTGGACGGTTTTTGGCAGTTGCCATTGGGTGGACAGCTGTTGACATCTGTGACAAATGGCAGGTAGTGACATTTTGCTATCGTGTTTGAATTCATGTGCAGCCTCCAAATTAGTCAGTCAATTGGTAGGCTTTATGATTTATTATATATGATTTGTAGGCTACACTGAACCCTGTATGGGTTAAAAAATGTTTAAGTGTAAGTAATTTTTACAACAGCAGTATCACCATCATTTCATCAAATTTCAATATAGCCTTTGTAAAGTGATAACGAAGTCTTGTTCGTTTAGTCAAGGGGGTATTTCAATCTCATGTACCAATAAATCATAGTTTCTCAATAATGGTTTTCTATGGTTCTCATTCAGCTTATTGTTCTAACAGCATCTTTCTTTTTGTTATTAATGTTGTCATGGTTACTGGGTTGAAGTATTTTGATTGGTTCATTGTCAACACACCCAAGCTAGGAGGTAAAATGTACTTATAAATAGGTGTGATTTTTCTACTTGAATTTCTACAAGAATAAATAAGAGCTTTTTGTCGTCAAAATACAAAGAAATTATCATACAATCAAAACAATGTGACCCTTACCAAAATACAACATTTTGAACACTTACATACAAGCTTTCATGTAATGTATTATACATGTCTTAGATAAATGAACTGATATCCATTAATCAACCATAAAAGTTGAAAGTAAAATTTCGGGAAATCAGTTCAAGTTCAGTGAAGATTTGATATTCGAACCATATTTTTGGTTTATGCCATCCATCCGATCACCAAGTCCTTACAAGTAGTGTTTAATTTTAGATTAGTGTATTTTGTATTTGCTTCATCAATATTTTCTAATCAATAATTTTATGATGCATGCTTAGGAGATGGGCTAAGACACATGACACAATCCTAAACATTCGCTGCAAATTCTTGAAATTGTGTTTCTAATATTCAAGGAAGCTTTTTGAATGGGGAATGTTGAAACGTGCAGAAAATAATGTAACTGGCTCTGGAAATTAGCTTTTGTTTTATGCTAGGGTCGTAAATATACCCTCTTTGATATTAAATCGTTGAAGTCTGCCAAGATTATAAAAATTCCCAATTTTATTGTTTTATTGTCTTTACTGAGTCATCAGTGTTAATTTCAACATTGTGTGTTACATCAGTATGTTACACTTCATTTTGGTGTTTGGGTTGGTTGTTATATCACCACCAAAAAGTGGTGACATTGTGTTATGGTCTCCAATTTTTGTGTTGGTGTCTGTCACAAATGGTGTTGACATTTTGCATGTTAATGCCTTGTGTATGTTTTTTGATGTCATTGTACACATTTAGCCTTTATGAGCCTGTGTTATTAATTTAATGACACACCTATATTTCACCTCATTTCGGTTCAAACTGATGAGTTTTAAATTTTCACAAAAAACTTCAGTTGCTTTCAAGATAAGAGATCACTGTCAGCCTCTTGCCTTCCAAATGACCAATATAAACATTAAAATGTGGAAGAGCATATTTTACAACTAAATTACCTGAAATCTATTCAGAATTTTTCACACTTCTTACATGCCATACAACACAGATCTTTGAATGCCTTCTGGGACTCCCTGTGTCTTAAGCCATATACTAATGGATTGAACAATCCGTTTATCTCTGCCCATATAAGGAGAAAGAAAATGGCCGTATTTGAGTACCTCTCTGCCATGATAAGTAAATACAATAGAAACGGTATCCAACACACATAGAATGATGTCAGTAGCAAAGCAATAGTTTTGATCATCTTCATGGTTGGTCTATATTTATGATGTGGATGATTAGAATTTGTGGACGTAGCACGATCCCTCAAAGTTGATGCGATTTCAACAGAATTTGGACGCTGAGTCTGCACCCTTTGTTGCTGTATTTCTGAACTAGTTGATGTATTATTCAAGGCAATTTCTGACCCGATCGATAGTCTTGTTTCAATCTGCAGAGCGATGCGCCTCGCTTTCACAAATATACAGGCATATAACAAAGCGATGACAACTGCACTTAGGAAGCATAGAGTGCTCCATACAATTGTATAGCTGTAGCTACTCACCTCCGCGAATGCACATATTCTATCGAATGAATTCCACCCCATTAATGGGGCCAATCCAAGTAAACCCGCAAATATCCAGATGCTTATTGTTGCGATGATGACACTAGGCCATGTGACCAGGGTCGGGTAGGTATATGGATGGAATATTGCGATGTATTTCTCCAGTGCGATTAAAAGGAGAGAAAAGTTGGAAGCCCCCAGGGCCATGAAAAGTAGTCCCGGCCCATAAAATAACAAACACAGCACCTCCTGACTCTTAATTGCAACCACCCATTCAAGGTTGGCATAATTTGAATCCATTTTCGCTTTAGTTATAACAATATTAGTGACTGCAACATAGCATAGACTTAATCCTGACAGCATATCGGCCCATGCTAGGCTAAATAAAGTCCATGTTGTAACAGTCCTTAACTGTTTAAATCTAAGTAACAAAATGATGTTTACTGCATTACATGCCATTACAGCTACACACAGCACCAAAACAGCACAATAAAGAATCATCTCAAAAATCCAAGTTTCGCACTCGGCCTCTACATCCAAACTAGACAAAAAACTCAAAAGTGAATAGTTTGCAGTTTGAATAAAGCCAGAGGTATTACACCGTGGAGATTTAACAAACACGCAGTATTTCAATCGTTTGCTTTCTTCTTCAGCTGCAGTTATGTATTCTTTAAAGTTGACGTCAAAAAAAGTAAAGTTAGGGCATACGTTTTGAGGTAGTGTGGCTGTTGAGATCGCCATTGTGTCTGTTGAGTATTTGTGATATTGGTGAATATCTCCTCTGTTTTGTTTTTTAAATCCACAATAAAGTAGTGTCTTTCAATTTTTCGCTGTAATTGACTACTTCTCAGGTAACCAGTTGTCACCCAGTTGTCTTATAACTTCTTTCGATTAAGAGTAAGACCTACAAGAACATGCTTTTCCAGTCCAACAAAATAGCTCCATCTGCTTAAAAGGAAGTTATGACTCATCAAGTCCTATGATTCAAACTTTTTGGTACAAAGTTTGTCTACAGTTATACCCCTTTCTATCTCTCCAAATCACATAGTCAGTGTTCGGGTCGAAATATAAGCCGGTTCTTCATTCGTTCTTGATTCAAACGTTTTGGTACAAAGTTTGTCTCCCTTTATATCCCTTGCTATCTCTCCAAATCACATAGACAGTGTTCAGGTCAAAATATAAGCCCGTTCTTTGATTTATTCACTAAGAGTAAAACAACATACTGTTCTATTGTAATAAAGCCTCTTCAGTCCATTGAGAATGATATATGACTTTATAACAACACAGGCTTATGGGTTGTTCACATTTTCTCAGCAATTGAAACCTCTTATTAGAATGTATCACCATCATTGTATTAGGATTTAAAGAACGCATAAAGTGTTTTTTAATTGCAAAAGTCACTTGTAATGTGTTGTGACAATTTCAATTGCCTTTTATGGTTCGTTATAGTGTAGGAGTATGTATTTTGAGAATGATGTATAATCCACTTGAAAAATATAGAAAGGTTCGATAATTGCTTTATTCTGGGATGTTGTCGGCAGATAATTTGATTTTTTTGTAAATGTTTATCCTATTTGATAAAAGATGTCTTGTTCATTTCTCATATCTAGAAACTGGTTACTTAATAGCATTGTTTAGCTGTTAAGTAGAACATCGTTGATTTCCTCAAAACTGTATTCCACTAAACAAAAGTTAATCAAAATTCGCTAAAAGCATTCCACTTGTAGAGGTGTTCCACTTGTAGAGGTGTTCCACTTGTAAAGGTGTTCCACTTGTAGAGGTGTTCCACTTGTAGAGTTGTTCCACTTGACAGTTTTACTGCATATATGTACAAATGTTTTGATTGTTTCAAAATCAGGACTTGTTACATAAAGTTCAGATTCACTAAATTATTTAACCCCCATGTTCATGTTATTTACTTCCAGTCACAAGAAGAAGTATGTGATCTGAAACATGCATCTCCCTTCCAGAATATCATCCCCAAGCCACATATACCTCCAAAAGGTAAGTCATGGCGATTAGTTCATTTTATTTCCAGGACCACCCCTGAATACTTTTTCTCCTATTATATTCAGGAGCTCGATTAACTAATATAGTAAAACCCGTGTAAAATGAATGTCTCTGGGCTTGGACGAAAGTATTTGGATTAGCAGACAAGTACATAGTTAGTTGATGGGAGATAACTAATTGGGAAATAAGAAAAAGTTTAACTGCGAGAGGTGTACAGATTAGAGAGATGTTTGGATATACAGGTTCCACTGTACTGCACTAAATTATTTTGTAGAGGGCCAAGACAAAAAGGAGAGAGAGGCGGAAGCAAGGGCACAGATGAAACGCCTGGAAGCCAAATACGCGGCCCTACAAATAGTTCCCGTCATGAGTAAGCTGGGAACGAAACAGGTGCGTAAATCAGACCACAATTATTTTTCAGTTTGAATTGAACTATTGTCAGTAAATCATGTCTTGTTTGCTAGTGTGATTTACTTCATATAATGAAACAAGTTATTATCCCAACGAACGAAGTTCGGTAGGGATATAGTGAAGCCCTCCGTCCGTCAGTCCGTCGGTCAGTCCGTCCGTCCATCCGTCCGGAAGATAACTCAAATATTAGTAGACGGATTTTCTTCATATTTGGTGGAAAGATGTATATTGATGAATAGTTTTACGCAAAAAAATAATAAACTGACAATGTTTCAGCACCCTTCCGACACCAAAGGCCATCAGTAGGGCATAGTTTCAGCCCAATCCAATCGGTGCCAAAACTGGGCTGAACAAATCAGTCATTTGGCACATTTTCTTTCTGGCACCAGAACAGTGTTGATTCATTGTTGCAATCAAAATATTATAAAGTTAACATATGTTCTTGTTGATTATTCCAGCAAGCAGACATCGCAGCAGAAGGTGACCTACTTACACGGGAGAGACTCTGTTGCGGTTTGTCAGTGTTTGAGATTGTCCTGACACGAATCAAGTCATTCCTAACTGACAGCATTTGGCATGGTATGGTCCCAACCAATGGTGTGATGAATATTGATGAATGTACAGAGTTCCATAGACTTTGGAGTGCTATACAATTCTCGTATTGTATGCCTGTTGGGAATAATGAGTTCACCATAGAGTAAGTTGTGTTATCATAATGGAGTGCTATACAATTCTCGTATTGTATGCCTGTTGAGAACAATGAGTTCACCATAGAGTAAGTGATGTTATCATAATGGAGTGCTATACAATTCTCGTATTGTATGCCTGTTGGGAACAATGAGTTCACCATAGAGTAAGTGATGTTATCATAATGGAGTGCTATACAATTCTCGTATTGTATGCCTGTTGGGAACAATGAGTTCACCATAGAGTAAGTGATGTTATCATAATGGAGTGCTATACAATTCTCGTATTGTATGCCTGTTGGGAACAATGAGTTCACCATAGAGTAAGTGATGTTATCATAATGGAGTGCTATACAATTCTCGTATTGTATGCCTGTTGGGAACAATGAGTTTACCATAGAGTAAGTGATGTTATCATAATGGAGTGCTATACAATTCTCGTATTGTATGCCTGTTGGGAACAATGAGTTCACTATAGAGTAAGTGATGTTATCATAATGGAGTGCTATACAATTCTCGTATTGTATGCCTGTTGGGAACAATGAGTTCACTATAGAGTAAGTGATGTTATCATAATGGAGTGCTATACAATTCTCATATTGTATGCCTGTTGGGAACAATGAGTTCACCATAGAGTAAGTGATGTTATCATAATGGAGTGCTATACAATTCTCGTATTGTATGCCTGTTGGGAACAATGAGTTCACCATAGAGTAAGTGATGTTATCATAATGGAGTGCTATACAATTCTCGTATTGTATGCCTGTTGGGAACAATGAGTTCACCATAGAGTAAGTGATGTTATCATAATGGAGTCCTATACAATTCTCATATTGTATGCCTGTTGGGAACAATGAGTTCACCATAGAGTAAGTGATGCTTTCATAATGGAGTGCTATACAATTCTCATATTGTATGCCTGTTGGGAACAATGAGTTCACCATAGAGTAAGTGATGTTATCATAATGGAGTGCTATACAATTCTCGTATTGTATGCCTGTTGGGAACAATGAGTTCACCATAGAGTAAGTGATGTTATCATAATGGAGTGCTATACAATTCTCATATTGTATGCCTGTTGGGAACAATGAGTTCACCATAGAGTAAGTGATGTTATCATAATGGGGAGATTCACAATTTGAAACTCAACTTTTTGCATTTCATAGTTTCATATTGGCTTTTGTAGTTATTTTAGTCATATTTCTGATTGGATTTGCAGCGTCAAAAATGTTGAGTGTCAAAAATATTGAGTGTCAAAAATGTGGAGTGTCATTCATCTTATCCTCCAATGATCTCCACAGTATTAGAGCACAACTGCTTAGACCAATTTACCAAAACTCATAATTGACAAGTACATATTGTTCCATATAATAAAATGTATATGTTTTTGATTTTGTTATATATGGTATCTGTTGTGTTTCAGACAATTGTTTGGAGAAGGTCTAAACTGGGCAGGGTGTGTATTGATAGTCTTACTAGGCCAGCAGAGGAGGTTTGAGGCCCTGGACTTCTCATATCACATTCTACGTGTTAACATGTTGTTATATATGCTATCTGTTGTGTTTCAGACAACTGTTTGGAGAAGGTCTAAACTGGGCAGGGTGTGTATTGATAGTCCTACTAGGCCAGCAGAGGAGGTTTGAGGCTCTTGACTTCTCATATCACATTCTACGTGTTAACATGTTGTTATATATGCTATCTGTTGTGTTTCAGACAACTGTTTGGAGAAGGTCTAAACTGGGCAGGGTGTGTATTGATAGTCTTACTAGGCCAGCAGAGGAGGTTTGAGGCCCTGGACTTCTCATATCACATTCTACGTGTTAACATGTTGTTATATATGGTATCTGTTGTGTTTCAGACAACTGTTTGGAGAAGGTCTAAACTGGGCAGGGTGTGTATTGATAGTCCTACTAGGCCAGCAGAGGAGGTTTGAGGCCCTAGACTTCTCGTATCACATTCTACGTGTTAACATGTTGTTATATATAGTATCTGTTGTGTTCCAGACAATTGTTTGGAGAAGGTCTAAACTGGGCAGGGTGTGTATTGATAGTCCTACTAGGCCAGCAGAGGAGGTTTGAGGCCCTGGACTTCTCATATCACATTCTACGTGTTAACATGTTGTTATATATGCTATCTGTTGTGTTTCAGACAACTGTTTGGAGAAGGTCTAAACTGGGCAGGGTGTGTATTGATAGTCCTACTAGGCCAGCAGAGGAGGTTTGAGGCCCTGGACTTCTCGTATCACATTCTACGTGTTAACATGTTGTTATATATGGTATCTGTTGTGTTTCAGACAATTGTTTGGAGAAGGTCTAAACTGGGCAGGGTGTGTATTGATAGTCCTACTAGGCCAGCAGAGGAGGTTTGAGGCCTTGGACTTCACGATCACATTCTACATGTTAACATGTTGTTATATATGGTATCTGTTGTGTTTCAGACAACTGTTTGGAGAAGGTCTAAACTGGGCAGGGTGTGTGTTGATAGTCTTACTAGGCCAGCAGAGGAGGTTTGAGGCCCTGGACTTCTCATATCACATTCTACGTGTTAACATGTTGTTATATATGGTATCTGTTGTGTTTCAGACAACTGTTTGGAGAAGGTCTAAACTGGGCAGGGTGTGTGTTGATAGTCCTACTAGGCCAGCAGAGAAGGTTTGAGGCCCTGGACTTCTCATATCACATTCTACATGTTAACATGTTGTTATATGGTATCTGTTGTGTTTCAGACAATTGTTTGGAGAAGGTCTAAACTGGGCAGGGTGTGTATTGATAGTCCTACTAGGCCAGCAGAGAAGGTTTGAAGCCCTGGACTTCTCGTATCACATTCTACGTGTTAACATGTTATATATGGTATCTGTTGTGTTTCAGACAATTGTTTGGAGAAGGTCTAAACTGGGCAGGGTGTGTATTGATAGTCCTACTAGGGCAGCAGAGGAGGTTTGAGGCCCTGGACTTCTCATATCACATTCTACGTGTTAACATGTTGTTATATATGGTATCTGTTGTGTTTCAGACAACTGTTTGGAGAAGGTCTAAACTGGGCAGGGTGTGTGTTGATAGTCTTACTAGGCCAGCAGAGGAGGTTTGAGGCCCTGGACTTCTCGTATCACATTCTACGTGTTAACATGTTGTTATATATGGTATCTGTTGTGTTTCAGACAACTGTTTGGAGAAGGTCTAAACTGGGCAGGGTGTGTATTGATAGTCCTACTAGGCCATCAGAGAAGGTTTGAAGCCCTGGACTTCTCGTATCACATTCTACGTGTTAACATGTTATATATGGTATCTGTTGTGTTTCAGACAACTGTTTGGAGAAGGTCTAAACTGGGCAGGGTGTGTATTGATAGTCCTACTAGGGCAGCAGAGGAGGTTTGAGGCCCTGGACTTCTCATATCACATTCTACGTGTTAACATGTTGTTATATATGGTATCTGTTGTGTTTCAGACAACTGTTTGGAGAAGGTCTAAACTGGGCAGGGTGTGTGTTGATAGTCTTACTAGGCCAGCAGAGGAGGTTTGAGGCCCTGGACTTCTCGTATCACATTCTACGTGTTAACATGTTGTTATATATGGTATCTGTTGTGTTTCAGACAACTGTTTGGAGAAGGTCTAAACTGGGCAGGGTGTGTATTGATAGTCCTACTAGGCCAGCAGAGGAGGTTTGAGGCCCTGGACTTCTCGTATCACATTCTACGTGTTAACATGTTGTTATATATGGTATCTGTTGTGTTTCAGACAATTGTTTGGAGAAGGTCTAAACTGGGCAGGGTGTGTATTGATAGTCCTACTAGGCCAGCAGAGGAGGTTTGAGGCCTTGGACTTCTCATATCACATCCTACGTGTTAACAGGGTTGACCAGGCTGATGACACCTGTAGAGGAATAGTAAATAAAACTTTTTTTACATTCATACAAGTTTGTTGTCAGAAGTTACCATAGCATCCACAATATTCAACCAATTAGAGAACAGTTACTTGTTTTTAATGCACCTAGTCCAGGCAGCAATAATATTAGGCACATTTATTCTATTTTGGATTAGCCATTGCACTAATTGATAATTATTAATGAAATATTTAAATTGAATTGCATTATATTATGTAAATAAATTCTTTGTAAATTATTAGTACAAATGTAGAACCTTACGAATGTAGCATTCTTTCTGGCTCATTAAACAAACATCATCATGTTTTTAGAGCAACAAAAGTATGCCAAAGGGAAAAAGAGTTGTATTATTTGGCCACCCTGTACTCCAAGGGATTCTTCAGTTGTTGCAACTAAGACTTTTAACACCATAAACTTACGCAATTTTTTATGATTCCAGCCTCTAAAAAGAATGGTGGATCGTATACGAAAGTTTCAAATCTTGAACAATCAAATATTTGCTGTACTGAACAAGTATCTTAAGTCAAGTGATGCGGACAATCTCCCAGTGGAACATGTGAGATGCTTCCAGCCTCCTGTGCACCAGGATGACACCAGCTCTACTGTATAAGATTGGATATTATATACCTGTATTTAACATTTGTGAATAGTATTAGGTGTAATCGTGTGAAAGACATATCAGAACAAAACCAATTTAATTAGGAAGGGAGTAAAAAGATTTGACGAGTTGAGGGTTAATTAAGAAAAACTGCGACAATTTTATTTAAAAAGTGTGCAAAAGTAAATCTGAAGAGATGAAACAAAACAAGTTAAATTCATTTATTCAGTTGTTGTCAGCATTTAAAGCAACTTCGAAGTTTATATACTAGACAGTTTAAATGACATCATTTCCATCTGAACATCATTCAAAGTATATTTCAAGAATATTTTGGCAACTAAAAGTAGGCTATAATTGTACATATAGTATGGAAAAAATCTTGAATCGGGTACTTGTACTCCCAGATATAATCTATTTCTCCCATAATGCACCGGTGTACCTAAGATGAGGCTGAAACTGCCTTTTGCTTTTGGGGGAAAATATAAATAAGAATATTTCACATCTTCACTTGGCTTGCTATGCTTGAATTATTGCTAGCTGCTACACTGTATGGATAGTAATGGTATAGAAAAAAAGTAAACAAAAAGTACTACATGTACAGTAAAGCATGTGAAAGTGAACCACAATTGTAAGTAGAAGTCCAGTTATACATTAACTTGATGTAAAAATGAACCTCTTCAAATGGAACACCTCCAAGATGGAACATTATTTTTAGGAACCTGAGGTGTTCCATTTCTGGGTTTTATTGTAATGTTTGTTTCTAAAAAACACCCAAAAGACACCATGTGGACCAAAGTGTTTTTGATATGTCTCAAAAATCCTTAATTTTAATTGGAATTGCATTCTTCATTATTGTATCATTGGTCATATGAAACACCTACTTATTTTTAGAAAATAGGCATAAAATGAAAATAATTTTCCACTCAGAACTAACGTTAATAGCAAATGTATATATAAGTATTATTTATTCATTGTAAATATGTGTATAGAACAAACAGGTTAGCATGCATGTACTTTGTCAGTATATTTGATGTAATAGCATAGACAATGATGAAAGAGTGCTAGGAAATATGTAAAAAATGATACATGGTGCTGGTTAATTTGATATAATATTGCAGGAAGTAGAGATTACAATTAAGATTAAGACCTTCCCAACTTATTCAATTGTATTATAAGAATTCTATTAATATTATTTTAATAGTTGTAATGGCTGCCCTTTTTGGTGACAGATTAAGTCTAATATATAGAAGTTTGTGTGATTATGTCTAATATAAAGAAGTATGAGAGATAAAGTCTAAAAAATAAGTATGAGATTTTATAGGAATTCAAGGGCATATTGAGCATCAAAAACATATGTCGTGTAAAAGAGATCAAAACTATTTACAGTATTTAATTTTTCTTGCATTAAAGCCCTAAATATAATAGATTTAATCAACATTGATAAAATTGATGCTTTTTTCAAAAACGTCACTTTTCAAATGCTTACCCTTTTGCTTGAGTAATTCTTTTATGTACAGTGAAACCTGTGAAGTGGAACACCTAAAGATGTGGAAAACCTCTCTTAGTGGATAGTCCTAAGAACAATTGACTCAATGTTAAATGAACCTCCATACGTGGAATACCTCTCAAGTGGACCACTTTTTAAAGGTAATAAATGTGTTCCACTAAGACAGGTTTTACTTTACTCATTTGTAACAATTCTAATTTCAATGTTTCATCACCTAGAAGTGGTGACGTATTATATTGCTGACCAACGCTGGTAGTTTGCATTTGGCACTTGTGACTATTGTTACATTTTGTAACCATTTGCAATAACTTCCTAAATCGTAACACTTTGTTATGTTTCCCTTGTGTTGCAAAATTCTTAAACATATGTGAGTTGTTTAAACCTATTTGTATTGAGTATGAGCATATACAGTAAAAACTGTCATATCCGGATGCCAGTGGGACCGGCCAAAATTAGACGGTTTAACAGTTCAAGTGTTTTTAGTCACAAAAGTGTATCCATTGAGAAGTGGTCACAATTAAAAGTTGTTTTGGATAAAAAACGTTACGTATTTAGTTGCTGATATTGCTATGTATGTGTTCAGCAAAAATCATGAATTTTGTAATTTTTTTTATATAAAATGGAATTATATCTGCATATATGCCAATAAATAACATGTATAAATCATTTCTGTACCACTGTATAGTTTTTAAACTTGATAGCTGTAGGAAATGAAAGGTTAAAAACGTGAGACTTTAGTGAACATTCCAATAAGATCAAGGTCACTTGAAAGGTTTAATATGGAAATTCCAATTGATCCAAGGTCACTCGAAAGATTTAATATGTTTAATATAGAATTATTCCAATTGGGCCAAGGTCAGTTAAAGGTTGAACATTGAAATTGAAACATTTTAGAGATTGGTGCACAATGACTGATACTGTGTCGGGTAATATTTGAAAGGCCAAGATTGAGTTGCCTGAAAGATCAAATATGGAATTTTATATCCTTAACAACTAAAACACAATGTCATTTGAAATTTGAATATTTAGAGGTTATGTCACTATCGTGGCATATATGCCCGAGGTCTCAGTGATATATGGCCCGACCTTGGGAGGGACATTGATCTCTGAGAACCGAGGGCACATGTGCCACGATAGTGACATAAACGATTTATAACATGCCTATGATGATGTAGACTGGTCAGAGAGTACCATTTTCTTAAAGAATTGACAAATAAATGGTTTGAAAATGATTGAAATGAGTTTAGAAAAATTGCTCGCGCAGTTTTATCTTCGATTGATTGGTTATGACGTCAGCGCCTTGACCAATCAGAAAGTTAGCGGGCGCGGGCTTTTCGAAACTTATATTGGCCCGCTGTCTTGTGTACACTTTGCACTATACATCATCATAGGTATGTTATAAAGAATTATTGAACACCTGGAATGTCATATTTATAGTGCAAGGTGATATGTGATAAAACACATTTGAAAGCTCACCATGCAATATTTATTTGTAATAACCTTACTTGACTTCAAAACTAGTCATGGTATTTACAAGCACATAGTAAAAAAGAAACTGGTTAAAATATTTATTCTAGAGAAAATCATATGAGCTGTTAGCAACTATTGGAAATTTCAGCAAGAGATAAACTAACAGATTCACTGTTCGTCCTCACTCTTTTGGTTCTTTCTCTGCAACAATTTCTTTTTTGAATATTTCTATACATAGTTTTGAAGTTCTGGTAATACACAGTGCTATCTGCTAAACATAGAACTATAAGCACTCCAGTTAGTAGGACAACTCCTAAACCTCCTATGATTGGCCCACTTTTGGATTCTTCTGGTTGGTAGATTCTCTTTTTGGCACGTATGTAGGTCTCTTTCATTAATGTTGTTGATGTGGTGTTTGTGTTGCTATGACTACCCGTTGATGTGTTTGGTTCGTCATGGTTACCAGTTGTGTCTTTGTTGTGAGTACCAGAAGTGTTGTTATGACCAATAGATGAAGTGACTGTGTTGTCATGATGTCGGTTGGTTGATCCCGTGTTGTTGGCATGACTACCAGCTGTAAACAAATAAAGATAATTATCATATAATTCAAGGTGTACAGACTCACAGTTCTGTTAAGGATGCTTTGAATTTCTAGATTATCTGGCGATAGCTTTTTAAAAAGTGGAACGTCTCATGTTATAAATCCACTCCATTTCTGCATTTTTAATCTTTCAGTGCATTTGATCTGGTATCTCAATACAATCGGAGGATGTAAAGGCGTAGAGTATTTTAGTCAAGTACAACAATAAATATATTACAAAAACGTCCATGGACTACCTGATAAAAGTCCAATAGTCCATATACCTGTTTTTCGAACGAAAATACTCTAAGCGTTTCCACCCGTTTCTACATTCAGACTTAAAATTGTAAGTGAAGAAGTGTCCTGCCATTTGAAGATTTTCTCAAACAATTTACACTCTATCGCTTCTCATTCCTTAATTGTAATTGAAGTGGACAGTTTGGGTAATCTATCTGTTTGTTATCCGGCTCATTATGTACATGCATTGACACCATGTGTAAAAAGTCCAAAAATCTTTACACTGCCCAACCTAAATATGTTAAACTCAAAGGAATTTCTTAAAGTACATTATACTGTAGTCAATAAATTAATGGGGCCTGGATTTACAGACAATGCGATGTTTAGAGAAAATGATACCTAAACCATTGAATAAATTGAAACGATGACGTACCGGAAGAGTATGATAAACAACTGTCACCGGGATTTGAACCATGAATCGATTAAAGTACTTATAAATTGTCAAGTTGCGGGATTAGTATGAGCACTTTCCCGGTTATAAGGATTCGCAAATGATGTTTACTTTGTGTAGCCTTGAATCTACTGCACTAAAACACCCGTCAGATATTGAACATTTTACCAGTTTTATTGAAAATTCGTTTTTCTATTTTTTAAGAATCGTATCTTCTTAATTTGGAATGAATATAATATAGGCTTATGCTTTCTGCTTTTCTCTTTAAAATATATACAAATGTACTCTTCTTTTTTGACAATGGTAATATATTGTAGTGGTTTCTCGTTATCACACTTATAAGCATCTACCGATAATGCACCGTTTAGAAACCAACGGTTATTTTTTGAATTTAGATTACCCAGATCTTGCTTTATGTAGACCTTTTCTATGATACCTTGGAGTGATCCGAAGGGTACTCACCACGTGTTGATATCTGTTCATTCCCAGCACTAGTAACGAGATCTACTCGTGAAGTGGTGCCATGGTTTGTGGAAGATAAAGAAGTTGTGAACGAGGTAGTGTTTGTGACTGGTGATGCCGTTGTTAATGTGGCAGATATGATATTAGAAATTGTTACTGAAGCCGATGCCTGCGTAGTTTTGTTCATTTTGATAGTCAAATTTAACGTCTCTGTTATTGTTGAAGTGTTTGGCGTCTCTGTTATTGTCGAAGTGTTTGGCGTCTCTGTTATTGTTGGAGGGTTTGGCGTCTCTGTTATTGTTGAAGGGTGTGGCGTCTCTGTTTTTGTTGAAGGGTGTGGCGTCTCTGTTATTGTTGGAGGGTTTGGCGTCTCTGTTTTTGTTGAAGGGTGTGGCGTCTCTGTTATTGTTGAATGGTTTGGCGTCTCTGTTATTGTTGAAGGGTTTGACTTCTCTGTTACAGTGGTAGGGGAATCATGTTCACCTAAAGAAACATTGTTAAAGCAATAACTTTGAAAGAATAGCCCATATACAATGTAATTCAACATACTGATACATACTCATCATTCACTCACCAGATTGTTCGTATCCACAGACATATCCAAGTGGTATATCGCATTTGGTAGGTTGAACCCATTTTCCATTGTGATCCATATACACACAGCCACTACGATTTGACTTTTCGTCATCAACACTGCTCCATCTGGTAAATGTTAGAGGCGATCCATCCGACCATTCCCACGTCGAATGTGTCCCACGCGTAAGTCCAATCCACATGTTGGCAATGCTTCTAAAATCAAAATGATTTTAAATCCCATGAAAATTGTTCAAATTGTAATTCCTTACATCAGATTACATTAAGCTTAGTAGTTCTTCATAACCTCCTTGAAAACAAATCGCCTTCACCAAAAACGATCAAATTTAATGACAAGCTGTTTCATGCAATTCTAATTTAATACGACGAATGGGATTAATTGCGTCATTGATATGACGGATCTGACTTTTATTACATGGATATTTTGGACTTCATCAGTATAGGCTATTCCTCACATTCTTCAAATGTGATTCCCTCAATGCAAGATTAGGCTTATACAAATGTTTAAAATGACATAGATTATTAAATTAATATCTGTTTTTTTTTGTTATAATTCTCGTGATTTTCCATATTGCCTGATCATGTTCACTTACAAATTCGACAAAAACGTGTTGTCTACATCATTAAGAATTCCAACTAGATTGGCATCCATTGCTTCACATATCGTCTGCGCCTCTGAAAAAGCGACACCTATCGAGGAGATGTAGAAACATCTTGAGCCGTGATGAAACCAAGAAGACGGACAGGCCCCTGTTACTCCTGAAACATATTTTCATATCTCAATGTATGGGAAGACAATAGTTGCCGAGGTTTTTTTCATGATGATATACATCAGCCTTCTCAATCTAAAATACGTCATGTGATGATGTGACCATGATAATTTGGGCGCTGGAACAAATATTACGGCCAAATTGTTTTCCTATCAAAAATCTAATTGTCTTCTCACCACTCAATCAGAATATTTTTCTAAAAAAGATACTCGATTTGCAGATCGTGTTACATGTTTGAAAGGAGCGTTAACTGTGTGAGGATCATTACCAACAAGCCAGCCACATACATGCTAATGACATGGTAATACTAGATACGTTAAGACTTTTCAAGGAGTCTCAATCAATATTAGAAGAAATAAACTAAACATCATAATACCTAATCAAGTTTCAAACAAAGATGTGTTACATAGGTCGAGAAATCCATTTTAGCACAATTAAGAAAGACATATCACATGATATATTCTTTACTAACCCTGGTATCTTTACTGAAAATATTGTCGATATGCAACATTAAAAACAAGTCAAATCAAAATTACGGGAAACTACCTAATCGGAATCTTCAGCAGTTTTTTGTTTGCCCTGTCAGCGACTTAATGACTCGCTTTTAATCTTTAGATACTCTCATTTATCGTAATCATTGATTTAATTTCATCAAGGTCAAAGTGTACTGGATGCACTTTGCAAAATGAGCAATGAATTTAAAGCAAGCTTCGACAATTATGTGTTGCTATCATCGTCTCGGCCTATCGGCCAATGAAGTTAGCCGTATGCACTAAGCAGTGGACCAATTCTCTTCATTAATTTTATTGGTTTTTCAATTTTCCTACAAAATGATGTTTGCAAATCGTGTGTACTTCATCAATTAACCCAGTTAGCCTATATCCTATTTCTGATTCCGTCTTTGGTAAAGTAATAATGCCAACCCACATGTATTTAATTTTATTTTAAAAGTCGATAATTATTACGGATAAAATAATCCACTACCTCATTGAGTCCAGTTATCTAGTTAAAGGTACAGTCTGTCACAAACATAAATAATCTTGAACATTTAATGAACCAGATAAAATCTGGGAAAAGTCTATGAAATGTGTATAAAAGCAGAACTATATGATAAATCAAAAATTGAGAAATGAATATCCAAAATGGTTAAGTTGGTGGAAAAGTAAAATTTCTTTACCTGAAGATGTGCTGCTTGAACATATAAACAGCATCAGAGTCTGCATTAGAAACGGCCCTTTAAGATTCCTGTCGAAATCCTTAAACTTTATGTCCATAATTTCATAATTTTCATTTGAAATAGTTTATTTTCCCCTGTCCTAGCATACACACAGTTTCAGAGCAAAAACTAGAGTTTTCTTTTATTTTTAGCACTGTTTATATACAGTATAGTATCCTTTCTGTAAGTACTAGTATGTACTTTACATATATGTTGGTCTCATGGCTGGCAGTCGATGCCTCGTGACTTTGAGTGATACGCATCGTGCATCTTATGAAATCTACAGAGTGGGCCAAAGAATACTGAAACATTTTTAAATGAGATTATAACTGTTTTTATTACGATTGTATCGACCAAAATGTCGATAATGATGTATTGATTATTTGTCAAAGTAATAAACTGAAAGACACATTTTGATGTATATAAGCCAAAAGTGAGGCTACATGGTGACTATCTGGGGAGGCAGAGAGCCAATTTAGGACCGACTTGGCATGCTAGATTGAAAACCTTAATGATTAGCAGAGTGTACTTCCAAATTAACACAAATTGATGGCAGTGGACTGTTCTTTTACTTCCTGGTATCTTTAATACAATTTCACCAATTGGCAACAAAATAATACTACAATTTTAAATCCTATAGCCCACCTTGTAGAGAAAGTTGCACTGTTATGTTATATTTTTCCAAGAAACATCGCAATGTGTTATGATATATCAATTTATTGATCTCATCTCAGGTTGTAGAGTATTCCCTCTTAGATTTACTTTTGTCTTTAGCATAGATAAACACTTTTAAAAGCTTTCTTTTCGTCTTTTGACTTCTGTAAAAGGCGGCGTTCTGATATTCATTTTCCGGGGTAGTGAAAATGTGACACCAGTTGTCAACAAGTAGATAGTTATACAACAGATAGTTATACAAGAAGATGTATTAATTTACAAATAAAAACTAATGAAATGATCAATCGTATAGATTGGAGACACGAGTCACAACTACACTCACTTGGACTAACCATGGGATTTCAAGAGAAACTACATTAAATGGGAGTCAGATTTCGTATAGATGGCAGTTCAAACGTTGTTCTGCACACATGTCCCATTGGTTTGTGTGCAGTGCATGCCATCATGATAAACATTGACATCTCTATTCTTCGCAGCAATGAGATCTCACGGTGTTATTAGTTCCAAAAAATCTCAGATTTGAGGTAGTTTGAGAAGTTTTATCTCAGCGTGGTAGTTATAAACCTTGTGGGTATAACGACCCGTGTCTCTTAATTAATGTCTATTGGCCGATTATGGCAATGTAATGAACGGACAATAATTTAGTATGGGGTAAAGGCAGTCATGGTATTAGGAGTATTGACTGGTCAAGGACGATAGAAATGAGTTCTAAATAAAGAGGGCAGAATCAATCTGTGATGTTATAAGAGGGGGATTAGTAGCATTCTACTGGTGCTGCCATCTTTATATCTGCATAAAACCTATGATAACTTTGCATCAGATGAGCTGATATTACAGTATATGCCTTAATATGCTAAGTAGAACAACCCATTTTGGACATTTCACAGTTAAAGACTAAAGGTAAGTTTAAATCAAGTTCAAGCTGTCATTTCTGGAATTAATTGTGAATTTGATGACTGAGTACAATCTCTTCTTCACCATCCTAGGTATGAATTAATATTCTTTACTATATCTAGTAGACTACCTGCAATATTGTGTAACCAGCGTATTCACTGACAGTCAGATTAGCAAGCCATTATGCATTGAAAACAACTAGCATTTACAGTTCATTATCTGTATTATATATCAATTTTATGAAGTAATGTATTGATACATGAACAGTTATAACTTCCGCACCAGGAACATGAAAGAATAGCATTGTTTTGATACAGTTAGACTGTTTAAAAGCCCCGGAATTGTGGACTGGTCATCATGTTGTTTCAAGCTTTGCACGAGATTGAGAGAATCGAGTGCTGAGTTTAGGAAACAACGCCTGAGCCATCGTGGTAAGCCACACCCTCTCCATCGCTATCTTTCTGCGATGCAACAGAGAGAGATGCTTGAGTCTCAGAATGCGCCCGAGTGGAATGAAGCAGTTGCAATGCATTGAGTCTTGGACTTAAATTGTTTTCACACATTGCAAAATATTTCTACAAAATCACTTAAAAGATACGATATCACTAAAAGAACATGTTTTCAAAGGAACATTTCGGCAAAGAGAGTCAAGTTGTAACCTTCACAACAACCATTCGACAAATGACCTTGGGTGGTTTGTTGGTTATATAATGCAGTGCATTTATATGAAATACTGTGTTCGGATTGGTTGGAATCTGACACACCTTGCCTAGCTTTGTGTGAATAAACAATTAAGTATGATGGATTACAGAGGTCCATGAACTGAACTACAATACTAGGCTTTTATCGCCCATAATTCAAAGATTGACAAAACCAAATGGAGAGGCAATCTGTTTAATCAGTATCCTCTTTAACTCGAAAGTTATAGTAAGTTGTACATTTCTCACCATCTTTTTATTATGGACCTGCTTATCTATTGTATTTCCATTATTTCCAGTTTGATATGTTTTGTAAATTGCCGACAATGTTGAAAAAACGTAGGCAATAATATTGTATTGTATTTTTATATATTATATATGGAGTAAATGAGAAATGAAAAATTTTTTTAATGAGGCACATTGGGCGAAAATTAAAGGGTTTTCTTCCTGTTGTGAGTTGACCGATAAGACATGGCTGTTTAAATGTTATTTAAGGTAATGACACCATAATTACAGTTCTTATAAAATGATGACTAGGATGAATCTAGGATGATGGTAATACAACGTCGGTTCCCTCAAACACAGTCATAAGTTTGATGAAGCGAGATGAAACAGCAAGCCATTTACGATATGAAATATTTGGCACATACAACCATTATGTCAATGTCTAGCCAGAGACATATAACATTTAAAAGTTAATGTAACATATGTGGTACCATGGTGTGCGGGGTATGTCCTAGTATTTTAACATTTGTTAAAAGCAACTTTGATTTAAAAATGCCCTCCCACAGAGTCGATCTTTTTGGTAAAATGACGACAGTGATCCGAAACGAATGAATAATGGAAAAGGAGCCAATAAGTAAATATATATATATACTTTATACTATTAAAGAATGTAAATAAATTATACAAGATATTGAAAATCCCTCAAAAATATTGCAACAACCTGATGACAAAATCAATAGTATGATAATAACAGCATATGATCACTTCAATGGACACCTTGTGACATTTGGCGACATAAAGATCGAGTTTGGTGCTAGCAATTGGCACGAATCTAAATCACGTGTAATATCCGTCCCTCGATAAAAGCCCTACTTTGGCAATAAATGTAATCCATGGGTTTTTACGAACAATTTGCTCTGGTCACACCTGATCGCTTAATTTTTTTCGTTCACATCTTGTCACGTACATGGGCGTAGGAAGGTGTAAATTTAACAATTTGCCAAAAATATGAAGCAATTGTTTCAAATTTACTATATCAAAAAATCATTTTATGGGACCTGTCTAATGTGCTTAAAATGTTCGAAGGTTTTTCATCATATAATATCATCTCGGAAAGCCGATCGGTTAACCCTCAACTCATTCTCACTTTTCTAAATGTAAATGTTTATTTTCTCGAACGATATATAGATGACCAGATCCCAGATCACAATGAGATTTTTTTAATCATTTTTGAGTAATTGAGTTTAGATACATATTATTGTCTGATTCCATCGTGAAACGTGAAATACGACAATACAGATTAAAGAATGATCTATGATCTATCGATAAAAAAAACATATTCGTGATCAGTGATACAATTAACCCTAATATCTGCAACCTTTTTTATAACACTTATTCGCAGGACCAAATCCCCCCCCCCTCCACAAAAGTCAAATCAGTTGTATAAGCATTACGGATCATGCACAAAAAATGCAAAGGTATTCATGAAGTAATAGGCTTATTTGAAAAAACTGTTTTTCTCTCAAATTCCTGAAGAGCATGCGATTCACGATTATTTGGCGAAATTGTAGCTTTAAAATTCATAAGTTGATGAGAATCTGTATGGGGGAGTAAGGGTTGCCAAACTTGCCAAACTGGCAGACTCGAAATTTGGACCCCTCCTTGTTAGTTTCTGGATCAGCCTGTGAATAATGTAAGGGACTAGATTGAATGGAGGGGGATTCACGAATAACATGAAAAATAGAACCCCTGGTCACCAAATTCTGGCTACGCCAGTGCAACCACAATGCAAGAGAGGTGCCATGTTTAATACCTAAAGACAAAAGTACAGGTACGTGATACACTGTTAAAGTACCACTTGAATGCTACAATTCAAGGGCAAACACTATTACATTACACGGAGTGTCTTTGACTCCTATTAACTTGTAAATCAAGTTGTCGACACAATACGTTATCTTCCATCAAGGACGCTATCTTGGGGACACTTTTAGTTTATAGAACCTGAAACCATAACTTCATAAAATTCACAAATATTATCTTAATTCAGAGACGAGTTAAACAAATGGAGCAGCAAAAGGCGAAAGAATACAAGAGGACGCTGATATAAAGCAAAAGGTAGTGGACAGTGCAATAGTGTCCTCCCGGGAGTATCCTACTCAGTCAAAATCTGGTTGACTGGTCAATTCGGGGTTGCAATCGTTTTAGCTTTAGCACTGTGTTGAGGATATTCCGCGAAAACTTTACTCACTTCGTTCGGGCTCCTCAAGAAGAAGTCAAACACTGGTGCCCTTGACGATCTGAGAAAATTGTGGCATAAGTTCAGAACTGATCGATCGATTTTGGAGACTCGGAGGTGTTACTGGGCCAATGAACGAGAGTTTACGAAAACATTTCGGTGGAGATACATAAGAATAGTGACTAGAGGAGTCAGTTGAATATCTCGACATGGCTGGTGAGGTGTCGGCGACGTTGGAGTGGGGGGACTGGCTTCTTGTTGGCATCTACTTCGTCATAACACTAGGGGTAGGCCTTTGGGTAAGTAAAGTCACGTCATAACACTAGGGGTGGGACTTTGCGTAAGTGAAGTCACGTCATAACACTAGGGGTAGGACTTTGGGTAAGTCAAGTCACGTCATTAAACTAGGGGTGGGACTTTGGGTAAGTGAAGTCACGTCATAATACTAGGGGTAGGACTTTGGGTAAGTGAAGTCACGTCATAACACTAGGGGTAGGACTTTGGGTAAGTAAAGTCACGTCATAACACTAGGGGTGGGACTTTGGGTAAGTGAAGTCACGTCATAACATTAGGGGTAGGACTTTGGGTAAGTGAAGTCACGTCATAACACTAGGGGTAGGACTTTGGGTAAGTGAAGTCACGTCATAACACTAGGGGTGGGACTTAGGGTAAGTGAAGTCACGTCATAACACTAGGGGTAGGACTTTGGGTAAGTGAAGTCACGTCATAACACTAGGGGTGGGACTTTGGGTAAGTGAAGTCACGTCATAACATTAGGGATAGGACTTTGGGTAAGTGAAGTCAAGTCATAACACTAGGAGTAGGACTTTGGGTAAGTAAAATCACGTCATAACACTAGGAGTAGGACTTTGGGTAAGCCAAGTCACGTCATTAAACTAGGGGTGGGACTTTGGGTAAGTGAAGTCACGTCATAACATTAGGGATAGGACTTTGGGTAAGTGAAGTCAAGTCATAACACTAGGAGTAGGACTTTGGGTAAGTAAAATCACGTCATAACACTAGGAGTAGGACTTTGGGTAAGTAAAATCACGTCATAACACTAGGAGTAGGACTTTGGGTAAGTAAAATCACGTCATAACACTAGGAGTAGGACTTTGGGTAAGTAAAATCACGTCATAACACTAGGAGTAGGACTTTGGGTAAGTGAAGTCACGTCATAACACAAGGAGTAGGACTTTTGGTAAGTAAAGTCACGTCATAAAACTAGGGATGGGACTCTGTGTTCACACGTCAAACCACGCCATAACATTGCCATTTCAAAATCAATAACATAACATTTAAATAACAACATAATGATTTTGATCATTGAAGCGAATTCAAAACAGGCAATCATCAGGCAATCAATCATCATGATGGTTGCTATCATTCAGTTTATGCTTGGGATCACTGACCATCATCATTTGATATATAATCAAAATTCAAATATTCTTGCAATAATTAATGGCATTTAGTCATTGTGTATAACTTATAATTTGTATGTTTGACGTTTGGAGCATTTCTATATATTGTAGGCATCCATCAAAGGAGATCAGGGGAACGCTAGGGGATACTTTCTAGCTGGACGATCCATGACATGGATACCAGTAAGTTCTCAAACAGAATATTTTAAAAGCTCTAAAATTACTCATTATAGCCTTAGGCTTATCCAGTACTTGTCAGATGGGCACATGCGCTTTTTTGTTTCATGTTTCAAAGCCATAATCTGGCTTGTAACTGGGAGGGCAATGCCTTTTAGACTTTTAATGACACTGGGCTCACCTTAATTATGTTTTAAGATCGGTGCATCAACATTTGCGACAAACATAGGAGCCCCTATGTTCGTAGGACTGGCAGGGTCAGCAGCGGCCTCTGGGTTTGCTGTCACATTCTTTGAATGGCATGTAAGTACCACATAGTAATCAACCATGGCCTTGTATTTGTTGTCGCCTGTTACATGTAGTTTATCAAAAGATTGATTACTTTTGAATGTTAAACATCCACTCGAGTCTTTGATTTTTATGTCTATGCCATACTCTGTTTTAATCAGACGTCTTGGATTCTAAGTGTGTGATACAAAAACTGATAGAACTAACGTGAACAGACATTACATATTATGTTTAATGGGTAGGTACTGAAGGGATAGAGCCAATATTTTGGTGCGCTCCCCCTTTTTGATAGAGTGAAAGAAAAATTGTTTAGAAGTCGTCTAACAAAACATTCTCGCATACTTAAAGTGTCCATTTTGACAAGATGACTTGAGATGTAAATGTCGAGGAGCCACTTAAATACCTTTGACATACTTACCAACGACATAAATGAAATGTGATGACCCTTATGTGGTGCCCAAGAATAATTTAACAGGACAATCATTCACAAAAATGCGTTGGTATACAACGTCATCTTAAGTGCAGTGTTTATTGAAAGGCCAATGACCCACTGGAGAACTACAGCGACTGGGGGGTTCTTTTATGGGAAAGAAAGACCCAAGTACTACTATAATTTGAGTCTCAAAGAACATTGAAAAAACAGTACTGTTCAAGAGATACCAACATATCCCATATGTGTGTTGACTTTGTTATTTTGTCATTTCTAGGCTGCGTTTATGCTAATACTTCTGGGATGGCTGTTCTTACCAGTATATCTCGCATCAGGGGTAAATAATGCATAATTATAAACATCCTATGTAATAGCACGTGTTTCTAGATCTCCTGTCAATAAAACATCCACTACAATATTAAAATTCATCCTGACAACTTGATGTTTCTCCGTCCAGCTATCATTATAAACGACCCCAAAGTCATTCGACGTTTTTGGTGTTAAAGAGACCCATTTTGCATTTGGAAGTGTCAGCTCCATGTTGTCGTTTGAAACCACTCTCTGAATAAATTGTCCATCGTCAAAGATGCATCCTCCTAAGCAGGTGTCCAGAATCCGTACCTCCTTGTAAAAAAGAAGAATATATTCTGGATTTTGAAGCCTTGCTTACGGAGAACGCAAAGATGTCGAGTGTCATTCGTAAACACAATTTAGTTAGTTCTGCTGTGCTTCTATCATTGGGCATCCTTTTAGATTTACACATTACCAGAGTTTCTAAGGAAGCGATTTGGAGGGAAGCGGTTGAGGATATTCTTGGCAATAATACAGATCCTGCTGACAATCGTTGCTTCAATCTCAGGACAAATCTACGCTGGTACTCTGTTTATTCAGCAGATCTTCAAGATAGACATGTACCTGGCTGTTGTTATCATTTTGGCCATCACTGCTTTCTATACAGTCGCAGGTAGGTACAACTGTACCAGAATAGCCTTTGCTGTTGGCTGTCTATTTTGAAGCATGTGGTTGAGGGGCTGGGTTATCTAGATTTTTACTTACGTGTAATAAATGCTTAAACGATTCATGGAATCCTTTGAAATGCGGATCACAGACCCAACCTGAATAGTAAGCGAAACTAATATCCACAAATCTCCAAAAGCTAATACGATCAGATTCCCTCAATCATGAATTCAGTGTAGGAATTGGTGATCTGTACCTTTTAATGAACACGATGATAAAGAGGGAATGTAAGCATGACAATATTTTTGAAGGTTACAATGCCAAAGTCAACGTCATTGGGCTATAGCCTTACCCCACAAAAATAAACGGAACGGATAAATCTTTTTATTTTAGGAGGACTTACTGCTGTTATATGGACTGACACCCTACAGACCGTGATACTCCTCATAGGCTCTGCTGTACTTTTCGTAATAAGTATGTTACTTACAGAAAATGAGAAAATATGAAAATATTTCTTGATCACTTGCCAGTAACAGCCTCCTTTTACGATCTTATCTTCTGTGATACTAGTTTATAAAGTAAAATATGTATTAAAATAGGGAAAAAATCTGATCTAATAGGGTCCTTGCCTCTAATCTAGACGGAAACGATATGTAAGCCCCCATCACGACCTTGAATACCATATTTTTGATAATTTACAGAACCTTTGTTTACCGGTTCATGGCTTATCCAAAAGCATATGAAGTTGATAACGTATTATCGGCGCATCTCCCTCAAAGTAAAACATGAAGTTGCAGAAATATATTCGTAGTCAAGGGAACGCCTCATCTATAAATCCATCATGACTTTCAGGTATTGTAAAGGTTGGTGGATACGAAGCATTAATGTTCAAGTATAAAACCGCAGCTGCTAACTACACCATCAACGACTACGCATTGTATGGCAACAGAACATGTGGTCTCCCACGGGAGGACTCATTTCACATGTTCAGAGCGCCAGAGTCAGATTTCCCGTGGCCTGGTATGATATTTGGACTGACGATCTTGGCACTCAGGGCTTGGTGTGTCGATCAGGTACTTTTAGCTTACCTATTTCAAAGTTTGTCTCTGTATAGGACATCAGATCAGTCCAGCCTTTGAAATAGGTAACTTCTAGCCATAAATGACCCACAATATAAAATGACATTAATTTGGATTCAAAGCTTAAATTGACCAGCTATTGAATGGTAGATTTGGTAGAGGAGAAAATAGAATGAATTTCTCCTGAATTAATATGAGATACTATTTTTCTGCTAGCTTATTTAGCAACCAAAACTCACTACAGGTAAATGAATTCAGGTTCTGAAACAAAAATATCCACCAACTGATGAACTAGGTAAATAGCAATAAAACTTGGGTAATTCACTGATATTATGAATTTCAGACATGTGTCCAAAGGTCTTTGTCAGCCAAGACGCTGACCCATGCCAAAGCAGGCATGATCTTGGCCGCATACCTCAAGCTCCTTCCATTCTTTATGTTCATCATACCTGGCATGATAAGCAGAGTTCTCTACCCAGGTATATATTGATGTATATAGTGTTAATATGGTTAAACATGGAGCTCATAGTCTGCATTAGCATACGTGGCTATAAACGTAACACCAATGATATCAATAAATGTATAGGAACAGGATATCCTTTCCCGTACATATGTAGGTATGGAGTTTTCTCTTTTAGAAGTTACATCACAACAAACCACAATTTCAAATGGGAGAGATTGTCACACTCTCTCCTGAAAATATTTTCACTCAATGTACAACTTAGGCTGGAAAGGAGGTCTGGCATGGGGAACAGAATGACCATACTCTAATTTGTCATTTGTATTTACAGATGAAATAGCGTGTGCCGACCCTGATCATTGTAGAGAGGTGTGTGGGAACCCATCAGGCTGCACCAACGTGGCATACCCTTTCCTAGTGACTCGTATCTTACCCACAGGTAAAGAGACAGATAAATATAGCAGTGCAACGATCAATGGGAAACCTAAAAGATACTGGGCTACTAATAAGATTTGCAAATTGATAAGTGGTTGTAAGTCCATTGGTTTGCTTGTCCCTGGTGTATCTATTTGGTTTGCTTCATCAGATAAAGTTAGTAGGTTTTCTCTATAAGCAATATTCAGATTTGCTCATTTAGGGCATTGTTCTTTCATTGGGTTATGAATTAAAAGTCAAATGGCACACTCTTTGCTTCAAACCCTATAACTAAGGTATTGCTTATGACAGTTGGCATTTTGGTTACTTTAGGTGTGAGAGGTCTAATGTTAGCTGCTCTTATAGCTGCGTTAATGAGCTCTCTGACGTCATTGTTCAGCAGCTCAAGTACAATGTTTACCATGGACTTATGGAGAAGGTTTAGAAAGAGGCCAAAAGAAGCAGAACTAATGCTTGTGGGTAGGTACGTGTCATTCCTTGTTCTTTCATGACTTAATGACACATTTTGTCAGCTGTAGTTATGTACGCATCAATACATTCCAGATTGCTTTTATTTGAAATATACCAGATTTTTCAATAAGTTCATGTAAAAATACTCTCATTTCAAAGGATTTCAATATTTTTTCATGAAATTTTCCCAGAACATCCAAAATACCTGGTTATTGATTTGAAAAATATCAACGGAATACATACATGAACTTCTTTAATTTCAGGCTATTCACCTTGTTCCAAGCAGGACTGAGTGTGGCATGGTTGCCCATTCTCCAAGCTGTACAAGGCTCACAATTCTGGAATTATGCCCAACGGATCTACTCATATGTCTCCCCACCTTGGGTGATGGTGTTCTTAATAGGAATGTTTTGGACTGGAGCCACTGAACAAGTATACAAGCATTTTAGTAGTTTTAGGCTTAATGGGTTCTCTTTATAGATAGATGTCCATTCACCATTAACTGAGTATGTGAGTGTCTAATTATTTATTTCAATTGTAGGGAGCATTTTGGGGGTTGGTGTTTGGACTTCTGGTTGGATTTATCCGGCTTGCATTGGATTTCTCTCATGCGTCACCACCATGTGGCAGTAATGCTGTAGATACGAGACCAGACATCATTTCTAAGGTACAACGTACATTATATACACCTTATTTTGCACCCTGTAAAGGATGGGATTTTGTGTGTGTTTTAATTCGCTACCAAAGCAATGGATGCCTGTAATACAGAATGTATTCAATACTGGATAAGACCAGTTTTTGATAACTCTGAATATAAACAAAAAAGTCAACTACTGTACTATGGCCTAAATAATATTTATATCAAATAGGTCAAGGAGAAAGATACAGCCTCTTTAATTTTTTAAATTCTAGGTGCACTATCTACACTTTGCTATGATTGCCAGTGCTGTCTCTGCAATTGTTATTGTTGGAATAAGCCTCCTCACTAAACCACGCCCTCCGGAAAAGGTGAGTACACATGATGTTGGATTTCATCATTTTAATTTACAGTATAATTCATTTTAGGATTTACGCTACATGTCTCCCCTTCAAGAAAAATGTTCATCCACACATTGAAATATTTTATTTGACATCTTATTGGTCTAAACTTCCTTTCACGCAACCCTTCTCTGTCCAGATATTAGCCTTTTCAATACATTTCCCTCCACCAAGAAAAATGTTTGTCCACACATTGTAATTCCATAAGTAAAGTATCATCAATGGCATCACGCATAATGGTCTAAGCCTCTTTTTACTACACCCCTCTCAAAAGATATTTTCCAAAAGGGCCTGTCCATCCACTACATCTCTCCCTTCTCACAAGGTGTTATGATCACATCAAATTTTTGCTCATCGACTGTTACTAATGTTGTTCTGCTGAAAAGGTTCATCCACACCTTGCAAGTTACTTTTTGCTATATTGACCTTGGTGTAAACATTCTACACTAAGTCTCATCTCGGACCTTGGGGTCAGAACATACTGAGTCATCTGATACACAAAACATTTTCTTTTAAGCTACGTAAAGTGACATTCTGGACTCGTAATGACCCACTGGAGCCAGAACTAACAGATGATTCAGCCGATGAGGAAGATGAAACTATTGAAGTAGATCCTGATGCAGGTGAGTATTAGAATAAAAGAGATAGCAGCCGTGAATGACAGAACATAAATAAACTAAAAAATCATACCTTTTTTAATAATGGTACATTTCCTCACACCCAGTTTCCTTAAGGTTGAAAGATTGCTGTCCATATGTCATAGCGATGTATCCAATTTCTGTATCCATGGAGATTTCCCTTACTTTTATAGTTTGTATACAAACAACTAACACAGCTACACCTATGTAACACGGTTAAAATTGTCATTCCAGCTAGCTAAAATACAAACAAGAAATCTTTTAAATAAGTGCTCAGAAACATTTCGTTTCTTAAACAAACAAAATTAGTTCTTTTTTGTTCTTAATCAGTCATTAAACATACTTATCTTTGAATTGTAATTTTCCGAGTCAATGAAAGAAAAAAGGTGAAGAAATTATCAGTACAACTTTCATCATTTTCACTATCTTTTTATTATTTTTCTAGAGCCACCATCTGTCCCTCGTAAAGTCTACAACTGGATCTGTGGTGTTCAGACCAATCCTCCACCCGTACTCACGGAAGAGGAAAAACTTCAACTCCGCATAGAAGCCACAAGCATTAAAGAAGATCCTTTCTGGAAAAATGTGGTTGATATCAACTGCATTATTTGCCTGACTATTGTTATATTCATTTGTGGATTCTATGCATAGTTGCGAATCTGCGTTCTATGTGAATTACTACAAGCAGTCTGATAGTAGAGGAAGTGGATTGAATGATATTAGTCGATATATTTAAACAGATAGATGTCATTGAAACTGGCCTTTTTATGGATTTCAAGATTCATCCATGCTAATATGCACCAATGGTATATTATTTAGATATTATACATTTTCATGTAGATTTGATGTGCAATAATCTGATTGATAGAAAAATAAAGAAAAGCATATTTACAAATGTTGATATATAGAGTAACACTATAGCAATTCAATAGAGTATTATGAATGTCAGTCATGCTGAAGGCTTTGAACTTAGTAATTCTCCGGTGGTCCAAATTTGAAAAATCCAATTACCTTTATGAAAACTTCTTTTCTTTTTTTAACAATACTGAGAAAAATGGTATGATAATTTCTGGCTTATTCAATATTTATTTAAATATATTATCAATTTTACTAAAACAGAAACATGAGTTGAAATTTCACAGGAAACAATTATTTAAACTTGATAACCAGTTCTCACATTTTGATACATACTCATACATTTGGATGTATTGAATATAGGGTGAACCAAAATGTTGTAGCCCTTTAAACTAAACAAAGTACGTCATTCAATGTTCAGCTATAGTGAACAGCTTCATTCTTTGCCATTCCATCTTCTACAGTAATTATATTATTTCTTGAAAGGCATGACTGCCATGGTATGTGAGTCTACTCATTTATCAATAGCACACATGGCCTCATCTGTTATTCCTCCAAGTTTTTGTAAATTTGTCCTAAAACTGTTAAATTCTTCCGAGGATATGAGGCTTTGTGATTTTGTATGTTCTTTTCTCTGTTTCATAAATATTCGTCTACTGCTCAGATTATTAGCAGCAATATCACCTTTATCCATATTTTCAAACGCCATGATTTCTGTGTCCGCATTTTTCGTGTCTATTGGTCCAGTGTCATTACTTGGAAATGTCTCTGTTTTAGACTGAATTTGATTGGAATTAGCAATCATTTTTCTCAATGCTATTGCCTGATAATTTGCTTCTGTTGTTATGGCATCTAATGCAGTTGCTATGGCAGAATGGTTGCTGTGGTGACTCAGAGATATTTTACAGTCACTAGGTAACAGTTTATACAGCATTTGTACCAGCAGTAGTAACTGTCTGTGATCGCTGAAACATAATATCAAATCTGCATTGTACCATTTTTGCAGAAAAAGTTGGTGTAAAATAGTGCCAAATTGATACCATTTCAGTATCCATATTAAGTCAAGATATAATATCTATTAATATTAATTAATCAATTTACATTAAGTCAAGATATAACATTTATTCTATGAATCTTTTATGAAGCAACTGCCTATAACTGCCAATTGATTAGGAGTCAACTTCATAAATAAAAAAGAACTGAGCTTTCTTGGTGCCAAGTTGGTACTATTTCTGCATACAGAGACAGGCTTTATACCAAACAACTGCTGAACTGACTTTGTAGTAGCCTCAAAAAGTGAAAGAAATGAATAAACTTTATTGTTAATTTTGAACTGCCAAACAGTTGATTTGCTTGAAAAAAAAAATCTTTCATTAAAACACAAATTAACAAACAAATAAACTCTCTTACTTGGAGTAAATGACCACCATGGTCAGTCTAAGTTTTCTGGCTTGAATCTCCACCCTCACATTCTTCAGCATTCCTGTTTCCATTATGTACAGATAGGTGTCACTCCAGACAAATCCAATTTTCCCAAGAATACTTTGCAGTGCAGGGTGCGTGAACTGACTCTGGATTTCTAACTGAGTTGTTATTTGAGTAGCATCTAAACAAAGTTTTGTTTTTTGCACTTCATCTGCTGTATCTGTAATCAAACAATAAATAGAATTCTGTATACCTGGCTATATTTCTCATATGTTCACAAAATTGAACTTTAATATTAATAGATTTGTATTTTTTAAGTATGAACATGGAGGCATAAGAGAAAACGATCAAAGGCCATGATGGATAATAACAATAATTGACAACAATCACCTAAACAAGGCATCAACATGCAAAATGTAACCAGTTGCCATTTGTTAGACACCAACCACCTCCACCAAACACCAATCGCTGAATGCTGGACACCAACCACTGTCCACAAAAAAAGATTGAGACAACAATGTGTTACAACTTTTGGTGTTGACATAAAAATAAAAATGTTCTTAGCAATATTCATACCTAAAGATTCAATTTTACCAATAGTGGGCTCTGTGTTATATTTACAACTGACTATATCCTCAGCACTGATGCATGCAGGTCCTAGATGACATGTGAACTTGTTGTTCATATCTCCATCAATGTTCTCTCCCCAATGAAGCAATAAATCAACAGTATGTGACGATTCATACAGAAAGTTTGGCACATCTAGAATGACTAAGATTGTCACATGGTCATTTGGGTTGAGTGGTTTGTCTACAGTAGATGATGTTGTATTGTCTTTTGTTTGTTCCAAGAAGTCTTTAGGTTGTCGATTTTGACTCAATGTTACTATTTTACAGGTTGATTCAGTGGTTCCCATGGTAGCAGTGGTTTTACTGTTGCTATGTGCTGTGACACCAATGATATGAATCTCTCTGGAAGAAAAATTTAAACATGACTAATTTAAATAATTTTGCAGGAATTGTTTTTGCTTGCAATGTGCATAATGACCCATCAAGGGATTTCATTGAAGAAATACAGTGGTTTAATAAAATATCCAATGTGCTCAAATACAAAATGGTTTGGCAGTAATGTGAGAATATCAGATTATGTTGTTAATTGACATAAAGCTTATAATTATATATAGGTATTTGTTTGTGGATCAGATTTTATGATTTTACATGTCAGGTGTTATTTTCCAAGAATCGTCTCTTTGGATCTTTATTTTATCTGTTATCTATCTGAATCATATTCAGTAATCATATCACAAGTAGTAGGTACCTTTCTAATGTATTAACCACCTCCAGGCCAATGATCCACTTGTCCCCCAATATTCTATACCACTTGTTAACAGCTTTGGGAGTGAGAGGGTTAACATTAGTTCCAGGATAAGCATTGTGGGTAATAATCTCCTGTGGAGGAGGTCCTCCTGTTAAGGTGACCATGTCAACACTCTGAAGAAAAAAGTACAGAATAATACAAGTACATGTAATCTGAGGCCAATTATTATATGGACAATCATTCTCTTTAGAACGTTTTTTGCATTTAGATTTTAATGTCCATTTCGTTAAAATTATTTCGAAAAAGAGACAAAATGGGTGTTCATTTTACAATGATTCTAGACCAATGGCCAGGTTTTGGTGGGGTGCAACCATTTTCCATGTGTGCCCCTTTCACTTCCTGGACACTGGTAAGTGTTTAACTTGTGTTTTACCTTATTTTCATGTGTCCATGGTGATTCTGTTCCTAGTGTCATATGCTTAATAGCAACACAGGTATCATCAATGAGCTGTTGCTTGTCCACTGCTAGTTGCTTAGCAACAGTCACTTCCTCCACAGTTGCCTAGTAATAAAGAACATACAAACAAAAATCCCAGTAAACAATACAAACAAGACAAAGATTACTAATTTTTGTGCAGACATTGGTGATAAAAGTTGATTGACATTAAAAGTTCATATTCTTGAAATATCCCTGCACAATCACCAAATGAAAGGAAATATTTTTTACTTAAAAAATACTCAAATGGATACTTGATCAAAATATAAATCCTATTAATACATAAATAGAGGCAATAATAACTATCATGGTACCTGAAGTCTGGATTGTAAGGCTTCTATGACAGACTGGAGATTATTGCTTGTATTATTTTCATCTTTTGCATCAGGTACCTGATCCACAACCTGAAACATGCATATAATAGGTGAGTAGGCCAAAGAAATAAATAGTTTTACTGGTAGTTAAAGGTGAAAGAAAGGATAGAGCAAGTAAATGCAATAATCTTCAACAAGGCATTCACATGCACAATGTCACCACCTGCTATTGGTTACAGATGCAACATTTGTTACAGACACCCACCATCAACCACTGAACTCCGAATGGTCCAAGTGAACACCAACTGCTGTCCACAAAAAAGTTAGAGACTATAACAATATGTCACTACTTGTGGTTGTGACGTAAAAACCATGCTATTGTACATACTTACAATCCTACTTTACTACAATACTACTTGAGATATCTGATCAATAACAGCGAAAAGTTACTTAAGATAAGATGCAGAAATGTCCAATTCATTAAAACTGAAAAGGAGAAAATAACTCTAAAGGGTCTTAGAGTTAAAATCTGTTCATAAGGATGCTACTTACCATAATAGAATGGACTGACCAGGCCTTTAAAGATAGGCATATTTTTACACTTTAATTGAGGACACACAACTGCATGTATGTTTAACGGTATGTGTACTAAATGTGTTACAGTATACTCTAAAACCTATTATTCTCACCTGACTTGAATCTATAATATGCGCACCAAAATCTGTCAGAATAAAACTGTTGCGCTCAAGTGTGTCATTGAGAATGAGGAGTTGATCAGTTCCGCAACTAACAAAGTCACTAATGAAGGCCTGGTGGGGGCTATGGTAAGTCTTGAACACCTGGAACAGATCAATACCACGTCATATAAATTTTTCTAAATTTTTTCTGAACAATTTTTCGCATTGTACATTAATTTGTTATTAAAATGATGTCACGGAGAAATTATATAAGCTTTATCATTTTAGATATTTAAACAATAGGCAGTCGCTCTTTGTTATATATTGATCTCTTCTAAATAGTCTTTAACCCTTTCCCGACGTGAATATTTAGAGGAAAATGTTGGCCCTCATGACAGATAAGTAAGAGCAGTTTTGAGGGGAAAACTGCAAATTACCTTCACCCCGGGACCTATACCTTGAATTTTATCACTGAAATACAATTTCTAGTAAGAATTATCAAATTACAATTTGTCAAAATTTGGTGTAAAAATACTGAATAGAACTGGAGATATTGTCATTTCATTGATGTATATATTATATAATAATGGTGCCAAAAGGAGCCTTTTCGTTCTGAAAGATATTACATAATAGGGCTCCATATGGAGCCTATCGTCGTGAAAGGGTTAATCTGAAGGTTCATGTGATGTTCATGTATGTGTACCTCAAATGTTCTGCATTGCACAATTAATATATCCCAACCATCTTCATCATTCAGATTGGCCAAGACAATATACTCGAGTCCCCCATACGCTTCAAACTTGTCTATTCTCAAAATGTTCATATAACACAAGTCAATGCACCGTGTAACATCGCCATCTATAAACTCTAGGAGTTGAGCCAAATTGGTTGTAGCATAGATTTCAGAAGTGTATTCATTCTGGGTCACTGACTGAGAATGTTGCCGTTTCTTCACTTGTATATTTGCTAAAATGCTGACGATTATTGATGCATAAATATCAGGGATAAAATTGCAGTGAAGTAGTGTTTGTACATGTGCTGAGTTTGTGTTAAAAGAAACAGCCATCACAATGGTTGTGACATCACAGCTATCTGTTATCTGAGGCCAATCATCATCTGCTGAAGTATTTTCTTTTGGAAGCGACACTTTCAGTAAAATAATTGTTTCAAGACGTGAGACACGGTTATGGGTGAGGATATGAAGATTATCCACCGCATTATTTACAAATATTTTATGTTTGATCTGCTCAAAAGCATTTTCTTTCAAGTGATTAATAATTAGATGTGACGTATCCCTCCAAATACATATTGGCCCATCACATAATAAAATATCACCACATCGGTCATCTTCAGTTGTCGCCAATGTTCCGATTGTTTGCAATTCATTGTCTTCAATTAGAATTGAAACATAATGTGTGACTTCTTTTCTAGACTGTCCATTTGGTCCAGAAAGTAATTTCCAAACAATACAAACAAGCTCATCTTGCAATATCTTCACATGAACAACACCCAGAGCTAAAACTTCACTTTTGTAATTTTGATCCTTTACTTTCGGTTTCACTTTCGACACAACTTTTATTCTAAACTTGTCCACTTCTATCCGATGTGATTCCACGCATATCGAGGTTCTGTTTTCAACTGTTTTGGGCTCTAATCCAACATTATATAACGAAGCACCAAGCGCCACAATAGATCCGCCAATACCTGGCATGATCCCATCGTAAAACGTCGAAAGTGTTGAGATTCTAAATTTTTGAGTATCAAAATTTCCGCGAAAAGATGTAAATTTCGAATCATAAAATTCCGACTGGCCTAAAGTCTAGAAGAGCAATATCATGAGAAGAATTTTTATATTCTACTGCCCCACAGAAATCAAGTGGAAAACAGTTTGGCAGAAGTTCGTGCTTAGTGATGCGTACGGTAATGCGAGAAATGACTAGATCTAGAGTACACCTATCCGTAAAATACACTTTCTAACCCGGAAGTAGAAAATGACAAATCAGGTGTTTTTTATTTTTCTTATTATCTCAAATATAAGCATATTATCATATTAAATAGTAACTGTCGTATCTTTCACATATACTTTGTGTCATATTATAACAATTGCACTTCTTACGTTTTAGGATTATCGACATATGGTACCAGAACTTCGTGAAAAATTTCAAGAACAATTTGCAGGTAAAATTTTCACATTTCAAAGGCACCAATGATGATAGGCTAGCCTAATTCGCTCATGAATCAGGACTCGATAAAAGATGATTTAGTAGACTATCATGTCATATTCAAATGTTATTTTCAAATCATGGATGTATACCTTTGTACAGCTATGTTCAACACTTCAAATTGATCAGAGTGAAAATAAAAAGAGGGTTGTATATTCGGATATCTTGATGTTCCAGATCAATTAGCACTAGATGCTTACGATGAACGAGACGTCGAGCGGTTCAACAACGATGACGTTTATGCACATTGCTTCATGAAACACCACAAGGGAAACATAGATGGAGCCGTGAGCATGGTTGATACAACACTGAAGTTTCGGAAAGAGTTGGAAATCAATGGTATAGTAGTAATGTCAGATAGTTTGTACTGTAAACTACCAACCAAAAGAAGTGGTGTTTAAAGACTTTAGAATGTGCATCCTGCAACATACAGTTGTTAATGTAAACATCTTTGATATACCTAAGTAAAACCATTGAAAATTTATTGAGAAGAACAAACGTTCGGGGTTGGTAGGTGTTCACTATAGAGAAGGTAATTTATATAGAAGTCTGTAGAGTATGTGTGCAGTTAGGGTATGGATTAGAGACGGCGTTCACTAGAGAGAGGTGTTCACTAAGACAGGTTATACTGTATATAAAACGAAGTCAATTTTGTTCATCTTTGGATATTATTTACAAAGTAATGTATATGTATACTCTGTGTATATGTATGGAATGAGCCTAGAGTAAAATTTTCACGAAATGAAGCAAAATTTGGACAGTTTTTATCAATGGTGGAAAATGGTTGATTATTTAAGGAAAAACATCCTCCGATCACAGGGCTTCAAAATCCAGAATATCTTCTTACACCCTGCTATAAGCAGTTAGCATTTCCCCGATTAAGAACTCGCAATCTGATTGGCTGTCGCAACACTGCGAAGAAATCATGTACAAGTCATTGCGCATAATTAGATCACGTGATTCAGTTTAATCGGGTGCTTCCAAATTGGTTATAGCAGGGGGAAGAAGGAGGTACGGATTCTGGATACCTGCTTAAGAGGATGAGGAAAAAAGAATCCTGAATTAGTTGACTTTGTCTATTTAAAAGCTTGAGTTCATGTACCAACCCGTACACATAATACACGATGGAGCGGAACCTTCAAGTACATTATCAGGAATGAAAGCTTTTAAATTTAATAAAAAATTATACATGTAACAGGGTTCTTTATTACAAATTCAAATATTGTAAATACTTAAAAGGAAATGACAGTTCAGTTCTTTATGAAACCAAAATGCACTGTGGTGACATGACTCTTTATATACATTGAATTAATGCACTGAAACACTCAAAGCTGATTCGCTAAGACAAACTTGGCATGTTTGAATTCATGATATTTACTAGTATTGACTTTTTCTTATAGATCTGACTGATAAGTCTTTCCCAGCAGAGTGGCTAGAGAGAGGTGGAATATACTATCACAACCATGATAAAGATGGACATCCCATAAGTAAGTACAGTGCGTACGCACCAAAAATAGTCTATGTTGGGTGGTCTAGTGATTCTAATGGTAAATGGCATGACCAGAAGGGTGACATATTGGTATACTCTCCAACTTTTTTGTGGACAATGTTTGGCGGTTTGTGTTTGGTATTTAGCATCTGTAACAAATAAAAAATGGTTATGGGACTATGGAAAGTGTTCTACTTGAAGAGATGTTCCACTCAAACAGGTGTTCCACTTAAAGAGGTGTTCCGCATGACACTTTCTACCATATTTGTGAATCCCCTATGATATTTTCAGTGTTTTTCCGAATAAAATTTGTGAAGAAAGACCCACAGATGCTACCAACTGCAAAGAAGTTTCTGGCATACTGGATGGACAAACACCATAGACAAACCCCTGATGTACAAGTTGTTGTCCTCATGGATATGACTGATGCTGGCCTCAGCAATATGGTAAGTGCATGTACTTTATATTAACCTGAGTTGATTAAAATCCCAGGGATGGATCTGGAAATGGGGAGGCCTACTGTGGATTTATTTCTGAAAATTTTGAAACAAATAGTCATTGAATAGTCTTGCTTCAAGACTGGAACCCTATTTATCTACTTTATCACCAGTGGGGAGGTTTGGTGTGTAGTGGTCGGTCACAAGGGCTTGTTGCTTGACTAGTCATTTAACGTTACAATTGATATTGCAATGACATCAGCTAAAGAGAAAAGCTACAAAATGGCATGACCAGAGAGAGTATTGAGTCACATGATTACATATATTTTTCCTCTTGTTTCAGGATTTGGACCTCATTAAGTTCCTCATTACCTGCTTCACCTCATATTATCCATACTTCTTAGGTAAGATTAACTGTAACACCTAAATTTGGTGAAATCTATGGGGAAAGCTTAAAGTGTTCATATTGAGCGGTGTTCACATTGCAAGGTGTTCTCATTAAGGGCTCTGATAACATACATATACAGGGTGGGCCAAAAAAACGCCACTTTTTTTCAAAATGCTATAAATTTTTTAATTCTTGATACAAAATCATAATTCACATACCAAATGAAACTTGAGGTTGTTATCTAGCCATTGATCATGAATTATACACTTTTACTTGAATAAAATATGTCACCAGCATCTCACTTAAACATGTGGTGTGCCATGAGAAATAAGCATAATTTGCATAATGTTCCTAAACTGATACGCCCTGATGACCGCAAGCTAATAGCCTTTATTCAAACCTAAGTGAGTATAGGGCATGGGGAGGTCTCCAGGAGATGGTATGAAGGCTCCCAATCTAAAAAATTGCTTTACTTAAGCTGGCAATTAAGACACATTGAAAAAATATAGCTAACATTTCATTGATACTGCTATATCAGCAAGGCGACTAAAACTAAAATCTATCATCAAAAGGGGTGGCGAACCAATTGAACTCCTCTTTTTAGATCAAATATAATCCCAGTTGAAGGACTTGTTACATTATATTATTACTAAGAATCCTTGGCACTATATAACTGCAAAATTTGGGGTATGTAGGTTGGAAAATAAAAAAGTTATAGTGTCTTGAAAAAAAAGTGGCGTTTTTTTGGCCCACCCTGTAATAGTAAATATACCTTTCCAAAAAACCCTTCCAACTTCACTGCACAAATAAAGCATATGATGTTACAGGTTGTAAATACTGTAATATTAGGGAGTTCAAGCTTGCATATAAAATCGAAAGGCCAACCTATACGTGTGACCGATCGCCCATGCAAATGCTTCGCTTAAATATTTTCCATCCCTGTTTAGGTTATGAAAATATTGCAAGCTTAAACTCTCTAATATTAAAAAAACAAATCTCTAGGAGTTTTCCAAAATTAGCAGTACTTTCAATCCTATTTTTGGTTGGTCTCTGTATATTCTATAACTACTCTTATTTTCTTCATTGTGTCAAAATAAGGCAGGGTTTTTTGGACACCTAAAATATGTAGCCTTGTTGAATATCATTGAGGTACTACACCAGTGTTAAATGACATATCTCTCAACCTCCCATCATCAAATAATAAACCCATGCATGGTTTCACATGAAGAATTTGATTTTTTATGTCACCACCAAAAGTGGTGACATATTGTTATGGCGTCTGTAACAATTTCTTACAACTTCCTATAACTTAACAAATACTGTTTAGACTGACTTCAATTTTTTTCTAAATCAGCTACATGTTCTCAGAAGTTCAAATCTGACTTAAGTTTTGACATTTGACCTTCTCAAGGTCAAAAAGGTATTTTTTCAACTTGCTTCACATTGACTAAATTTTTTTTCAAAATCATCTACATGTTCTCAGAAATTCAAATCTGACTTTAGATTTGACTTTAGATTTGACATTTGACCTTCAAATCTGACTTTAGATTTGACATTTGACCTTCAATGACCTTCTCAAGGTCAAAAAAGGTCAAAAAGGTCTGTTTTCAACTTGCTTCAAATTGACTAAATTTTTTTTCAAAATCATCTACGTGTTCTCAGAAATTCAAATCTGACTTAAGATTTGACATTTGACCTTCTCAAGGTAAAAAAAGGTCAAAAAGGTTTGTTTTCAACTTGCTTCAAATTGACTAAATTTTTTTTTCAAAATCATCTACGTGTTCTCAGAAATTCAAATCTGACTTAAGATTTGACATTTGACCTTCTCAAGGTCAAAAAAGGTCAAAAAGGTCTGTTTTCAACTTGCTTCAAATTGACTAAAATAAAATTTCTAAATCATCTACGTGTTCTCAGAAATTCAAATCTGACTTTAGATTTGACTTAAGATTTGACATTTGACCTTCAATGACCTTCTCAAAGTCAAAAAAGGGTCAAAAAGTTCTTTTTTCAACTTGCTTCAAATTGACTAATTTTTTTTTTCAAAATCATGTACATGTTCTCAGAAATTCAAATCTGACTTTAGATTTGACATTTGACCTTCAATGACCTTCTCAAAGTCAAAAAAGGTCAAAAAGGTATTTTTTCAACTTGCTTCAAATTGACTAAATTCTTTTTTTCAAAATCATCTACATGTTCTCAGAAATTCAAATCTGACTTTAGATTTGACATTTGACCTTCAATGACCTTCTCAATGTCAAAAAGGGTCAAAAAGGTATTTTTTCATCTTGCTTCAAATTGACTAAATTTTTTTTTCAGAATCATCTACATGTTCTCAGAAATTCAAATATGACTTAAGATTTGACATTTGACCTTCAATGACCTTCTCAAGGTCAAAAAAGGTCAAAAAGGTATTTTTCAACTTGCTTCAAATTGACTAATTTTTTTTTCAAAATCATCTACATCTTTTCAAAAGTTCAAATTTGACCTTACAAGTTCTTAGAAGTTCAAATCTGACTTTAGATTTGACCTTTGACCTTCAATGACCTTCTCAAGGTCAAAAGGTATTTTCCAACTTGCTTTAAATTGACCAAATTGTTTCAGGTGGTGACATTTTGTCATGTTAATGCCTTGTTTTTTTATGCTAAGATCAACATCAAAGTTTTTTTTATTTAATTTATTTTAAGACTAGTATCCAATTCAAAATTATAAAAATGTAATAACAAGTTTGCTTATTTTGCAGCATACCTGCTGATGTATGAAATGCCCTGGATACTAAATGGTAAGTTATTGATTGTATATACTTGCATTGAAATAGAATGAAATAAAGTCCATGTATTTTAATAATAAAGTATTTGTGCAGATATGCCATATGTTTAGTGAAAGATTAAGCTCTGAGTATTATACATGTATATATATTGTTGTTTTTTGTATATTTTATTTATTATATATACAAAAACATTCTAAAGAATCCCAAATTGTTGCCATTTCACAATAAACAGTCCATTTGTAACAAAATGCTTGAAAAAGCCACATGCCCCTTGACTGGTGGAAGGGCAATAAAGAAAATGAACTAAATGTAACTAAACAAAGTGCACTTCAGTGGAAGCTAATTGTAACTAATGAAACTTCCTGTAATAACTAGATGTAGATATAATTTCTTGTAACTAGATATCACTTCTTGTAACTAGATATATTATCTTGTAACTAGATGTCCCAAATTTTGCAGCTGTGTGGAGAGTAATACAAGGATGGTTATCCGAGCGACAACGGGAAAAAATAAAATTTGTCAAAAAAGCTGACATTCAGGAACACATAAACAAAGATAATTTACCAAAACATATGGGAGGGACGGTAAGACCTGCTGCTGCAGGGAGAGTTGTTTATAACCCATGTGAGGCTCTCTTTTTAATCCTCATAGAATATGAACCTGATTGTTACATGTGAATGTGGTGTGTTATGAAACTTCATTTGACTTTCATACATTTTTTCCAACTGACCGTCTGTATTTAGTGAATCGCACGTATTTGTTAAATGAAATTCTATGAGAATTATCATGAGAGTGTCACTAATAGATAATGCTTGATTATAAAAATTTTATTCCAGAATCCCAAAACACCTGAACCTGCACTCCAATTTTGTTAAGGCTCCAAATGTCAATTCCCATCACCATCGTTCTCATATCATGGCAAACAACAGCTGTTACCATACCAACCATTTCCAAATTACCAAACAACCATTTACCCCTTCCCTTCACCAGTGCCCTCTATTTCCAGCTATCTGGAAGCTTATTAAATCGTGGCTCAGTCAGGAAGAGCAAGAGAGTGTCAAAATGGTGAAGAAAAAAGAAATCCCGCAATATATAGACCCTAGTCAACTCTTAACTTATATGGGTGGAACAGTAAGTACCACAACAAATTTGAATGTTGTCAGATGTTTTCCTCTTATTGAGTATCAATTCATTGGTTGGATTCATACCAAACACTTGCTTTCCATTGAGCCACAATTTTCTATGCATTCCTTTTTATGATAGATAACACACCTAAACCCCACTTGAATAATTAAGGAACTGTGTAAACTATTGCTTTACGTGTATGTTGTATTTGTTTTTGAGCCACGATTACTACATAACTGTGTAAAGAATACAAGTCTCTGAAAAAATCTGCCTCCCCTGTATATAGATAAAAATCAATTTTAGAACATTAAAGTAAATAATAATCTTGTTTCAATCCATATTAATATTATATTGCTTTAGTATATGATATAAATGTATTGATTGTTTAGGACACATATGAGTACAAATATACTCCCCCTGAACTAGAGGGGAATGGGGATGTCATGCATGATGTGGAGACCTCAAGCCTTGAATCCAGTCTTACTAGCAGCATAAGCAACCCAGCAACTATTCACAATACTAGTCTAGCTAGAAAAAGGGTAAGGCAAGATAAGTCACTCTGGGTACTGTGGATGATTTTGACCCTGGGTTTTAATTATCAAATAATAGTATCAAAAACAATTTGATATGCACCAAAATAATGGAAGAAAACAAACATTTTTCCATAGCAACCAATTCTAGGAATTTGATGTCATATAAGAGAAGTATTATGATGTCATAGCAATGCCTCATACATTCCGAACATATAACATCGGTTGCCTGGTAACAAATTCAGACAGTCTGTGTGACATCACAGTGATGATGTATCACAAAAACAATTAAATTAAAATTGACTATTGTGACATCACAGAATCTGAAATTCTTGGTAGTATACACAATAAACATAGAAACCAAGAGATGTTAAACTATTGAAAGAAGCCATCATGTACAGAGGGGACAGAGTGATTGTTAGTTTAAAGATGGATCGAGGAAAAGATGAGGTGGAGGGATATGTCAGGGGGCTTGTCAATGCCATTGAGATTGGAGATACGGATAGCCTTAATTCAAAGGCAGAGTCGTTAGAATCTGAAAATATTCTAGAAGGAAAATATCATAATGAAAATGATACAGAAGATGAAAGCATAAATGGGGAAATCAAGGAGGAGGAAGATGATGAGGGGGAAACCAAAGAAGAGGAAAATGTTGAAAAAGAAAATAGGAAAAATGAAGAAGATAGAAATGAAGAGGATAAAGCAGAAGAGAAGGTTAAATGATCAATTCTATATGTACTTGACAAAATATATGAGGTGTTAGTTATTCCATGAGTATATCTAGTTTTACATTGATACAAAAATTGTATAGAAACAACCATAGGCTTTAATCTTCAAATTATTTCAGATGCAAATCTTCCATTGATATAAAATCAGAATCACAGCATATTGGTAAGTCATTCTGCATTAAAATATGAAGACTCAATTGATTGTTTCATTTATTTCAAGGTAACATTTTCTGAGAAGGATCAATATACAAGTTTCTCAGCAGAGCAAGGGGATTCAGATGTTAGTTCAGGTGGAACATCAAAGGGAGACACATTGCTTTCACTAAAGTAAGTCAGGGGTCAGAGGCCATCTCTGTTACCTGGATTCAAGATTTTCAGTTCAGTTAAACCACCTAAAGGATTAACATATTTAGGAGGATATAAAATTGACAGCTACTTATTTATAAAAGAATGTTGAATTTTATAAACAATAAAACATAATGTTTCTGTTGAATTTGATGTAATTAGAATCATAATTTTCCGAAAATGCCCTATTCATTTATTTTTATTGTATAATATAAGTTGTTGAAGAAATGCAAAACATCCACCCTTGGCAAAATGAATTTATTTTATTCCAGTGTCACAGAAGAGATGGAGTTCAATGTCATTGATCCAACTAGAGAAACCAAGTTTGTGCTGGTACTAAGTTCAGGACATAAACATTTAGCTTTTAAGGTATACTTTTTGTCCTTTCATTTCATTATTTTCAATGGTTGGTTTACCTAAAATATCATATAACATATGACGTCTTAGTTACTGCTATACATATGATTTTATAGGTATTAAAGACAGTTCTTTTAAATTAACAAAAATAAATTTTTCATGGTTTCAGATACTTTGTACATTGATGAAAAATTCAGTAAATTATAAAGATCATTTGGTAAATCTTGACTGAAGTCATAACATTTCAAGTTATATTACATGAAATGTACCTTAAACATTTTTTTCTGAGAGTCTTTTATAATTCTTGTATTTTCATACAATATTAGGTAAAAACAACATCGCCAGAGAGATACAGGGTGAAACCAAGCTCTGGTCTTATAAAACCTGACCAATCAGCAGATGTGAATATATTCCTCCAGCCAGGTAGGTCATTAAAATTAGGAGCCAGATTTTTGCCTGGGGGGGGGGTAATTTTTTTAAAAATCTAGGGGAGTTCAATTTTGACAATTTTGGCCCAAAATCACTTGAAAAGTGCTTAAAAGGGTGAAAACTGAAAAAAGCATGATGTTTGAACCACCTGTCTATGGGCCTGAACATGCAACACAAATATACAATTAGTACTATGAATAGGCTACTCGGTCTTATAGTCAGGAAAAATCAAATTATAAGAATTTAAATATTGAAATAGATCAAATTTTCATGTACTTGAAATGCTTCAAATGGTCAGGGAATTTATTAATAAAAATCGAAAAGTGCAAAACACATTACTAAATATTATCATTGGGGTCTAATTAAGCGAGTTCATGATATTTTAAATCTTTGATTAACCAGGCCTGAGTACCTACCAGTATATGTAAATTGACTACTTGCAGGAGGTCATACTGCCGTATCAAGGGACAAGTTCTTGATTATGGGTATGGAAATCGCAGATGACGTAACATCTGTATCTCAGGTAGCTTCACAATGGAAGACAACACCAAAGGAAGAAATTGAAGAATACAGGTATAGAACACACTGTCATATTTCTAAATTGACTCATTTTGTATTTGAATAATCCATTGTTGTATTCTAACAGATTGATTGGAAACTCTCCATTTTAAAATTTGGTAAATTTTATCAAAAAATGGTAACAATTTATCATTTGTCTAATGTCTATATTTCGAGAGCTGCGAATGGTTTTTTAAATGAGTGAAAACATTTTCCCATATTTCAATCAATCGTGTTCAGCCCCTTCTAATGCTTCACTGCTAGGGAGATGTTTTGTATGTATTTCTGTTATCACATTCTGTTACTCTTTCAAGTCTAGTTTTAATGTCACTACCACAAATAGTGACATATTGTTATGGTCTCCATCTTTTTGTGGACAGCATTCTGTGGTTGTAGGTGTCTGTAACAAATGGCAGGTGATGACATTTTGCATGTTAATGCCTTGTATATTTTATGACATTGATTGCTGAATTTTAACATTACAGGTTACGATGTGTCCTCAGTGAAGCTGGCAAACCAAGCCTCTGCAAAGCGTCAGCTTTTACATCAGATGACATGGCAAAGTTGACTGAACAAATGCTTGATATTAACAAAAAGGTGAAAATTCAATATGACTACATTCATGGGCTCTCAAAGTTTTGCGATGAGATATACAAGCGCCTTTGCTAGTTTAAAAGGTTCGCATATACAGTATGCTAGTGTAAGAATACACTTGGGGGACTTCACCTAACCCTTGACCCAAATATCTTTCTGAACATATCGGTGATTTGGTACATAAACAATTTCTGTATATCTCAAGATAAAATATTTTCTTCAAATTCAATGGTTATGTCTCCCAACATCCAATGAATTGCCTTTAGCTTGTAACTCATCCTTCTTTACTCCAAGCCTGTTCATTCACTTTAATGTTATTGTTAACAGACATTGACTTCTTCAGTGATGTATGTTCACTCTGCTGTGTCCGTTTCCGTTTCATGTCTATCCACCGTTTTTCTTGCTTTTGGCCTTTGTTTTGAACATTTCACTTTTTTTGTTCATTTCTCTGGGACTTGTGCTGGTAACTTTTTCAATTTCTATGTTCCAGTTGACAACAGTGATGGATGCGCAGACAAGTTTAGAGAAAAGACTAAAAAACATTTATAGATTCCAAATATTCTTTTTCATGATGGTTATCTTAGTCGCAGTTGCAGTCACCCTAGTGCTTAATTGGAATATAGTCCCATTGAATAGATACAATGTGAACTCGTGCATTCCCTCATTCTTCCAATAGCTACATTATCACCCACAAATTGTAAATTAGATGAATTTGTGAGGAATTATGGTCTGCTTTAGATGTAGCTTTTTATAAATGATGTGCCTTGTTTTCATGCTTTTATAATGTTTAACTGTAAAGTCCAAATTCTCAGTTTTCCTCACTGATTCCTCTATTTTACTTTTATTGGAGGGAAAATGAGTTCCAAGACATTTTATTCAAACATTGATACTGAAGATTAAACTCATGAAGTAATTTTTACATTTAGAAAAAATTTAATACACGTACATTTTATCGGGTGACATCAAGACATGCATGGTAAAAACATTTCAAGATTATTCTGTGTCAATCAAAAATATAAGAAGTGAAGAAAGCTAAATGAATAAAAAAATTAATAGACTCCTTAAAATTCTACTTTGAGATTTTGGATAACATTCCTTAACCTGAAATTATTAGTCCTATATTATTGAGAGAACTAAGAAAAAAATATTGTGTCAAATATTCTAAGTGCACAAATTCAATATTTCTGTGTTTCAGTGAACAAAAAATGCTGTGTATTTATCACAATATCACTTAAAAGTGTAAAATAGCCCAGTATATAAAAAAGAAATAATGTATATTGCCTTTGATAAATTGAATATTTTTGACCAGCAGATATTTTTAGTTTAAAAAACTATAAGAAGTTAAAATGAAAAATGTTTTTGTAAAATAAGTGTTGGTTTTGTATTTCAATTTTGAAATTGAATAAACTTCAATTTTGTATTAAAATTAAATATATTTTATATACTGCATGTTAAATAAAGTTTTGTGTTGATTGTTTGAGTGAAGGTTGACAGAATACAAAGACATTTCAGTTAATCAGATAACCAGATAATCTTTTTTACTGTACAGTAGATACACTTAATCTGATGCTACTTAACTTTAGTGAATTAGCTTTTCAAATATTGGCGGCTATTTAATTTGCCAGAGTCTGGATTGAGCACAAGTTTTATCATTGATCTGGAAATAAACATTTCAGATTCATATGTTCTACTTGCAGCAAGTCTTGGTATAGCACTGACATCCAAATAGGAATACTTACATTACAACTTATTGCAAATTACAAATTCCTTTGGGGATTTTTTAAAATAGATCTGAAAATTGGCATATTTTTAATTGAGAAAATCCACCAATCTGTCAAATTAAAACTGTAGCCAAATCAAGTGTATCTACAGTATAAAATCCGAGGATTATCCTTAGGAAGTCAGAACTGTTGGCCAGTTTAGAAAATAAACAGGACATGAGAGGAAGATATTGTATCTTCTCTGAATTTTGCTTCAACTCATCTCTAGCCTATTCCTTTTTCTCCCTTTAAAGAAGTTACATCTCGGCAATAATCTTTGAAATCCATTTTTAAAAATAAAAAAAAACACAAGAACTGTGTGCAGTTTTATTCTATTGAAGAAGCTTGATGGGAATCCTACATCTTGCAGAATTATATTATCACACTTTTACAGTGTTATATTGTTATATCTGTTTACCTGGGTGGGCATTAATCAAATCTTGTCATTGAATTCGGAGAAAACCTTCTACAGTAAAATTTGTCTGATCAGAACGCCTCTTGGACTAGACAAGTGTTTTGATTAGCAGGTGTTCACTTTTAATTGTTTTTCAACATGAAGTTGAGTGGCAGATAACTTGAGGACCAAGAAGTGTTCAGATTAGAGAAGTATTCAAATATAATACAGGTTTCACTGTAGCTACAAGATATGACTAAGTTTTGGGCATGCTGGGTAAATTATTTAATGGCCATTTTGAATTTTTCGATTGAATTTAATTCAGCAGACTGTCCATTTCCTCATTGAACAAAATCAGCCTTCTGGTATTTAAGTTATTGAATGATTTGAAGTGCAATACAGGATATATTCTTTGTATTGGAACGAGCGAGATGAAGTCGAGACAACCTCAGTAGCAATACAGATTGGTACAGCACAAGAACTAACCAATCAGAGGGCTTCATTTTACAGATCATACGATAATTTCAGTTATTGCTCAAACAAAAAGAATGTCTCAATTTCTGTCAGACCTAATAACAAACACTGTTAAATTTCATATCACCAATTTATATTTATATATTTTTGCTTTATAATAGTAACAAAACTGTAACATACAATATAAGCATTTCACATAACTTCACCATATCCTCACCAAAATATCATATAATGTTCCAACATAAAGCCCATGGGCTATTACGGTAAACAATTATACCCGTGGGGCATATCTAATTCACATTTGGAAAGTTAGTGCTTTGTCCATAATGGGCAACATAAACAACCTTATTGACTAAAGATTTGATTAACTACTACAGTATCATGAATTACAACCCCATGGGCTTGTATATGGTAGCTATCCACAGTCTAGATACTGGGAAGTTATAAAGGGTTGGTTTGTGACTACATTAATGTTAATACCACATGGACATAGATAACGAAGCAAAGTATTGATGACAAATATCGTTTATTAATGTGTGTTTTCGTTCAATTCATAATTCAGATTTCTATAACAATAACCAGATTTCAGAAACTGGCCAGGAATCAGAATTCAAAGGTAGCTGACATTTTTGGAACAAGCAAAATTATTGAAAATGCTCACAACATAATAGAATTCTTTCTTTGAGCAAAATATACATTCAATCCACAATAAAAATATAATTTTCATTAAGAATATTTGCAATAACAATCAAACTCAAGAGTAGAATTGATAGAATTTAAATGCATTAACAAAATAAATCTGAGAAACTTTCAAAAATAATGTCATAATTTGAGACACAACCAAGTGAATAGTGTGAAATAATTCTATCGTCAAATAAAAATTGTTGAATCACAATCTCCAGACTCCACTGTTTGATAGTGTAGGGTCTATGTATGTACACATTTAGAAGATATTAATATGAGGAGTGACTCCATTCCAGGATTCATTTAACAATAGAAAAATAATTTAGGATAAACAAATGGAGAGTTTGACATTTTGAAACAAGTTGCTACTGAGCTTAGCTGATGATATACACATACAAAACCTAGACATATAGCATATTTTGAGATTGAGACATACAGATGAAATTGTGAGCCATCACAGATCAAGTGTGTAAGCCACCATGGATCAAGTGTGTATAAAATACTGATAAGACATACTGACATACAAAATTTGGTTTGATTACATTATATGCGAATGACACCATCAAACATTAAACACAATCTTGTGCAAAACCTCAAAAAATGCTTTAAATTGAGGAATTTCTCAATTATCTGGGTACAAATTCATTGGGTTCTGCATTAGACTGTCACGAAATATACACTTAAAATCGTCATTAATAAACTCCATCATCATTTGAAACCATGCCAAAAATGATAATGAAAATACAGTTACAAATGATAGGTGATTCATTCTATTTAAATGTAATTAGGCAATTCAAAAAACTAACACCACATTTCTTATGTAATATGTACATGTGTATACGTATATTCACTACAAAATGTTTCAATTGTGAAAAAGAGAGCTTAGCGCTCGTTCTATATACAATTTTGCACCGCATTACTCATTTTCACTGCACCTAGTGAGAGCCTGACATCTCATGTCTACGGCCCTAGCTTTAGATTGAAGATTTTTTCGAAATAAATATTAAGTCTCGAGAGTAAGTACCACGTCCTATACATGTTTTAAAAAGCAGCTATATTATGGCTTGTTATTCTAATTATATATGCCAGTCAGCAGATAAGACTTTTAATCTGCTAAATATTCCTAAAATCATGCTTTACTTGAACCACCTGATTTTTGATGTTCTACTGGATTTCAAAGATTAACCTGAGTAAATTACTAGGTTTTTTCTCCAGAATGAATGGACTGCATATTCATTGTTCATTTCATATATATTTACCCACCCTGTAGATGAGACTATAATACTTGAAAAAATACATGTAAATTGCCGCAACCTGTACAATTAATACTTTTTTCAAAAATTACAGCGAATATCTCACATCTAGGAGTTTAAAGACAGATTTGCCCATTGAGACATCAAAGTGGCAAATCATTCTATCAGTTGCTACATTTTGGTATATACTTGGGGTAAATATAATTTGTAATGTTATAACGTGGGACTGATGAATGCTACCCTGCACAAGGAATGTCCAATGTATAAACATGTTCCACGTTTTTACATCATTATAGAAAATTTGAATTCAAGTGGAAATGGCACAAAAAAATAGCAAATGATCACTGAATGGTGATCAATTTCAACTCTCACAGAGTTGTATTGAAATTTTTGTTCTTTTCCTTAAATTATTTTTAGATATAGTTAGTTGGATCTTTTGAAAGTTCAGCTTGAACTTTGTCAATTCAGTTGTAGTGTAGTGTGATGTGTAAGTGTCAGTAACCATGGCAACCAGCCTGACGATTCAAGATGGTGGCCTGGTAATGCATGCTGGGTAATCCATCTACCATGGTCGGGTATCTGCACTGCCACCTGGGTTAGCAAGAACTCTTGTGCTATTCCTTGGAGCTGCCTGATTGCCACTCTGAAAATGAATAAACAATGTTATGTAGGAAAATGACAATGTTATGTAGGAAAATGACAATGTTATGTAGGAAAATGACAATGTTATGAAGGAAAATGACAATGTTATGTAGGAAAATGACAATGTTATGAAGGAAAATGACAATGTTATGTAGGAAAATGACAATGTTATGTAGGAAAATGACAATGTTATGTAGGAAAATGACAATGTTATGTAGGAAAATGACAATGTTATGTAGGAAAATGACAATGTTATGTAGGAAAATGACAATGTTATGTAGGAAAATGACAATGTTATGTAGGAAAATGACAATGTTATGTAGGAAAATGACAATGTTATGTTGGAAAATGACAATGTTATGTAGGAAAATGACAATGTTATGTAGGAAAATGACAATGTTATGAAGGAAAATGACAATGTTATGTAGGAAAATGACAATGTTATGTAGGAAAATGACAATGTTATGAAGGAAAATGACAATGTTATGTAGGAAAATGACAATGTTATGTAGGAAAATGACAATGTTATGTAGGAAAATGACAATGTTATGAAGGAAAATGACAATGTTATGTAGGAAAATGACAATGTTATGTAGTAAAATGACAATGTTATGTAGGAAAATGACAATGTTATGTAGGAAAATGACAATGTTATGTTGGAAAATGACAATGTTATGTAGGAAAATGACAATGTTATGTAGGAAAATGACAATGTTATGAAGGAAAATGACAATGTTATGTAGGAAAATGACAATGTTATGTAGGAAAATGACAATGTTATGAAGGAAAATGACAATGTTATGTAGGAAAATGACAATGTTATGTAGGAAAATGACAATGTTATGAAGGAAAATGACAATGTTATGTAGGAAAATGACAATGTTATGTAGGAAAATGACAATGTTATGTAGGAAAATGACAATGTAATACAACAACGATAATAGGAAATGTAGGTGGATTGATAGAAAAAATAAATAATTCAATTCAACTGGTTGCAAAGTAATTTTTCAGATTCTCGACTGGATGCAAGGTAATCTAATGATTCTCAACCATGCAACCACCAATTGCTTCTTAACTGGGAAGATCACGGTCAAAACAGGTAATGATCAAGATCTCTTTTCAGTATCAGAGAGGTTAAGTTACGCACATTTGGGAGAACTTGAATGTGAATATGTAATACAGGGTGTCCGGAAAGTAAAGATACAATTGCTCTAATTTCAATAGATTAACCTGTTGTGAGATGAAATTGCTACAGATTGTAGAGTGACATTTTAACAATTTATCCTGCAACTGTGATGACAAATTAATTCAAAATGAAAACATTATGGTTGTTATGGTTACAGCAGTCCCGGGTATGTGGAGCAGCGTCACAATTATGTTTTATAATTCTTTTCTCCTACTCATCAAAATTGACACTCCATCATCTGTTGCTATTATACATCAAATTATGTACCACAACAGCAAAAGAAGTAGTACTGTAACATTATTTGGTCATTTGACATTACTACTATTATCCAGTATTATGTATTTCCCAACATTATCTAAACATTTGTGGTGCATCTTGACCAGAGATTCATAGACCTGACAAAACCGCTGCTGTCCATCTCTCAGATTCCTGAATCTCTAAAATTGGCTTCAAGCAGAGTTGCATTTTCATGTTGAACTTCTAACAAATATTGCTTTAAGATATTCATTAATGTAGAAGTCCAACGGGACATTATCAGGGTAATATGGGTCATTCTACAAAAAAGGTTTAATGTCAAGACATTCAATTCATTGTAAGATTTGCTTTCTTTGCTTTGTGAATTGGTGCATTGTGGAGGTGCACCATTGACTTTCCTATTAATCCAGGGACCTTTTTTCTAAGCACTGATATAATGTTTCTTTGATTAAACTGGTTAGTGACATTACTTAGTTCTGATATGTATCAGTGATATCATTATACTTAAGAAAATACTATGGCAGCACGAATACAATATTGAACAAAACAAAATATTGATAGGAAATACTATAATAAACACTGTTTCAAATGGTTAAAATCTAGCAATTTATGACAATTTAGCGATATCATAGAACTGCTCCGCATACCCCTGACCACCGTAACCATGGCAATCGTAACTTTAACACGTTTAAACAATATGTTATAAAAGTTGGTAGATGTATTGTAATATAGTTCCTCTACAATCTGTAGCAATTTCATTACAAAAAACCTAAATCTCTTAAAATTAGAGTGTTTGTATCTTTACTTTCCGGACACCCTGTAATATGACCCCCTCCCTCTCCTCCAGATAACTTTTCCTCATACTCAGTCAGGCAATTAAAGACAATTGAGGTAAAAATAGTCATAATAATTTTACACTTACACATTCTTGAAAACAGTGCTCCCTTAACATTCCTAATCTTATGTCAATTTTATCCAATGAAGGCTATTATCAATATCAATCTGAATAAAGTAGCATTTTATACTCCAGCCTCTTTCTTATTAACACGGTGCTCTCACTGCACTGTTGAAACATATTTAATAAATGAGATATATTATTTGACTACTTACGTCTCCATAGGCTGCTCCTGTAATTGGGTTGAAGCCACCTGTAATAGACACAACAATGATCTTAATACTCAATATATATAATAATACATGTAACAATGTAATTTGTAGCCATGGTGATGGTTTCAAGGTCCCTGTCGTATGTGGCATAAACGGTTAAAGCAAGCAACAGTAAAACCTGTCATAAGGAACACCTCTCAAAGTGAGCTGAAGTCTCTAGCATTCTTGGTAAAAAAGTCTATTTATATGCGAGACAATTTCAGCGACATAACATCAAATGTGACATCTACTGGATTTAACCAATTAACTTGGTTTGACAGCATATTTTGGAGAAAATCATGTTTTCTCTGGCAAAAGTTAAAAGTACTTTGTCTTAAATCGAAAGTGTTCTCTATGACATGTTTTACTGTTTATAAAATCTATAAGCATGTGCGAGAACCAGAAACAAAACCTGAGTTGTATCTTTTAAATACTAAATCATCACCAAGAATAAAGAAGAATTATATAACCTTGCTTTATTCAGGTATTACTTAGAATTCTTTGTGTGATTAAAATCATGTTTTATCACAGAAATGATTCGTTGATTTGTTTGCATCAACAAATAAGATCACATTAAATGCAAATAAAATGAAATGAACTTAACACAATGGATGAAATTATGAAATATGAGAAATTATGACTTGGAGGCTTCAAAATCTCAACTTTATGGAAAAATGTATGTTGTCAAACAGGATATTTTTCCAAGTCATTGCACTCTAGGTTGATTGAATAAACGGACAAACAATAAAATGAAATGTGTATGTATATAGATTTCTTGGATTATAGTCATACTTTTAAGTATTTACATTATATATACCACAATATTACAAAAACCAAAGCCCATTAACAATCCTCTTGTTGAACAAACTTTTTGTTTGACATAACCTTAATGTTTAAAATGAAAAAAATTAACATTATTTTTATGCATTTTTAGTGAATATCTTGGAAGCAAGGATTGATTTAAATTTTTGGAAAGTAAAAGCACCCTACAAGGCAATAAGCTGAAGTCAGACATCACCACAAAATGGATACTACTAACGTACTACTAGATATGAAAGATATCTAACACCACCAGGGCTCAAAGGACCATGAGTCATATATAGAGTGACTTAAAATACATCACAATATGAACTCTGCCTATCCTCCATGAAAACAACATTCATTTTAGAACTTAACATCTATAGATTTTGAGACCACTCATACATGACATCTCTTATTTAAATCTTATGCCATTCGGAATGTAATAAAAGCATTTTCTCGTTCAATTTTTAATAATTTTAATTCAAGTTATTTTGAATGTCAACTACACGATTATGTGCTGAAAGTAAATAATGATGAAATGAGAAACTCCCTGATTGAAAAAGTTCAATGGTAGATTTAAATGGCAAATTTTTCCTACACAAAAAATCTCAAATAATCTAAATGTAAATATGAAAATCTACAATTGAACTAAGAACTTTTTTAATGAAACAAGTTCCTGAAGTTTACATTTAGCATTTCTCACTTTCAGCACACTTTTGTAGCTGTCATACAGAGAAGATAAATATGGGAACATGCTTGTATGAGTCTAAAGTTTGCAAAAATGGAAACATGGTGTGCTAATCAAAGGACTGTTTGAAAATTATAAAATAATTTTTCACGAAGCATTGACAGAGTTCATTCACTTCAGTGAGATGTCTCAGTCACTCCAGATATCACTTTTGGTCCTTTAGGGTCAGTCAACACAGGTACATTTCTCTAAACCTAAATTCATTGTTGTAATCATAGAAATTGTGATATAAAAAAAAACTGGTATCTATAGAAGAAATATTTCAAGAAATGTACCCATGGCATTAAGATGATACTTTTAACAAAGCTGGCAGACATTTCACTTTGGTTTAAGAAGATACCATCACAATTTAGTTATAACTATTTTGACCGGCTGGTCTCAGTCTTTACCAAGCACTGAAACCCATAAGAAGCACACACCTTAACTTAACTATTAAGCAGTTTAACACTTTAACCCGCAAACATGAAACACCACTAAGAACACTACCACTACAAACACTAGCTAGCACAACAATCTAAAAGTTTAGCACACTCTCAATAAGGGGAGGCATTAGAAGAGGCTATGCAATCCCATAATTCAGCTGTATGTCTCCTCTGGTGAAAAAACTATACTTAAGAGATTGTTAGGTGGTCAAGGAAAAATATAGTGAAACCCCTATACTCAAAGTTTTTATGATGGATGATTTGGTTAACATGGCTTTGGCTCGGCCCCTAAGGGATGATGCTCAATTATCAACAGTAGTGGATAATTATGCTTTGACCCCCCTCCCCTCCCCTCATGTAACAAAATTTCAAAATGTTGATATGTCTTTCACCAGAATATGAACAAATCAACACTATTCTCTAATGAAACCATCATTTACCCCTTTCCCTTAACAACCAACTTCTTAAATCCACAACTCTTGATAACTGGATACCATCCAACTGCAAGTTAGGAGTTTCACTATAAAGTAAAAGATGAAGAAGAAGAACAAGAACTTAATAAGCAGTTTGAAATGCAGATTAGTATGAGGAAAACTATATTATTAATGCAGCATCTAATTTTAGTATAACATGCAATACATGTATGTTAATCAAGGTGCAACAAAAATATACCAGAGAGGGTATTTATAGGCTTATAGTGTCCATAACATACACCTCCTTGCTTTTGGGGTTTCACTTTGAAGCAACATCAAATATCTAGATATAATCGCAATAAAATGATATTTAATTGCCAAAAGCATGCGTATGATCGCCACTCAAGCTCTAATCATATCCTCTCTAATAGTTACATATAAACCAACAAAAAATGCTGAGCAGCAGCGAACAATGTTCTTATCAGTAGGGATTCTTCTAAAAACTGGAAGAACGATGTGTAGCTTTGTACAAGAGTATTTCTAGTCATGCCCAGTTAAATTAAATGCCACTGTTTTATTGTGGTGATTATTTGGCCAGATTTTTTGCAATGCATGAGACTATCTCAGATATATATATTTAGATACGTGACCCATGGCATTGTTTGTTGAAATACAAGTTGTACAAGTCCCCCTTTACCAGAGTTCTCCACAGGATTTTTTCTCAAGTGATTGCAAATGGAATTTCAGTGGGTGCAAGCCTGTTTAAAAAAATCTCAGGTGGGTGATGCGCCCACTTGCTTAAATGCTGGGGAGATCACTGTTTACTGTATTCATGATGCTTTCGAAGATGTTCCAAGTGGTCTTTAGATTCACAGACAACAATGGCTCTCAGTATTTTGCATATGGACTGATTGCACATAGAGATAAGAAGTTGTCAAAGGACCACAGCAAAACAATCAATGAATGCAATATATTATTATATTATTCAATGATGTCACAATGACATCACAATCGTGTCACCTTGCTGGCTATAATGAGCCTTCTGGGGATTGGCTGACGGTTGTCTCTCCCCGCTGGCTCCACCAAAGTCGTTGGTGTGTTCTGCGTGAGTTATGGGGTTTTTGAACTCCCCTTGGTTGCGAATGTAGCCTACAGGGAACAGGAGGACATGCATGGTTAGTTCTTTGTAACTGACTGATGGGATATAGACATTGCACTGCATCAAACAATAACCCTGAACAACAATTTTATCAACATCTGATAAAAGAGGTTGTAAGATCAAATACATAGTTTTTTAAGATATTCCAGCAGTGCCTGATGATAAAGAAAACTGTTCCCAGGTATTGTTTGATCTGTGCAATTCCAATATTCACCAGTTTCCAAATGGCGGTCAAATCTGGCAGACTACAAGACATTTCTACATCAAAACAAATTTGAATACGATACCAAAATATTCAGAAAAATATGACTAGACCACAAAGGAAAATTGTCAAGTAGAATAATATTCTACATCTACATTTTTTTTCTTTTCTCTGTAAATTGAGCAAAACCATTTTTGGATGGTACGTTAAAGCCAGGTTTGACCATCCAATACCATGTGACTCTTAACATGATCTGATTGGATAATAGCAAAATGAACAAAAAATATTTCGGCAGCACACTGATAAGAAAGTGAATGACAATCATTGTAGGAGTTCATACTGATGAAAGTTTTTTAGATTTAAAGGGACAAAGAAGATACTATTTTGATTGATTCCTATAATTTTAAAGTTTTAAAATTAATTTTACTGATAACATTAACATCCTTGAGGATCAAATGGCTCATAAGATTAAAAATGAAAAAGATTGTAATTTTTCATAAGATCAGGTTATAAGACATAACAGGGTATTGGATATAAAGAAGAAATAACATATTGAATAAGCTTCTATATTTTATACTTTCAGTTATTTAAACGAATCAAAATTATGAGGCTGACCAGAGCAAAAAATGTACGAAAGGGTATTTAATCACTTGAACATAAACAATAAGATAATTGTTATTGAGAGCCATCATAAAAGATTAGAAAAGAAGTATGAAAGTGAATGAACTCAAGCCAGAAGAATTCAACCAAAATGTGTCTCTTTTAGATTTTTTAGAATTTTTGCTCTGGCATCCTATATCTTTACATGCATGTGATTAAAAGTTCAAAACATTTATAATATTTTATAATTTAACTAGAAAGACTAATAATATTTATCCATTGAATTAAACAATTTTAAGACATCTATAAGGCAAATTTGCAAAAATATAATAAAATGTGAATGAAAATAAGTGAGCCGACACCACCATTAATTAACCCCTTCACAACCATGTTATTTGGGTCAGGAAAGGGTTAAACCAAGGTACATCTACTAGGCTGCTAAGAAAGTTAAATGTGATATAAGGGAAGGATGCCTATGCTAGAGGATTACAATATAAGCTTATTCTATACAGTGAGAACATAATAGGCAGCATGCAACAATATAAGACAGCATTCTAGGTAGATGCGACGAACAGTGAGTGATTTCATCTAATGGATCATATACTACAGAGACTAGAGAGGATTACAAATCATTGTTGGTCACAAATAAAAATGAATTTAATAATATGGAAATCCTCCGATCAGGAAATATCAGTCCTGATTCTGCCAAATTTCTCAGATTCGATTTTTCATATTTCTTTTCTTTAAAGGCATATTTTATTAGCGACCAACCATGTGATTGTAAACAGAACAGAAAATCAAATTATTTTAGATCATCGATTGCTATAGTGCTATGCATGCATTATACTAATATCTAAATCCATTTGAATCACATATAATTGCGAAATAAATATAACATGTTTTCATCCAGTTTTCAATGCACTACCACCTATAGTATTATCTTATACCAATAATAGGAAGAAACTGGTGAAAAATCTTGGCTTATTGTGAACCACATTTATTAATTTGTATTATTAAAATTATCTAAATACTGAAGACCTTAGGTAAAACAATCATTCAATCGTTACTAACACTCACATACACACTTTTACTATGGTAACAACCAGTATAGTTACTACAGAAACCTCTCCAACACTCCACACATGTTACTATGGTAACATTATTTGATTCACACTGTTACTACAGTAACTGCAACCACTCCGTTAATCTATTACAATCACACATTTTCTTGAAAACACACAGGTAACTATAGTAATAGAAAATCAATACTATTGCTATGGCAACTGTGTTTTCAATCCCAAAATTTAGAAATTATGAATGAGAGAGTGCAGCCACGATTCATAGAATCTTGTGATGTCACATAATTCACTCTTTTCAACCACACCACAAACATACCAGCCGATTTCTTCGAAGCAACACGCCCAAACATGGCAGTGTCAGAATCCCGGGGACATTTGTTGCTTATTTCTGGGATTATGCTATTTTTGCTCCAATATGATTGGTCCTCCCAAACATTGACCCCTAAAGCGTTATTCTCTTTCTCTCCCTGTGTCTCTCCTTCTCCTAAGAGATTCAGAAATTAAAATTCTTTGGATACTGTTTTTGTTCATCAAGTCCTAGGCTTTGCAAAACACTAGAACAATAATTTAACCTCTTGAATCCGAGGCTGTAAAATCGGTTGAAACCCAGAGATTTATTCATTTTTGCCACCTTTTTAAATTTTACTACATACCTATACAACTTTTCATGCTCAGCTTAGTATAATTAAATGACAGAGATCATTTCTACACGTTTTAAAACAATTTTTGTGTCAATTGGATGAAAATTGTTCAAATAAGAGCAATTTTAATGAAAAATTTTGTAACAGATTTTCTCGTCACTGGTTTTCAAGGTAAAAAAAAACTGTTCAAAAAAGAGCAATTTTAATGAAAAATTTTGTGACAGATTTTCTCGTCACTCTGGTTTTCAAGGTAATTTCTAAGATGACGAGAAATCTCGTCACTCCAGGTAATCAAGAGGTTAACAGACCCACAATTACTACCTTCCATCAAAGTGTCCCATCCCATTATTCAATATCCCAATCCGTCTTCAACTTCCCCAATGGTTCTCAACCAGCAACAAACACCAAGTTCAGACTGACATTCTGACACAATATGAACAATTAAAATCACGTGAGATCATATTACATGGACTATAAGGTTAAATGAAACACTTTAATATGAGCTATCCGTGATTTAACCAATATGAGGAGAGATAACTGAGTGAGTTGCAAAAACATTCATTAATATTTTAAAGCTTTTAAAAACTTGATTAATCTGATGTTTGATTGATATTTAAATAAAATGGAGAAGGTGATGAATGATGGTGAAATGACTAAACAATGCTATAATACAAATGAATCAGTACTCAGCAATTTAATATCATATCCAGTGATCAAATACACAACAAAAAGCATTATAAAGGATTCAGTGCAAATTGACAAAAAGTAATGCATACACATACAATGTATATGGAGATTTAGTTAAAAATGGACTGAAAACGAACAAAATTGGATTTTTGAAAAACATACGATTAACAACCATGCAATGTTGTCAATAACACAGGTTGAAATTGTGATCAAAATGAAAGTCACATCACAACAGTTACTATGTAACCCCTCTCTTTTACCACTAATATATCCATAGCAACCATGCTACTGTTACTATAGCAATTCAAACAATATTGCAACCAATCAGTCTGAACAAAATAACCCTTAATGTCTAGGAGTAATATTCAGATGTATGTAATACTAGTGATCGTAACTCTCTGCTCTAGTTCAAATTATTAAGGCTTCGATGCACTAATATGTCTGGGACGCAGTGAGTGGTTGCAATATTGTTGTATCCTGGATGTGAATAGTAATATGCCCCCGAGAGATCAATCACCGAAATGTATCAATATTAGATGCCATATTGGTAGAGTAATATTACAAAAAATTGCAATCATATGTCCTAATTATTTTACTAATTGGTGAAAACTCAAAATTTGCTGACACTTTTCACTTGTAGATTAGAAAATGACACGTTAAAAATCAATTTTCCATAGCAATTTGATTTACCAATGTGCAAAGTGGTGACTAATACGTTCTGTCTGGTGCCACTGTACAAAACAATACAGGCATCTTATGCTATGATATGTGTAGCCTCTATCATTTGAAAAATTCTCGGTAAAGGATCATTGACATTTCTTTAGAGATTGGTACTAGATTGACAATTTTTTCGTATTTTCATACTTTTTTATTCAAACAATTGTGTCTATTATGGGTACACATATCATGTTAATATCCAACGAAAAATGATATAAAATGCACTTTTTTGACCAATGGGGACTTTTTGTAATTAAATTGTTGGTCAATGGGACATATTACCATCACCCTAACCTTGTATTCCTTATACGAGCAAATTTATTGTATTAAAGGACAATCTTTTGTGAGGAGACTCTACAATCCCATAATTCATGAATGAAATAGCATGATAAAACTGCTTTGATTGGTAAAACATCATGGTGTTATGGGATTGCATTGCCTCCTTTGTTGCTAGCTAAATGAGAGGGCACCCTACGTGACCAGTAAACAAGACAAGTGGGTTATTCATCTAAAGATGGTAAACAAAGTATATATAAATATATCTTTCATGACACTAAAAGTGTGTAATAAGGCATGTTGACGATCAATTCATGTGAAACTCAATACAAAAAGTTGTAAAAATGATCATTTAAATATACTGTCATCTGACAGCCCACTTGTACTATATAACTGGTCCCAGAATAAAAACTACTAGAATCCAGTTTAGCCGAGGTCAGGGATCAGGAGCCCTAAATAGATAATGGTCAATACACTACAGCAAATCTTACAGAACAGTACAGTACAGTATAGTACAGTACAGCGAAGACATGTGGAGGAAGAAAAGGGTCATTTTGCGTATATTTTTTGCTGAAAGATCATATCATGTCAAGCACTTTTGGGATTTGTACAATAATTGGGCAATTATCTATTTAGAGCCAAAGTCCCTGAAGTTGAGTGTAACAGGGCAATATTTGAGGAGACTTTACCCGCAGTTGGCCCATTTGGTAGCCTAGGACTAGTTGCCGCACGTTGATATGGCTCGCCGCCTGCTGAACATATGTGGTGATAGAAGCAAACCCCAATAAACCATATGGCATTTACAGACAATCCTTCACCTGAGTTTTCCACTTGTTATACATGTACTTCAAACCCCTAAATGTCATACTAATTCTCTCTAGAAATGTTCATACTGATTTTCTCTAGAATTGGACGGAGAGGTCGAAACATTTCTGTATGACTAACATTGACTGCTTACATTGTCTTTTCATAGAATTTTGGATATTTAATTTAAAATTTCACAAATGAAGGGAATGATTTAAAACTGGTGATCAAGTACTATTTCTAAAAGAAGATACCAAATGAATTGATTCATTATTGAAAATTACCAAAAAGCAGGATATGTTTTAAGCACATTTAATGCACATGAGCTACCATGAATTCCATTTAAGCCCAGGAGATGGTGCATGTTCTAGACAATTCCTCCATTATGTATTCCAAAGCAGGTGAACCAGAACTTATTAGTGAACATAATAGTGAAAGATTGTCGATAAATGAAACTCCAAGAGATATTTAACACACAAGGGACACTAGAAAGACCTGGTGACAGAATGCAACTCTAAATCACTAACCACATGTGTTGTACGCTGAAACTGCATGACACATGGAGTGAAATAGACTACTAAGTGATGACTCAAATATAAAATGTTTTGGGAGTAAAAGTCGAATGCCTGATTAGTTTCATTCCCATTTAGCATACGTAATATATATTTCTTGAAAACTTTTCTTAATTCTATTCAGATATTTCGGTTAGTGTCCCATGTGATTTGTTAAAGGCATCTCTTTACAATACAAAAAACACAGTCTAGTAACATTTAATGCAGTATAAATATAAAATGCATGTAGTACTTTAGAGGCAAGATACAGTTCCCCTTTATATGAGAATGGTCCAAGTTTCAGACCAAACAATTCTGCCTTTTCTATCTACATGGCCTACCAAAAAGCAATTTACAGCTTAGAGTTATAGAGTACCTTAGAGCAAATATCATGGAATTTATTTACTAAAGTCCACATGTTCACTAAACTTTTGCTAATTAATTTGTTCCACTCTTCACAATATTTTCAATTTAAAATATGACTTCAATGAAATTGTTCTCAAAGTTATTGCAAAAAGTTGAAGATTCAAAGTTGTGAATATTACCCGAGAATTTCAGTTCATGACTTCAGCTTTATAATCATTACATTTCACCCTGAAATCACCAGATTTTAGAATTCAATGAAAACTTTTTTGTTTTTGGTAAAATTTAAAATTTTATATAATCCCTTCCAAAAAAGATTAAGTTTTGAAGATTGTCTTTAGAATGTCTTTGTTATGCCAGTGACAGCCTAATTATATCTAAATCGTTTGGCTGGCCCATATAACAACAAGGCATTAACATGCAAAATGTCACCACCTGCCATTTGTTAAATGATCCTGAACGCCCAATATCAACCACCGAAAACAGCCGAAAAAGTTGGAGACTATCAATATGTCACCACTTGTCAAAATGACATAAAAGGCAAAATTGACGTCACAGTCTCAAGTTAAAGAAGCATATTCTCAATGGGTACTACACTATATTGTGTTCTTGTCATGTTCCCAGTTGTGTCAAGACCATTTAATTGGTAAAATATGAGTCGATTGTCAGAGGGGTCATGCCTCAGTCAAACAATGATTGCTTATCATTGAACAACAACCATGATATTGTTTAATAGGAAAACACTGGCAAACAAAGACAAACTTATTGATAAATAGTGAAGATTGTAGTTTGCATTCTTTGAATGAAATGGATTTACAAAACTGAACTAGTGTAAAATGGGAGATCACATGTCGTGATTGAAATTGAAGAATTAAAATTTAAGCAGACCTATCAACTTGAACTTGGAAATTGAATTCTTAATCTGGTGCTGAAATTCAGGTAAAATAACAAATAAAATGAATTCTAGTTAATGACCTCTGACAAATTTCACAAATATCTTGACAAAACCAAACAAATCCTTTCATAATGGACTTAAGACATGCGAAAGGGGCACTAACCTACGCTTTTTGTAGTGGAGTTGGCATTAAGGCCAGCTGGTGCAGCAGAGTTGCCGAAAATGTTGCTATCCTCACGACCCTTTGCTTTAACGGGAGTAGCATTTGCTGGTTCGGATGCGGTAGATCCAAATATGGTCGACTGGGAATCATCATCTTTCCTGTGTACACGGTTTACCTGCAACATCATTTAATAGTTACAGGCCTGTATATGGTAACATGAATTGACAACCCTTGAATGTTGAAATATCCTTTTTAATTCTGAAGATATCCTCTTAAAGTTTCTTGTAGGGCCATGCAGGAGGGCTTAGAATTAAACACATAGCATTGTCCCAGGGTGTGGCATTTTGACAATTTGTACTCCATCAAAGTGGTTCTGTTCTGATGAGACTTTAAATTATCAGAAACTTTGGTGTAATCAAGAAAACCTTAGTAGTGAATTGTTCTTTTACTATGATTTCATTCTGACATAGTATGCAGTTTACTTCAACAATACATTTGCTTCTGGTCATAACCACCTGTAGAGTACGTTCCAGTAATAATAAATACAGATCAAAATAAGCATTAGTATTACCACTCATTTTAGCCAAGGCCTATAATAGCCAAGAAATGTACAGTAAAACCTATCTAAAGTGAGCACTGCACTGGGACTAGAGGACTCACTGACTGGTTGAGTATCCATAGAGCCAAAGAGAAAGAAAACATTGGACTCGAAGGAACAAATGGGACATGTGGGACCAAAAATGGTATCACATTTGGAGGCATGTACTCATCTTGGAGGTGATAACAATGACAGGTTTTACTGTACTGCATATGATTGTTTGTTAAATTCATATAGCTACCTATCAGTTATAAAAAATAAGAAACACTTCTTGCAACAAAATTAAAACAACTGGTCTTAACTGGATTCAAGAAATATCTCAACCTCAGATCTAATCCATGTACATGTACATGTATTCAATCATCTATGCCGAGATTACCTATATGGCAAAGTATTCGTGAGTCTGTGAATTAGACTAGACTATCATAAACTTCCACAAATCAACTGACAATTGTTCACCTGTACATTCATCCCTTCTGAAGAGATGTTACATCTTTATCTAAAATGGATGAACTTCCATGATCATCGGAGGGAATTTTCATTTTCATCAATTACAACAAAGAGGTCAATTTGCATCCAAATATTTTACCTGTATGTTTATAGTAACATCCAGTTACTGAAAAGCGTTTTGATATAAAGATGTAATATCTCTATAACCAGGAAGGGACGAGTGACAGTCCTTATGCTCAAATTACAATTCATTCAGATTTTATCAACTGGACTAATGCATGTTTCATTGCTTTATTAGACTTTTGTTCATTTCAAAAGTTGCACTTTGTGCTATCTGACGTAAGAAAAAAGCCAACTGCAATTCTCCATAGTAAAAATATTCCTCATATATCAGTGTTCTCCACAGGATTTTTCTTAAGTGGGTGCAAAATTCTCATCTTCACAAGATCAAAATTGGTCAAAATATGCCCATTTTCATGGATTTTCTCATTTTCAAGTGGATGCAACTAGATTTTCAGGTGATTGCAAGCCTGTTTTTAAAATCTCAGGTAGGTACTGCACCTACATGTACTTGCTTTACTGCTGGGGAGATCACTGTGTTAATATAGGGTGCTCCAATAGTAGGTTTACAATAATTCAACAATCTCTTTCTATAAATCTACTTATGGGCCACCCTGTATGAAAGTAGATTTTCAACATAAGAAAAATGGTGTGAAATAAACATTAACAAAATCAAGATACAATCCAGAAATTGAACAAACAACTTAATGACTTATTCAACCATGTACAGGGGTTTCATTAGTAGCAGGCAACAGGCGATTTTAACCAGTTGTTTTCACAAAATCATATTTTTCATGTTAAATTTATGATTTCCATTCATTCTGCCCATTGTTTTCATTTATTTAGCCTGTTGTGAGAAATTCTAGTGAAACCCCTGATGTAGCTGATTTCCAGATGACGTGACATAATCTACCACATTCTGCCAGAATGTAGCGCGCTTTACCTGAGGGCAGGAATGTTGGTATCGACGGAACTGTATAACACACATAGACAAAAACATGATTGACAATTGCAGAAATTGCCAATTACACCATTGGCCATTTGTAGTTTTCTTGGACAAAAAGTTAGGTGACAGGCAAGCAACAAGGGCAGACATTTAGGTTTTCATGACATCAAAAACAACTCATTTTTATAGCAATATTAAGTGCAACGGCTTATGCTATGGAGCTAACGACTACAAATGTTGACAGCTGTCCAAAAACAAGCAATTCAATGTAAATCTAAAATATTTAGAACTTGGTTATTTCACTGAAAAACTAATATGATGTCTACTACAATTTTCATATTAGAGCAAGTGAAAATTTCATGCATATCTAAGACTTACATGTATAGTACTATAGTTTTGAATGTGCATGTAATGTTAAAATAAGAGTGCTAAAACATGCCACAAGTTAAGCAACAGACAATTTTAAATTGGAATTATGTCAAAAAGTGAATTTGGCACTGATAAACTACAAATTAAGATACGTAATATTTAAACATATATTTCCTACATTTTCTTGGACGGGAGCTCCGAAAACTGTTGAATCGTTCCTCTTGCTCGATGCAGCAGAGTGGCTGCTACCTCTATCTTGTGATTCTTCTGGTGCGCCAAATATGTTACTGGATTTTCCACCTGGTGGTGCAAGAACTCTGGAAATATATGAAAATATGTTTTTATCAAAAATCAATTTTTTTTCATATTGTTGAGGCTCAAACATTTTTGTGGATGTTGTTCAGCAGTTGGTGTTCAGTGTTTGGTGTTCAGTTTTCAATGTCTGTAACAAATGGCAGGTAGTGACATTTTGCATTTCAATACCTCGTTGCTTATCATTAATTCCTGCTAAAGCTCAAGTGATATACGACACGTTTGCCACTAAAAGTTCATAATTGATATATGAGAGATTTTTCAGAGCACATCGATTCAAAATGAAATAAAAATGAATCGTTGAAGTGCTTAAATGAAGAATTTTTGGAGATGAAGTAAGGAATTAAGTAAATGGGAATGTAATAAACACTCCAAACTGGAGAACCAGAGACATATAACAAGCATGACTAGATAAAAACTTCAGGAATGGGTAGTTCTTAAGTGGGTGATAATGCTGAATGCTTATAGATTATTCCAATTTGAGTTCTCTTTAGAAATAAGTATAATCTTGAAGTCGAATCATCGCATATCTTAATTCAAAAATGGATCATTCAATGAAGATTAGTTCAAGCATGAAGCACTGAGGTATAAATTATTCAAAATGTAACCATGCACTTGAACTGTATTAGCATAATATAAGTTACTATATACTTGACATATTGAAAAAACATGATTTATGATATTACATTTTAGATGTACAGTACTAGGGTATTGCAACAATTTGTTCTTAACGATGCAATCAGAATCTCAAGTCATCATGCTATTTTGTTAATTATCTATCAGAATGTTCGGTTACTGTCCTCAGGATACAGCTTGCATGGGAAATAGACAATAGAGGCAATGCATTAATTATGTTGATTATTATGTAAGAGTGAACATATTGTTTGCATCAAAATTAGCCGCAATTCAAAGGTTGAGATAACTGTTCTTTCCCCAGTGGCAGTTTCTGATAACTTCACGTTTTTCCACTTGCTACCATCCTTTGGTAGAATACTACTGATATATATGAGTACAGTTAAGTGTAGTTCCAGTAAGGTTATGTAGTACTTGTAATACTTAACAAGGCATAAACATGCAAAATGTCACCACTTGTTGTAATGTAATCATACTAATGTAATGTCATTCTTAAAATAATGACACTAGGAGAGTTGCATGTTAATCTCCTACTAAATCTATTCAATTATTCAATATCCAGAAAGATTTATTCAACAAAAAAAATGTTTTGCCAAAAGTTAATTTTTTAGACAAATGGCCATGCAAAAAACATTTTAGAATATATCAGAATAGCCACTTTTAACTAATATAAATAAACATTCTAAGTAATGTACACTGTGGGAAATAAGCATAGACTCCAGACAAATTTTTTTTTGACTGGTCAATTTGTTTTGACCAGACAGTTTGGAAACACACTCGACTGTACTTGGACAATGTATTGGAAATAAAAAAAATATAGATAGAAACAGGGGGGGGGGGGTAAAATGACTGAAAATGATAGATAGAAACAGGGGGGATAAAATGACTGAAAATGTTAACCATTGAATTTTATATCTAGCATTGTCTCATTTGTGGACAACTTCTTCCTCGCAGGAAGGCCAATTTATATTCTTTCATTTGATATGTAAAACAAAATGCATTGTCTCATGTCTCAGCAAAATCTCTCAACAACTCTCTGGATAATTTTGACCACATAGTTTGAAACAGTCTGGACAAATTTCTTTTCAGACTCAACATTTGTCTGTTGCCCAGTGCTTATTTCCCACACCGGTGTAACATGGAATCATCTGATCGTAGACTGGAATAATGTTGACATGAGAAATGAGAAAACTTTGACACCGTTTTCCCATGTTTGATTTCAGAAAAAATAAATATCCTGCCAGAATGCCTGGGAAATCTTGATCCATTCGAGAAAAAGACATTGCTTCCACCGAGATCGGAAATTAGACCAGCAAATAAACAACAAGGTGTTGAGGTTACCCAAAAAAGAAACAAAATGGTGTCAACGTTATACCTCTCCCTGCCTGAGACTAATTTCATAATAGATCTTGAAAGGGTTGTAACATTGACGTGTGAGGTAATGTCGACACAGAAAATGGGGTAACACTTGCTTGTTAGAAATTAGAATTTACAGTTGGGGACATAAATAAATGACAGGTGGATTTGCTGAAGTGAGGATTTCCCATGTTAAAAATAAGAGAATTTACAAGAGGCCATAAATCAGTGGATGAGATTATACAAAATGTAAAATATACAAATTTTAAGGGATATGTATCTAGACAATATTGGAAATTATGGGCTTTCAGACCACCATAATTAGGAAATGGTGATCGAAAATCGACCTGTCATTTATTTTTGTCCCCAAATGTACGCTAGACTATCCGTCATGTTTCATTTCAAAAATAAAAAAATCTTGTGAGATCTCGATCCATTCAAGAAAAAAACATGGCTTTCACCTAGATAGGTAATTAGAGCAAATAAACAGGGTGATGAAGCTACCACATACGTAGAAGCTACCCAAAATTGAAACGAAAAGGCGTAGGTTATAGCCTACCACTTAGTCTCAGGCGATTTCTAGTATTTAGAATATGAAAACTGGTCTTACGTCTAATCGATGCAGAAGTTGTGTTGCATGAAGTTCGAACCAATGTGGATCAAAAATAATTCAGATTAATAATGAAAGCAATATTAGGTTTAACTTGTTGAACTAAACCAAGATCTAATCCATTTTTGGCAGTTGAGATTTTTCAGTTGCCAGGTCAAAATTGTGGCTCACCTGGAAGAGTTCTTCTCACCGTCACTCAGTCCTTGGAAATTGTTTACGGAGTTGGCCATTATTAGTTGATTTTTCCCGACAAAATGGAATGTAAATGTGATATTCTTTAGGTGTATTTGCCTATCAAATTGATGAAATAGATGAGATCTTATGGAGCTGCTTTGAAATTCTCGCACCCTGCTGACGTCACGACAACCAATTCACCCAAACTGCTTTGAAAGATGGAAACTGATTGGTTGATTTGAAATTAATTGAAAATGCAAATGTTCGGATTGTGCTTGATATCGACAATAATTCGTGTACTTGTAGAACTAAAATGTACCATTGCTTTCTTCACAAAAATATGTAAATGATTCAAAGAGAAGCATGTTGAAGAGAGTCAGCAATTCTAGATAAGGCTGGAGAATCATGAATTTAGATTGACCAATGAAATGATACATGACATAATATCTGTCTTTGCCACCTGTATGGAAAAAACTACTTTTACAGCATCTTTATGTAATTTATCAAATAATTGCAAAAACTGAAACTATCTAGAGAACATTTTCGTCTAAAAAACGACTGAAATTTGCGAATTCCCCAAACAGGAAATTTAAAATTCACAAAGATGGATGTCGGGGATACCCCCACGTGACTAGAATTAACCAATCAGATTCAGGGGAATTCCCTTATTCGTTCCCGCCAACTTGATCTAAACATTTTTTTGGATTTTTAGTGTTCTTCTTTGATTTGTGAAATCTCGCTTCTTAGGAAAGGATCGCGTTGGATATTATTGCACATCTACTCATGAATGATGTAAGTATACTTTGAATAATGAATATACGTTATTTACTTGCTAAATATACAACAAACAACCGCTGAAAGTCGTGTCAAAATTCTCGTATGGAAAAAATGAAAGATTATTTGATTCACCATTGTTTTGATGATACGATCTCATAAATGTGTCTATAACTTAAGCTTGTAAGGTTCTCCATCTTGTTGTTACCGTGGGAGGTTGGCTATATGTTCAAATGTTACACAATTTATCTAATACAGTTCGTCCATATGCATCAAAATAAGGGAATATGGACACAGGTAAAAATTGCATTTTGTAGATTCACCTGTCTCAAAATGTTCTTTGTACAGCATATTGGGGGTTGATTTATGTTAACCCCACTGGCAATGGCTACACTGTGTCTAAGTTCAATGAAGGAAGGCAAAATATACTGATATGATGCTTAAAAATGTCCAAATATCTAAAATATGATGGAATGTTGACAAATGAATCTTGAAGGAAGTCACATGACCTTCTGAGTAGATTGAGAAATTCCCATGGATTGAGATCCATTTATCTGTAAAAGTATAGTTTAAATCATCCAGTTTATGCATTTAATTAAAAAATATTATCATAATGCTGAAGTATGCAAAGTTTTGGGGTCCTAAATACTGTATTTTTCCACCAAATTGCAGTTATATTTGCCCATTGAAATACATTGCAAAGCTAAAGTTGTAGTGGAAGAGATGATACAAGGAAACTCATTGAATATTTTGTGCCAGAAATTCTCAGTTAAAATGGTCACCAGAGACCTGGGAATAGTTTGAAAATTTAGGGATACATGGTGAACACGCGCAAGACTAGTCATGCGACGAAAAAGACGGAGGAAAGCCCTTTAAATAGGTAAAATAGGAGAGAAATATATCAGTCAGCCATTTTGTTTTGTAAAATTATTGAGTTTCTGTTGTTGTTTTGAATCTTATAGATATTGATGAGTTTATATACTTTATGCATCAAAGCTTTGCAGCATAGCTTGGACTATATCATTTTCTCAATGCATGGTGCTTGCCTGTTTTCCGTCTCATCTATAAAGATGTAAAATCATGCGTAAAGTGAATCCCAAAACTTAGCCAAGATGGCTGACAATAACTTTGATCTTTCTTGAAATATATTTCTAATATATCTAGGAATTCTGTAATTTTGGAGTCTGATTAAGTGAATTTCTTACTTTCCAGAATGACCTTAGATGGTGTAGGTGTTGTCAATGATCCGAAGCCAACCACTAAAGTTCAGAGTAAAGAAAATACAACAGAAAGGAAAAACAGACAGGCCAAATGTGAAAATAACAAGGAAGAAACTGGGGAGACAAATACTGAAGGAAGTTTGCCTCGAAGGCGATGCATAAAAAGACCGAGAAGGGATTCTAGCCCAACTGGGTCTCCCCCTAGAAAAGCAGGTAAAATTAGGGATTTTGTGATATTTTAGGCTCAATTTATGTACAAATAAGCATATTGTACAGTCAATAATCCTGGTCAATTTTTTGGTAAATATTTGTTGTGAATTCCACCAGCTGAGCTGATACGAGAAATAATAGAGCTACAATTAAGATTTTCTATAAATTGAAATAAGAATGTATAATTTCATTATTAGCTCATAGTATATTTTTTTTATGAAGTTGAGATTCAGTTTTTCAAGCCGGTACTTGTTTTTATTATGATTGGATCATTGCCAAAGACACTCTTACTCATTGCAGCCATAAAATTTATATCATTTCCAGAAAAGCATACCTTCACCTCATCAGGATAAAATCTCAGTTTTCATATTCCCTCTATAATTATGAACATTTAGAAAAAATGTTGATATGTAGAATACAGATGATTTTTGTCCATAAATTATGATTGTTGTGATTAGCTTTTCCATAATGGGAAATTATTCTACAGAAGTTTTAACCTTATATGACTTGATAACTGGTTTAGCTATGTTTCCCATTGCTGAGTGAGTGTTAGTTATTAATTACTTTTAAGTTTAACCTCAAGGCTCAACATAATAAATAAGTGATTGTTTTTATTTTAGATTTACATAACTCATTTCTTATGTCCAAACTAATAAATCAAGAGTCTTTTTTAAAAAAAATTGAACAAATATACTAATCCTTTTCCTGTTTATATTGATTGTTAGCAAAATACTTTTAAATTCTTATCCAAACAAATCACCATGTGGCACAAGAAAGTGGCTTTATTAATTCTTAAATTTAACATAACATTTTTAGTAGCTAATAAAATTCTTTGTTAATTGGGCCTTCTCTCTGTTGTTAAATTATGCAAGTCAAACATTGATATTAAAAACTTGCAATCAAGGTCTCAATGACCTGGTTTTATATTACTAGTGACACATTTAAACTTGTTTGTCTTTGTCAGCCTTTCACTTGAGATAGAAGATACAACTTAGTATGAAATTTTCTAGATTTGATATGTTGGTTTTTATGAGGTTTTAATTGGTTTTTAAATACATACTGTGTTGAAGTTTGAATTTGTGTTCGATATATTTTATCCCAATTTAATTATGCGTGTGCTTATCATAAATGGTATAATTGATCATGACAATAAATTTATTATATTCGTATAAATACATAATGTTTGTAAAGCTAAACAAGTTTCATTGCATAGTTTCCACAAAATCCCTTGAACTCTATTTTTATAACAGTGGATATTTTATTGATAACAGTGGTACATGAAGTATCGATCTCCATGGATATTCAGTAAAAACACTGATTATACCTGGTACCCCCAGTTCTCTGACATGTATGTTATATATTAACTTACAAGATCTAATTTTATTTTTTATTTTATTTTAGCCAAAGAGAAGAAGGTGACAGGAACCACACCGGAGACCAAACCAAGGAGGAAGCGTATACGAGATGCCTCATCAAGACGTGTCTGGGAAATATGGAGTCTCGAAGTGAAAAATGCATTTTTTGAGGGTTTAAATGAGGTAATGTTAGTATGTGGAATTTAATTGAATTTATTTTACTGCAACAACATTTTATTGCAGAATCTAAATTTAACTGAAAATATTTATTTATTTTTTCAATTGAAATTTTTATAAGTCAAATGATAGTATTAATATCCCCTTTAATTAAAATTTGCCTCACCTATTTTGACTTTGCTTCACCTACATATAATTTGAGATCCTGGTGGCCGTTTCTCGAAACTTATCATTATTAACGAATCATTAATAGCGAATCTTGGATTGTTTCTATGGACAGCGCATCAATCATGGATAACAAATAAATTAAATCGTCAAAAACTATGACGTCATCGAGAATCGTTAACTTTTGAGAAACGGAACAATTGAATTAACGACTCGTTAATAATGAAACTTTCGAGAAATGGCCCCCTGGCTACTCATATGTGTAGTCATACATTTATGCAACATTATGAATGAGTGGAGAGATGCACTTTGCTCTATTCAAAATTATATAGATATATGAACAATCAATGTTTTTATTTAGGGTGTATTTTGTTTTTATTCATGAAAAGTTCAAAATACGGTAATATGATTAGGGAGAAAGCAGCTTGTACAAAACAAAGCCCAGTTCTATATGTTCTATATGTAGAGCTGGCATCGAATAGGATTTTAATGTCGACATGTCGGAGCTCTCGATCGACAACGATATCGACATTGTCGGGTCCAATGATATTCGAAAAATGAAAAAAAAATTGAAGAAAATCCGTCTGAATTTTAGATTTTCTAGGCTTGTAATTAGCAATACGATGCACAATAGTCATCCTCACTTGTATGTTTTATATTTAACTTAAGTTACATGTAAACCATGTTTAAGTATCAGACTTTGACGAAAAAGCAATAAATAGATATAAAACTACGGTTTCTGTTGTTATTTCCGGGCAGCCATTGAAAATAAATCTCAAGGGTAAATCTCGAGGGGCCCCGAGACCTAATTCGAGAGCAGGAAGTCGATCAAAACAAAAAAGAAAATTTGAAAATGTAGGCGGTAAAACTTCACTAAAATACACCATACAGCAGGTAGTAACAAAGATTTTAATTCATAGGGAAATAGCTTATTATGTTGTGAGTTCCGACTGTCGATCAAGAGGCGTTGTGTCGACATGGGTGTCGCAGAGAGCATTCGACTGACAATCGACCATTCCGACATTTGATGCCAGCTCTATCTATATGTTCTAGTAATGTATGTTGATTGTTTTTAAGTATGAATTGACTTATTTTACAGTTTGGCAAAGACTTTGATGCGATTCACAATCTAATAACAACAAAATGCAAGAAAAAGGGTGAAGAACACTTGGTGAAGAACAAAGAACAAGTCCGACATTTCTACTATAGGACGTGGCATAAAATTGCTAAATATGTTGATATACAGGAAGGTGGGTTATCTAATACCAGGCCTGTAGCCAAGGGAGGTATGGGAAGTTCGACCCCCATCCCCCAGCTGAAAATTCTTTCAAATCCATGTAGTTTTTCACCTTTCTGATTACCTTTCAAGTGATTGTCAAATGTTAATCTCCCATTTCACAACTTTGGCCCAAAATGGTCAAAATCACGTGAAAAGTGATCAGAATGGTGTAAAACTGTATGATTCGCTCTAACCCCTCGAACCTCCCCTGGCTACAGCCCTGTAAAATATATAAAACTAGAATATTAACAAATTATCTGCTGGTTGACAGCCAAATTCACCAAAAACTCGAACAAAGTTTAGAAACAGTAGTACACAATCTTGGGAAAATGAAAATGGCATCCATGAACTTGTATATATAAAACCTATATTTTGCCAAATTTTCCAGAATCTGAAGTAAAAAAGACGACCCAGGAGTTATATGCTTTGATAAACTATGGGGAACTGAGGCGTAAAGTTCGAAGTAAGTAATGACTGATATTACCATTAACTCAATGTGTCCAAATACATTGTGTTTTTCAAATATGCCTTATCATAAAATAAACCATATTTAAATTCATATTTATTTAAATTATTTTAGAGTTAGATGACAAGAACTTGGATAAACTGCGAGAGCTCATCAACAAAGGGTAAGATTTATGCTAACTTAGGTGAAAAAATCATCATCCTTTGATGAACAAAATGATGTTTTTTTTATATACCCTTTCAATTCATAGGACATTTATCTTTGATTTTGAGTATGTGTATGAGTTTCCACCTTACATCACCATTGAATACTATGCAGAATTTTAATTTTTGCAAAACTTTTTGAATTCAGAATTTTTTAATGCAGAAAACTACAATGTTTAATAGACTGAATATACTGAAGAATTTAACTGGTTGAAATTGCACATCTTAGTACTTAATATTACATTGTTATTTTGTTAAGAGTGACTAGATTGAAATACATATATTGCATTTGTTATTTGACAGGAGCACCTCAGTAAAAGTGAATGGCAAGAATATAAGAGTTAGGACTCCTGTATGTAGAGCCTTGAAGAAACTCAACAACATAGAAACTGGTAAGAAGTAGGGGGAGGTGGCGGGGGAGAGAGGTGGTTATGAGTGCTACCGAGATCCTTGACTCAAAAGAGTGATGGATTTTAAACATGGTCAATGTTGGTCTGTACCTTGGTTCATGAAAAAGTGGTCCAAGTAGATTTAACTTAGCTAAAACTTTACTATTTTATTTTACCAAATTATATAGATGACAATATACCCAAGATGCAAAATAAGTATTTCAATTAGTTTAAATGACATCCTATTGCTTTGTAGAGACAAAACCTGATGAGAACATTGTAAAACTACCCGACTATGTAACAATAGAATTCAAGCCAAAGAACAATGAATCATGGGTAAGAGTACAAACACTGGCTCAGAATCCTCGATTGCGCATGAAAGTGAAACTTGATAAACGTGCGGGAAATGTCCTAGAGTTCTTGAAGAAGAAATGGAGAACACCAGAAGAGAAACAAGTATCCTTAAAATGTGAAACTTTTATTCGGAAAAAAGTACAAATTTGCAGATTCCACATTTGAAATCTAAATTTTGGCCAGAGGAATATGAAATTCAAATCAGTGTTATGCTATAAAATGACCTATAAAGACATAAACAATTTTTTTAATATTATTTTTTATCCATACCCTTTTGTTTTACAAAAGAAACCTTGCTGGCTAACACGTAGTCAATGCCCCGAATTCATGGCAATTAGAACCATAACAGATTTAAGCATTCCAGATTACTAACAGTATGAAATGTAGTAGTTGGTTGTTATGAGTCTTAACCTTCATAGAATTTAGGCACGAGGCCTAACTCTGGAGAGATCTTTACAGTCACCACACCCAGCAATGTAACCATGCACCCATTGGTTCTCAAACCTATTGCCAAGAAACCTATAACTGGAATAGGGTTTGAAGCCTACCAGGAACAAATAAAAAGTATGTAGATATCTGTTTAACTATTCTCACTCTATTTTAAGTGATGAAGGGCTATGCATTATATTAAGATAAACTCAGATGCTTGAGTAGCATTTATCATCTATTTAAGCTCGTTAAATTTTTTGGTTTGCATTCATAAAGAATTGGTAGCATAAATACATGTAGATACATGTCGTGTGAGATTTACATTAAAACTTCTTTAAAAATGACTATTTATGATGTTTTCAGTTCAGGGAGATTTAACTGGTAATTCTCCAAAAGGGAAAAAGTCGGATAAAACAGAACAATCACAGCTTGATAGTAAAGGACAAAGTGACAAAACATCTGAAAGAACTCTTGAAAAGGAGGCAGCGAAAGCTAAACATGAAGATCCGAGTGAACCCACTGAAAAAGATCAAATACCAGATGGTCCAAACGAATCTAGTGACATTAAAAATGAAAGGACAGATGATGCTGTTGTTAACACAAAAGGCAATATTCCAACCATAAGTGCAATCAAAACTGATGAACCCATCAACACTGAATCTGATACTGGTGTAAGGTTCACTGAAATGAAAGATACAAAAATCTCTGAGACTAAACTTGAGGATGATACAACAAAGACCAACAAAATGGATGATTCTAGTCAGGTAACCAATAACAATACAGATCTTAGCCATGATAAACAAGAACCTAGTACTTCTGCAGGTGCTAGTGTTGAACCCAACATCGAAGATGGTGAAAATGAAAATACTAAACAATTGGAAGTAGATATAGAAGGGAAAGTACAGGAGGGATTAACACATCTAAATGCTGGAAAAATCACAATTGCAGAGATTTACCTTATATTAGGCAAACCAGATGTGATAACTTTGGAATATGAGTGGAGAAAGGTGAAAAATACTGAGATGATATATTTATCGAATTTAATGAACTCTCTACAAAGACTTATATACCTCGCAAGAGCTGAACACAGTGATCTGAATCGTTTGAAGGAAATTGGGCGTGGTGCTACACCAATTTTGTGCCAGTGTGGTAAACTTAAGCCAAAGTTTTCATCCCCTGTCAAAGGTACTAAAAGTCCTACATCAAGGGCACCTGGGAAAAGAGGTGTTAGAAGTCCGAATACTTCAAAGGGATCACAGAGGATTATCGCTCCTAATGCAAACTCACCAACAAGTCCAAAGGTCAGTTGAAATGTTTAATATAATTATTTAGTTCTAGTTTTGAGCAGTTCCCTGGATGTGATATTTTGTCACCACAAGAAGTGATGAAATATTGTTATAGTCTCCCAATTTTTTGTGTATGGTGGGTTGGCAGTTGGTTATCTGCAGTCATTGTCTGTAACAGGTCCTGGTATCTGTAACAAGTGGCAGGTGGTGACATTTTGCATGTTAATGCCCTGTTTAATGTGTAATTGCTCTATAAGTATGACTTTACTTAATTCTAGTTTCGTAACTTTGACTTGCAATAATTCCCCTAAGCTTGTTTCTGTTTTCATCTTCCTGCATTTTTAGAAAAGAGATGGCAGAAGTTTAAATCACTACAAAACTTGTTTGATGACTTTTGGTCAATATTTCCTTTTCTGATGGTTCAAAGATGATTGATATCTATAAAGTAATATCTTAATCATGGGATACATCTCTTAATTATTTTTTGTTCTCATGATTACCTGAGATGATAACAATCAGGCCCTTAGGCAGGTTTTGGGGGATTCATCATTCTGAGCTCTTCGAGTGATTTTGGGCCAAAATTGTCAAATGTGAACCCCCTGGAGCAAAACCTGGCTACTACCCTGACATAGACATTAGACAAGTGACTATTTCATGTCTTGATTATCAGAAATTCTGCAATATGTCTCGTATCTTTACAGGTCTCAGTTTCACCAACACGAGAGAAGGCCGGAAAGGATACTGTATTTAGAGTGCCTAACAAAGTGCCACCAGTTAAACTTATCCCTACTGCAGCTTCCAATATGCCAGAGCAGAGATTATATAAACAGTTCAATAATGTAGCAGGCAATGTAAGTGAAATACAGTAAACATGTAAGGTGAAACACTTCTGTAAGGGGAGGCATCAAAAGTTCGATGTCGGATAGAAAACTAAATAAATCTAGTGAGGGGGGGAGGGGGTTCAAACCCATTTTAGTTTGCTATCCAACAAATTTCAAAATTTCAAATTTTTGGCAATTTCGACTTAGAATGCCTTGGAATGGTTTAAAAATAAAGATTTTACCTGATGCTTTCTTCGTTAAGATCATTATAATGGATTCTTTTCTATCAATATTTGTTAAAAGCCGCAAATTACGATAGGAATTAACAAAAACTAGATCGTGTTTAGCAATAATTTTTCAAATTCTCGAACCGGAAGTCAGTGACCAACTTTCATGGTAATTAGTTTGGGGGGAGGGGGGGTCAGAGTCAAAACTAGATTTATTTAGTTTCTGATCCGACATCGAACTTTTGATGCCTCCCCTAAGTGGAACACTTCTGTAAGTGGAACTCCTATGTAAGTGGAACACTTCTGTAAGTGGAATACTTGTGTAAGTAGAATGCTATTTTGAAGTACCAAAGGTACAATGACATGATTCTTTGTGTTGTGTCACATGTATTATGTGTCTCGTTTTTGAATCTTTTTCTTATCCAGTCGGTTTTGATGTAAACATTTCTCAGATGATTTGTTTGCTATGTTATACATGTATAAGTGAAATATATTTGGTTTTATTATTCCAGAGAGCGAATGACATCATCATGGCGAGACCAAGGAGACAGAGGGCGCTAGTGCGGAGACCCATGGTGGTACAAAGAACATTGCTCCCAAAGACACAAGTGCCCCACCGTCAGATGGTCACTCTAACTATGCTCCCTAACTCTCCCCACATTGCTGGCACTGGGTCGTTTATGCCACTTAATCAAGCTGGGGCAGGAACTCCACCAGCTGGGATAACTCCACCAAAGATTGCACCAAATTACAATTGTAAGTTATTTGCTACAAGTCTCTCCAGTTCTCACTAAGTATGAAGCTTTGCAAGATTTTTTTGTCTGAATCTAGTGGAAAAGTGAAAATACTCGTTAAACCTGATGCAAATAGTCACTAATTCTCATTTTTATGCCACCAACAGAAGTGATGACATATTGTTATGGTCTCCAACTTTTTGTGGACAGTGTTCAGTGTTCGACATCTTTAACAAATGGCAGGTGGTGACATTTTGCATGTTAAAACATGATCTAACTTGTTCTCATCTTAACACTCCAAGACCTGCTCGATAGTTATGTGTGTTATACTTGATTATGTGATAAGTAATAATCAGTTATGTTAGCACTCCTGGTGTATGGATGTCTATCTTTCAACTAACAATGCTTCAAGAAGTTAAGTTGAAGTTAAATATTTTCTAAAACTGCTTCTTTGTGAAGTTCAAATGTGATATCAATGTTCAAAATAACAATTAAGAATGAAAGCTACTTGTTCATAATCATTACAAATTAGCATATCTAAAATTAAAAGTGTAAAGCATAGGTAATGAATTCAGCATTTTCAACAGCAGTTTTGCATTTATTCCAGCATCAAACGGGTCACCTATCCTCATCCAAAATTCTCACCAGGTGGCGCCAGTTGGGCAAGCATCTACGACGAGTGTGGGGTCTCCATTAATGATGCAAGGACCAATAGTGACATCACATCAGATGACACGTACCGATTCCCCTATTATATTTATGAATGGAGTCGGATCACCAGATCCTGGTCGTCAAGGGTCACCCATCACAATACAGGTGAGGCTGGGTGATAATTGATTGTTTATTGCGTGGCCTCTTCTCAGGGTATAAGTACTAGTTTAGAAGGTTTATATTTTACGACATTGACTTGAGCAATAGGTGGAGCCATAGTGTCGGGACTTAGTGTCGGGCTATTGTGGTCGTTATCCACCCTGGTCCAGGGCAAATAATGTTAGTTTGGACACCACAAGTTGGCTATTTTGGGTAAGGTAACATTTTAGTGACTGCAGAGTGATCACATTAACTTGAATGTTGTATTTTTGGAAAACAATTGTAACCCAATTTACTGATTGCTTGAAATAGACATATCATATAAGACATGTAGTTAGCTTTATGGTTTGATTATGTAAGTAAATATAAATCCATGTATTAATGTGCAGTGCTACTAGATATTGCGCATTATAGAACTACTAGCCTATATATAGCACACATTCAATTTTGTATTTCAGGGGATGCCACAGCAGGCTGTCAATCCCATCAGCCCTGGCCCCAAGGAGATTGAGATCTCAATACCAGAGAATGGTGGCCCATCAGTCAATATGCCAAATCTTTCATCTCTCTTGGATATATCCATGCCAGGTGAGACAATATTAGGAATCCTGAGATGAAACACTTTTTGCTCATCTGATTCAGTCATACTTTTATTGTCTTTCTAAAGAATTTGCTGTATTTACTATTTAGATTCACATTGTGTTCTAGATGGCCTAATTTGTTGGGATTAAAAGACAGGGATATATCATTATCAAAAGTTCTGTAAACTTTAGCATTCTGGACCACTGGGTTTGATTTGAACTTCTAATCTCCAATAATGTGTATTTCTTGAGCAAACTTGTCATTGGGATCAGGTTGATTAAATTTATCTACATATCTACATTAGAATCAGACTGACTGCAACTTTCGGAAAAGATAATCTTCAGTATTTTATTGCAGTATTGTATTGTTTTGTTCCAGGTTTTGATGGTGAGCGGTCCATGAGCTTAGATGGAGATGTAAGTCTACAGGATATGCTAGCTCATGCCATCAAGAAAAGCGGCATTGCCCAAACCCCTAAAAAGAATCAACAACCTGAAAATCCTATATCCCCAAATAAATCCTTGTTCAAAATATGTCCACCTTCCCCCGGTCCAGAAACACAATGGATGAACTCATTGAATGGAATGGGGGATTTCTCGTTTAGTCAGTTGCTTGGTGGGGATGCATCTCCAGAGAAACGTGGACAGTTGGATTTGCCATCAGCAGTTCTCAATGATGCATCTCGTGATTCTGTTAACTCGAGATTCGATGTAAGTACATGTTTTTAAGTCTTTTAAAATATTTCGGAGATCAATGGAGAGAAAATGAGCAACACATCATTGTTGGGTATTTCGATAGGAAACATTTTAGAAAGTTTAACTTTTCCCTTTTGATATTAAAATACTATGTTCATAGAGCTTATTATTCCAACATGCCACTGACTTGTGCTGGATTTCAAGCCTATTTAAACGAAGGTCTCAGACTGGAAAATTTTTTTGATAAGTGATTGTATGTGTGTGGTATGCATGATATGAATGAATGTCGTGTGATTGGAATGGGTTTGTGTGTCGAATTTGGTATTCTTTGTATTTTCTATTTCCTTTGTAAAAACGGCTCACAGCAAATCACTTGTATCCTGTCTTGTGTCGTGAAAATGTATATTGAGAAAAAAAATTAAAAAAAAAAAAAAATGTTTTTAACTGTGACGATTGAATAGGATCTTCACCCTGCCTATAACTTATTTTATGGGCAATATTTTCATTTGTAATCTTTTTGGTTGACAGATGACAACAATCTTAAAATTCAACTTTCTGTTTCATGTTCAGCTTGTTTTCATTTTAAAGTTACTAAGAAATATAAGAAATATTTGTGTAAATTTATTGATTCTTAAATGAAACATGTTTTTTAACAACACTTAATATGATATTTATGATCAATTGTTTAAATCATTATTTTCAATGATTTAGCTTTAAAAAAAAAATTTCTAATCTTATATTTCAGGTTGATGTACAATCAGCCATGCAGACTATGTTCAGTGAAAACAGCCTCGATTTTGGCAACAAATTTGCAGATCTTGCAGCACAAGTCGCTGCAACCCCAGAGACCCCACGCAAACACAATGATTTGGTATGATTAAAGATAAGGACCCCTTGGAAATATGATCTATGTTTTGCTGATCATGGGACAACAACAAAGACCTCTTCTAAACATAATTGCAAGATGAGCATCAGGACCCCTAAGACTCTTCAACTGGTTCTAACATCTATATGTTTTTTGTGATAAATAATCTAACTGCTGCTGTTGTCGTAAACATAAGAGGGGGAGAAACCCCAGGGTTCAAAGATGACATACGATTATAATGTAAATCTGTATTGAGATGACATCGTCGCTGATTGGTTAAGCAAGTCAATCATTGATTGGTCTAAAACTAGGTTAATTTGAAAACTTTAAAAACCAAGATGGAGGGTAAGTACTTCTGGGAAAGGAGGTGAGCGAAGGAGGAAATCGTATGTCATCAATTGAATCATGGGGTTTTCCCTCCTATTCGTAAACATGATACTGAGTATGAATTACAATCTTCAAGAATTTTGTTAATAAGACTCTGCAATCAAAGACCCCTTGTACTCTTGATGAATTGAAGATTTTATTCAGGGAATGAAAGATACTTTGGAAAGGTCTTGAAGCATGAAAAAGTGTACACTGATAGAAAACTGTTGAGGCAAATTTGAATTAAAGGGGAATTAATACTTAGAATGATGTTCACAGTTTCAATTGAAAAAAAAGTTTGATATGATATTTCCTGTAAAATTTTGATGAGGCAATCAGATAATTGCCTTGTGCCTTGCTACATCCATGCAAGTGCTTTCTTAATTCCTCCTCTTAATAACAAATGTGAGGCCTATTCAACCAAAGTGCAATTTAAAAGTCAACATTGGTTAGGAAAACTGAGGGGCAAACGCCCGATTGGTCAGAAAATTGATGGTGAAAACACCCAGTTGGTTAGTAAAACTGAGGTGAAAACACCCATTTGGTCAGTAAAATAGAGGTGAAAGCACTCAATTGGTTAGTAAAACTGAGATGAAAACACCCAATTGGTCAGGAAAACGGAGGTGAAAACAACCAGTTGGTTAGTAAAACTGAGATGAAAACACCCAATTGGTCAGTAAAACTGCGGTGAAAACACCCAGTTGGTTAGTAAAACTGAGGTGAAAACACCCAATTGGTCAGTAAAACTGCGGTGAAAACACCCAGTTGGTTAGTAAAACTGAGGTGAAAACACCCAATTGGTCAGTAAAATAGAGGTGAAAGCACTCAATTGGTCAGTAAAATTGAGGTGAAAGCACTCAATCGGTCAGTAAAACTGAGGTGAAAACACCCAATTGGTCAGTAAAACTGAGGTGAAAGCACTCAATTGGTCAGTAAAATTGAGATAAAAACACCCAATTGGTCAGTTAGTACTTGCACAAAGTACCCAATACTTTCCATGTAATCAGCACATATTAACCGATAGAATGGCAGAGAAAATATATGAAGTGCACGAGGATTTGAGATTTAATGCAAGACTAGTTTCAAAGTCATTGTAAATAACCATTTCCATTAGATTGTACAAAGTACATAACTTCACCAACTACGCATTGTACATAACAGGACATTAGACATCCTAGTGTACATATGGTGTATATATTTCTTACATTATAATCAAACCAGCAATGCTTAACATTAAAAATGCAAAGTTGTGCAATTTTAGTTTTGTAGACACATAATTTAAGATATTTTGTTTAATATATGGGTTAGAGCTCATGTAGCCTAACTATATGGTTATATCCTTTATGGTCAGACCCTTTAAGGAATGTGGAGTGACCACTATTGGGATTCAATGTAATAGAGATTAGAACCTTTAAGGACCTAAAAGGTCTTCTACAACATACATTGTTGTAATTTATAAGCTGTAGTAAATTGAGGTTTATATGCTTCACATTAATTAGTTTAAAAAAGTACCTTCCTTGCAAATCCCATGTGCTCCATTATTTCAAAGAAATTCTTTGCAAAGTTGAGTTACTTTTTATGAAAAGGACAGATTCTTACTTTTATTTTTAGTAAAGAAATCAGAGACCATTGAAGTAATCAATTTCTCCTAAACTAGACAAGTGCCATCAATGAAATTTTGCATACACTGGAACAGTTATATGGAAATTTGTTACTGAAGGTTTCAATACAAGCATTCAACTGGTTCAGGAGCTATGATCATTTACATAACATGCTCCAAATAGGCACAATTGAGACCAACGCAGAGTTAGATTCATATGGCAAACTACCCTTACATGTTCTGCCCTCTATGGCATTATTATGGCATTACATATAGCAGTGATTGCCTTCTTTAGGTCAACAATAGTCTGAGGATTGTTTTGGTACAGATTGTCTTTCAAATATCCATACAAAAAGAAATCAGCAGGATTCAAGTCTAGGCTGTAATGGCAATGAAGGGTTATCTGACATGTGGTTCATCATCCTGTTGCCAAAGTGCTGATTTACCAAATCTTAAGAGTCACTTTAGGTATTGGGCATAGTGCCATGTTACTAAAACCACTATATGGCACAATTAAATCCCATATGAAAACCAAGGGCTGCCCAAAACCTCCTTAGGATGATACTGTAACTGAGTGGGACCACTGAGTCAGAAGCCATAGGTCAGATAAGCTTCGTCTCCATACACCTCAAATTTGAATCCACCTGATTTCTTTTTGTGGGGCAATTTGAAAGACAATGTGTACCAAAACAATCCTGAGACAATTGCTGACCTAAAGGTGGCAATAAATGCTAAATGTAATGCCATAACAAGGTCGGAATATGTAAGGGTATTTGCCAAATGTATCCAGCTCTGCGTTGGTCTCAATTGCGCCTATTTGGAGCATGTTATGTAAATGATCATAGCTCCTGAACCAGTTGACTGCTTGTATTGACACTTTCAGGAACAAATTTCCATAGAACTGTCCTGATGTATGCAAAATTTCATTGATGTCACTAGTCTATTTTAGGAGATATTGCCTATTTCAATGGTCTCCTTTTTTTCCGGTCACCCTGTACTTTAAGAGTTCCCAGAACTGCAGAATATTCCATTGGCTTACCTTGTTATAAAGTTGTTGAAAAAAATCTGATAAAAATTGCTGTCAATTACTGTAATGTCGGAAGGCATTCAGTGAAAATAATGTATTTGAAACCAAAAAGACTTTGATGTGAGTGCCAATTATTTTGATTGAAACAATACTTTGATGTTACATCCCCAACTAAAAGCTAAAATAAATCTATACTACAATGATAATCTTGTTATTAATTGATTTGTATTGAGAGGATAGAATTGTTCATCATGTACATTTTCTGAGCAAGTTATTTTCCTGAATAGTTGCATTTTTATGTCGCCACCACAAGATTTGACATGGTGTTATAATCTAACTTTTTGTGGTGGTAGTTGGTGTTCAGAGTTGGGTGTCTGTAACAAATGGCAGGTTGTGACATTGTGCATGTTGAATGCTTTGTTGATATTGGGCCTATGCAACATTTTTCCAAGTTTTTGCAAGTGTGCTTGCATTACTCAAAACATGCAACAGTTTAGTCCGAAATCTTGAACCATTGAAAATTTGAAAAGCATCAATATTGACATGAATTAAAATTATTCACATTTTTTTTATTTCAATCTATTTGAGTTCTATTACTTTCTCAATCTCAACAGTCAGTGCATTTCTGAGAGAAATGTCTTGGTTGTATTCTGAAGTTAATTCGAAAGAGGAGTAGGAATCAATGGAAAGCAAGTATGGAATTACAAGGGGCACTAAACATTTCCAATAAACCCTGCCACGAGTGCCACCTTTTGATTGATGATGTTATAGTTACAGGTAGCAAATTAGCAATCTGTCCATGCAAAAATATGATGAACGTATTGCTAATTTGGAAAAGTACAACCTATGGCATCACCAATCTAGCTTTCTTAGCTTCTTTGATTATCAATAGGTGGCAGACCATATGAGCAATTGACTAAAATATTTCAGGGTGAAGCTTGTACAATAGTTGATACAATTCAAACTGACACCACATGCAGGGATGTTTCAATTTGATTTGATCATCATAATCACTGAATAGCGTTAGGCATTTGACAACCTCACTAAACTCTGGGGAAATTTAAACTGTATGAGGCAATATAGTAAAGAAATCATTAAAGCCGAGACAAACTTTGTAGTAAGTATTACGTTGGTTATCAAAGGGAATATTGGAATGTACGGAAGAGATCTACCGAGGTTGCAAGATTTTTTCATTTATCAGCCAGTTTTTTAATAATTCATATCATATATCTGATCTGATAGATATTAATGATTAAATGTTATTTATTATTATCCCACAGAACGAAGTTCGTAAGGATATAGAGAAACAACGTCCATTCGTTCGTCCGTTCGTCTGTTTGTCCGGTTGATGGATTTTGTTCAAATTTTATAGGCTTATGGGTGTTCTCTGCGATTTTTGATATGGCCGCTCAAATCAAAATCGCCGCCATTTTTCGTACTCGTTTCCCAGTTATTATGGAATTTGGCAAACTATTGGCTAATATCCAAGGGACAAAGGACCTCTGGATGCATTTTCAATAAAGCCACTCACTTCAAAATGGCCGCTATTTGCGTAGAAAAAATACATCACTTTAAACTCACTTTACCCTTCTCATTTATTTGACTTAGTTTGTTAAAGGCCCGTTTAAAGTTTGCTCGCAAAATCGTGAATCTATATGAAGAAAACCTTGGGAGGTCACACGCATCTTTTAATAATATTTTTTTATTTGCACTAACGCATAGCATTCATCCTCACGTGCTTGTTGTTATGGTGATGTGACTTAGGGTGCAGCATTAAACTGTTGATTAAAAACAACTTTTATTTGAACAATGAAAGAATATTTGAGAAACAAAAAGAAATAAACTTTTTTTCCATATAAAATATTCTTCAAAAATCTTAAAAAGTCATGAAAAATTGTAAATGAATGATAAAGACATTTTCAAACTTTGCATCATGGGGCCTTTAAAATATAGCTTTGTCTTTAGAGTTACATGTACGTGTAACCTCTGCTTTTATATTATGGAAAGAGACCCTATATGGATAGAAATATTATAGTAGGGATTTTGGTCGGGGAATAATTTGTAAGTGCCTAACACCAAAATGTTCGGGGCATCGAGAGGGGCTCGGGTATTTATCAAAGTATCGGACCCTCGTGTAAGAGGAAAATGATCGAGTATCGAACATCTATCAATGCATCAAAGGCTACAGATAAATAATTTA